CCTCTACTGTTCAATGTCCTGCCACAAAATGTCCCGTCATTTGACTAGAAAACATGGAAATGAAAGTGACGTAGCCAGAGCATTGGCTCTACCTGTGAAATCTAAAGCACGTAAACTTCAGTTTGATTTGATCAGGAATAGTGGAAACCGTGAGCACAATTTTGAGGTTTTAAAGGCCGGCATTGGAACTTTAGTCCCAGCTAAACAGCCAAATTCCCCAGTTAAATCCAGTGAGTTTTTGCACTGTATAGACTGTGGGGCATTGCTTAAGCGAAAGTCGCTGTGGAGGCATGTGGCCAGGTGCCGGCTTTCACAGAAAGATGCCCAGGCTAAACCAGGTAGAAGTAGGGTCCAGTCCCTCTGCTCCCTAGCCCAGCCTGTACCGGAGGGCATCAGCAAAAAGCTGTGGTCTTTAATTTCGGCAATGCATCAGGATGAGGTCACGGGTGTTGTCAAAGCAGAAAAGGGGATTCTGAGACTCGGAGAGCACCTGTACTTAAAACACGGGCATGATAAGACAAAGCATGATTACATTAGGCAGAAAATGAGAGAAGTCGGTAGGTTAATTAACGAAGCAAAAACCGCAGGGAAACTGAAAACAATTAAGGATTTCTTTATTCCTTCCAACTTTAACCATGTGATTGATGCAGTCAGGTCTGTGGCTGGATATGATGAGGAAACAAATCAATACAAGACTCCATCCTTGGCCCTCAAACTCGGCCATAGCCTCAGAAAGCTAGCAGATATTCTTGAATGTGACTCAAAAATGGAGCATTGTGTTGATGAACTATTTATTAAAAACCTCCAACGAAGCCGGCTGCTTTTTGAGAAGAGGTGGGACGTCTGTGTTTCTTCTGCTGCCCTACAGACCCTCCGGCAAGCCAAGTGGAACACTCCGGACCTGCTCCCTCTGACTGAGGACGTTAGAGCCATGCATGCACATATTGAGGTATGTCGACCTGAATATGTGCAAAGCCTAATAAGTGAGCCAACGTCTAAGCATTGGTCTAAACTGGCAGTTTTGACTCTTTGTGAGGTCATCATTTTCAATCGAAGAAGGGAAGGTGAGGTTTCAAAGATGCCACTGACAGCCTTTACCTTAAGAAGTAAGACTGGGATCCATTCTGACATTGCTCTGGGACTGTCCCAACTTGAGAAAAAGCTGTGTCAGCATTTTCAACGCATTGAAATTAAAGGGAAAAGAAGTCGGAAAGTGCCGGTTCTTTTGACTCCTGAAATGATTGCTTCGATGGAGGTGCTGGTGGAGAACAGAAGGGCCTGTTCCATCTCTGACCATAACCCATACTTCTTTTCCCGCCCGGGCGCAGACACCCACATCAGGGGATCAGACTCCCTACGCCAGGTAGCCAAAGAATGTGGTGCGGTGCATCCAGAGATGCTATCCTCAACCAAACTTAGAAAGCACATAGCTACTATGTCTACAGTTCTCAATATGAAAGAGAATGAGATGGACATACTTGCCAACTTCCTCGGCCATGACATTCGCATCCACAGGCAATATTACAGACTACCAGAGGGGCACTGGAGCTGGCCAAAATCAGCAAAGTGTTGATGGCCATGGAGCAGGGAAGAGTGACGGAATTCGAAGGAAAGAGCCTCGACCAGATACAAATTGAGCCTGAAGGTAATTCTTGATATTATTAAAATATGTATGATTTTTTTCCCCTAAAGGCCACTTGTATTTTTATTTTCTGTGCGACAGGGAGAGCAGTAGAGATCCTCTCACAAACGGACGGGCTAAAAGAAACTTCAAGCGGAGAACCTTCAACCATTCATCCAGATGCACCCCATGGTAGTGGCAGTGCCCCTTCTGGTAAGTGTACCAGGTGGGGGATTACAGCCAGGCTGCTTGGTCCTCACCCTGGGAGTGTATATTGCTAATATATTTTTATTTCTCTCCCTAGAACGTGTAAGAAAGCCATGGTCTGCATCTGAGGTGAAGGCTGTGGAGAAGACCATGACACCTTTCATACAGACTGGAAAGGTCCCTGGGAAGTCTCACTGCCTGGCCTGCATTAATGCCTCACCAGATGACCTTAGACATCGGACATGGAGTGGCATTAAATTCTATGTCAAAAATAGAATCACTGCAATTCGAAAACAAAATCTAAAATAAAATTCCTTTAAAATAGTTGTTTGGTTTCTATTGACTGTTTTGTATTACTTAAAGTCTTGGTAAAAAAAGATTATGTCTATGGGTCCCATTCTGAACGGCCCTGTCAAAGGGACCCACCAGGTAACAAAAACGTGTATGTGTGTGTTGGTGTGTGTGTGCGTGTGTTGGTGTGTGTGTGTGTGTGTGTGTGTGTTGGTGTGTGTTGGTGTGTGTGTACCTGAAACCGTTAGCATAGCCGAGCAGCTCTTCTCGCCTGCTGAGAAGCTGTACTGTCCCTCCTCGTCCTTCATGGCGTTGAGGACGGTCAGACAGTGGACTTTCTTCTTGGACTCCATCTTGTATTTGGGGCCGGCTTTGAGCGCAGTTCCCTTAAACGTCCAGTAGGCGTCAATCCCGGCGTGAGACACTTCCACCTCGAAACACACGTTCTCCGACTCAGAGCACTCCTTGTTCTTCATGGGGGACATGATCTGGACCGCTGCGAGAGAGACGGATCACGGATTACATTACTCCTGTGTCAGAGAGAGGATTATCTCCACAAAGGAGAAGTGCTCACACACATTCAGGTAGACGGCTGCAGGAAGTAGAATCTCAGAACATGAGTCAATTTATGGAAAAGTCTGTTGAAGTTTATGTTGAAGATTTGTCAATTAAACTAGAATTGAGCTCTTGCTCTTTCTCTCTGGCCTCTGTATGGTCTCTCTCTGGTCTCTCTCTGGTCTCTCTCTGGTCTCTCTCTGGTCTCTCTCTGGTCTCTCTCTGGTCTCTCTCTGGTCTCTCTCTGGTCTCTCTCTGGTCTCTCTCTGGTCTCTCTCTGGTCTCTCTCTGGTCTCTCTTTGGTCTCTCTTTGGTCTCTCTTTGGTGTCTCTCTGGTCTCTCTCTGGTCTCTCTCTGGTCTCTCTCTGGTCTCTCTCTGGTCTCTCTCTGGTCTCTCTCTGGTCTCTCTCCGGTCTCTCTCTGGTCTCTCTCTGGTCTCTCTCTGGTCTCTCTCTGGTCTCTCTCTGGTCTCTCTCTGGTCTCTCTCCGGTCTCTCTCCGGTCTCTCTCTGGTCTTTGTCTCTGGTCTTTCTCTCTGGTCTCTGGTGTGTAATACTTACGTTGTACGCTGAGGCTGCAGGAGCACTCAGCCCGGCCTACGACCAGCCTGTACTTGCCCTGGTCGGACTCGAAGGTCCGGTTTAGGACCAGTCTCTGTTTGGCTCCTTTGGCCACGGTCTGGATTCGGTCGGAGCCTGAGATCTGGACCTCATTGTGGAACCATTTGACCGAGCTGACGTCCTGAGCCGAGATCTTTGCCTCCAGGACACATTTGGTTCCCTCCACGACCGACAAGTCCTTCAGTGGGATCAGCATGCCGATAGCTGCAAGAGAGGAGCAGTGAGACCGTTGGGACGACCAGGGGGAAGACTGGGGCTAAGACTGGGGCTAAGACTGGGGGGAAGACTGGGGCTAAGACTGGGGCTAAGACTGGGGCAAAGACTGGGGCAAAGACTGGGGCAAAGACTGGGGCTAAGACTGGGGCTAAGACTGGGGCTAAGACTGGGGCTAAGACTGGGGCAAAGACTGGGGCAAAGACTGGGGCAAAGACTGGGGCAAAGACTGGGGCAAAGACTGGGGCAAAGACTGGGGCAAAGACTGGGGCAAAGACTGGGGCAAAGACTGGGGCTAAGACTGGGGCTAAGACTGGGGCTAAGACTGGGGCTAAGACTGGGGCAAAGACTGGGGCAAAGACTGGGGCTAAGACTGGGGCTAAGACTGGGGCTAAGACTGGGGCAAAGACTGGGGCAAAGACTGGGGCAAAGACTGGGGCAAAGACTGGGGCAAAGACTGGGGCAAAGACTGGGGCAAAGACTGGGGCAAAGACTGGGGCAAAGACTGGGGCTAAGACTGGGGCTAAGACTGGGGCTAAGACTGGGGCTAAGACTGGGGCTAAGACTGGGGCAAAGACTGGGGCTAAGACTGGGGCTAAGACTGGGGCTAAGACTGGGGCAAAGACTGGGGCAAAGACTGGGGCAAAGACTGGGGCAAAGACTGGGGCAAAGACTGGGGCTAAGACTGGGGCAAAGACTGGGGCAAAGACTGGGGCTAAGACTGGGGCAAAGACTGGGGCTAAGACTGGGGCTAAGACTGGGGCAAAGACTGGGGCAAAGACTGGGGCAAAGACTGGGGCAAAGACTGGGGCAAAGACTGGGGCAAAGACTGGGGCTAAGACTGGGGCAAAGACTGGGGCAAAGACTGGGGCTAAGACTGGGGCTAAGACTGGGGCTAAGACTGGGGCTAAGACTGGGGCTAAGACTGGGGCTAAGACTGGGGCTAAGACTGGGGCAAAGACTGGGGCTAAGACTGGGGCAAAGACTGGGGCTAAGACTGGGGGGAGGACTGGGGCAAAGACTGGGGCTAAGACTGGGGCTAAGACTGGGGCTAAGACTGGGGCAAAGACTGGGGCTAAGACTGGGGCTAAAGACTGGGGCTAAGACTGGGGCAAAGACTGGGGCAAAGACTGGGGCAAAGACTGGGGCAAAGACTGGGGCAAAGACTGGGGCAAAGACTGGGGCAAAGACTGGGGCAAAGACTGGGGCAAAGACTGGGGCAAAGACTGGGGCTAAGACTGGGGCAAAGACTGGGGCAAGCAAAGACTGGGGCAAAGACTGGGGCTAAGACTGGGGCTAAGACTGGGGCTAAGACTGGGGCTAAGACTGGGGCTAAGACTGGGGCTAAGACTGGGGCTAAGACTGGGGCTAAGACTGGGGCTAAGACTGGGGCTAAGACTGGGGCAAAGACTGGGGCAAAGACTGGGGCAAAGACTGGGGCAAAGACTGGGGCAAAGACTGGGGCAAAGACTGGGGCAAAGACTGGGGCAAAGACTGGGGCTAAGACTGGGGCTAAGACTGGGGCTAAGACTGGGGCTAAGACTGGGGCTAAGACTGGGGGGAGACCAGGAGCTTTAGCAATGACTAGAGCAGGGGCTGTAGCAAGAGGTTAAAGTACCAATAACAGAAGTACCAGTACCAGTAGTACCAGTACCAGTAATACCAGTACCAGCAGTACCAGTAATACTCACTCTGCACGCTGAGCTTGGCCTTGCTGGTGATGTCGTGTGATGGGACGTTGAAAGCGTAGGTAGCCTGGTCGCTCTTGGTCGTGTCCTCGATCAGCAGTTTGTGAACCGTTTTGTCGATGACCATGTGGACGCGGCCGGACGCTGTGATTGGCTCTCCGTTCTTTAGCCACACCCCCTCCACGTTCTCCTGTGAAAACCGAACTTCCATCTGCGCAATGTCGCCCTCGCACACGGTGACGTCCGAGACGGGGGACATGAGGGTCACAGGACGCACTGTGGGGGAGAGAGGGGGAGAGAGGGGGAGAGAGAAGAGAGAGAAGGGGTAAAGGGAGAGAGGAGAGAGAGGAAAGAGAAGAGAGGGAGAGAGGGAGAAGAGAGAAGAGAGAGGAGAGAGAGGATAGTGGAAGGAGGGAGTAGAGAGGGAAAGGGAGGAGAGAGAAGAGAGAGAGCGAGAGAGGGAGGAGAGAGAGAGAGAACAAGAGAGTTAAAATGTGTCAAAGCACCCCAAGGAGAGGGGTGAGAGAGCGGAGACGAGGGAGAGCAGACTCACGTTTCATCTTGAGGGAGGCGCTGGTGGTGAACTCTCCCACTTTAAAGGTGTACTTCCCCTGGTCTTCCTTCTTGACGTCTTTGACAGAGAGTGAGTGGCGCCCTCTCCTGGACATGATCACGTACTTGGAGCTGGGACTCAGAGGTTTTTCTCCGAAGAACCAGGCCCCGTCTGCGTCCTCTCGAGAAATCACACACTCAAACTCTGCGCTGTAGTTCTCAGGGACCTCTGTGCCCTCCAGGCGCTTCAGCATCTGCAGCGGCTCTCCTATTGGACAGAGACCAGAAAGAGAGTGAGATAAGGAGCTCCTATTGGACACAGAGCAGGAAGAGGCTCTGATAGCTCAGAGGAGAGAGAGAGAGAGAGCTGAGAGACTTGAAAGACATCAGAGTGACACAAGAGAGACCAGAAGGGAGAGAAACCCAAAAGAGAAGAGAGAGAGAGAGAGAGAGAGAGACCAGAGGGAGAGAGATCAAAGAGAGAGAGAGCAGAGAAGTGGTGATACCTTCGACGAAAAGCTTGGCGGTGGTCCTCACGGAGTCGTCCTCCATCAGGACACAGGAGTAGTCGTCCTCATCCTTCATGCCGATGGTCAGGACAGACAGGAAGTGGACTTTTCGGTCCGAGTGCATACGGTACTTGTCTCCAGAGAAGACCTGCTCCTGGTTCTTCAGCCACTTCACCTTCACAAACGGCTCGTTGGTCTCACACTCAAATGTGGCCATAGTGTCCTTCTCTCTGGAGTTCACATCCACCAGCTGCTGCGTGAATGAGATCACCTGTTTGGCTGCGGAGACAAGTGTCTGGGTCAGGGTCGGGTCTTAGACAGGTTTGGACCAGGTCCAAGACAAATCTGAAACAGGACTACAACTAAAACAGGTCAAAGACATGTCTAGACCAGGTCTGAAACATGCAAAATACAATAAGTCTGAAAGAGGTCTCAATGGTCTCACAGAGTTCTCTGCAGTCTCTCAGTGGTCTCTCTATGGTCTCAACAGTCTCTCTGGTCTCAGCAGTCTCTGTTCTCAGTGGTCTCACTCTGGTCTCAGCAGTCTCTCTGGTCTCAGCAGTCTCTCTGGTCTCAACAGTCTCTCTGGTCTCAACAGTCTCTCTGGTCTCAACAGTCTCTCTGGTCTCAACAGTCTCTCGGGTCTCAACAGTCTCTCTGGTCTCAGCAGTCTCTCTGATCTCAGCAGTCTCTCTGATCTCAGCAGTCTCTCTGGTCTCAACAGTCTCTCTGGTCTCAACAGTCTCTCTGGTCTCAACAGTCTCTCTGGTCTCAACAGTCTCTCTGGTCTCAACAGTCTCTCTGGTCTCAACAGTCTCTCTGGTCTCAGCAGTCTCTCTGGGCTCAACAGTCTCTCTGGTCTCAGCAGTCTCTCTGGTCTCAGCAGTCTTTCTCTGGTCTCATCAGTCTCTCTGTTCTCAGTGGTCTCTCTCTGGTCTCAGTGGTCTCTGGTCTCACCTTGCACCAGCAGGAAGGCGTGGCCGGAGGTCTCCCCAGCTTTACTGACGGCCTTCACCATGACTGATGCTGAGTCTTCTGCTCTCACGTCTTTGATGACCAGCTCGCACACATGGTCCTCAGGCCAGAACCAACTCACGCGGTCCGTCTTCTCCAGCTGGACTCCGTTCTTGAACCACTGGCACTGGGGTTCAGGTCGCCCCACCACACGGACCCTGAAGCGGACCTCCTGTCCCTGGGGCACTGTCTGACTGCTGATCCTCTCCACGATCTTAGGGGCCTCCATACTGGCGGACAGCTTTATCCGCTCCGGCTTCGCCGCTTTGGCCTTCAGCTTCTGACGTTCTGCCTCCTTCCTCTCAGCCTCCTCCTTCTCCTGCAGAGAGAGGAATAGGTCATCTCTCTCTCCCTGGTCTCTTTCTGGTCTCTCTCTGGTCTCTCTCTGGTCTCTCTCTGGTCCCTCTCTGGCCTCTCTCTGGCCTCTCTCTGGCCTCTCTCTGGCCTCTCTCTGGCCTCTCTCTGGCCTCTCTCTGGTCTCTCTCTGGCCTCTCTCTGGCCTCTCTCTGGCCTCTCTCTGGTCTCTCTCTGGCCTCTCTCTGGCCTCTCTCTGGTCTCTCTCTGGTCTCTCTCTGGCCTCTCTCTGGCCTCTCTCTGGTCTCTCTCTGGTCTCTCTCTGGCCTCTCTCTGGCCTCTCTCTGGCCTCTCTCTGGTCTCTCTCTGGCCTCTCTCTGGCCTCTCTCTGGTCTCTCTCTGGTCTCTCTCTGGCCTCTCTCTGGCCTCTCTCTGGCCTCTCTCTGGCCTCTCTCTGGTCTCTCTCTGGCCTCTCTCTGGCCTCTCTCTGGCCTCTCTCTGGTCTCTCTCTGGCCTCTCTCTGGCCTCTCTCTGGTCTCTCTCTGGTCTCTCTCTGGTCTCTCTCTGGCCTCTCTCTGGCCTCTCTCTGGTCTCTCTCTGGCCTCTCTCTGGCCTCTCTATGATCTTTCTCTGATCTCTCTCTCTGGTCTCTTTCTGGTCTCTCTTCTAAAGGATAATCCCCTGCTTCCTGTGTCTTCACTCACGTTTTTGCGGTGCATCAGCTCCTCCTTGGTCTTCTTCAGCAGGTCTTCATAACTATCGTCCCTCTTACGGCTCTTCAGCTCAACACCACTGATGGATTCGTAGTAGCCCTCTTCAGTCCTGCGTTTGAACTTGCTCCTCAGCTCCTCGGTCTCTTCCACCTCCTTCTCGCGGACGATCCTCTGTGCTTTCCTCAGCATCACCACCTCTTTCAGACCCTCCTCCCCGGGGATGTCGGACTTAACCACATCGAACGGCACTCGGCCCGGTTCTGCGGCCGCGGCTTCGGCTTTGCCCTCGGCGCGTTTCAGATGTCCTCTGAAGTCCTCTTTGTGATGGATCTGCAGCTTCACCACATGCTCCACTGTGCCCATGTTATTGTCTGCTACCACCTGCAGAGAAGGATCTCTGTGAGGACTAGGACAGGACTGAAGAAGGACTGAGGTCTGAACTAGGTCTGAACCAGGACTAAACCGGGACTAAATCAGGTTTAAAGGAGGACTAAAGGAGGTTAGTATAGAAAAAAAAATTTAAAATATATATATATATATATATATATTTTTTTTTTGAAAGACTGGTATTAAAGCATTTACAGCTAGCTAAGAAACATATTAGCAGCTAATTACTTATTTTGTATATTTTGTGTGCTCTTACGACTAATCTGTGTGTGCGCTGCAACATTGAAATTTCCCCAGGGTGGGACGAATAAAGAATCTCTCATCTTATCTTAAAACAGAACAAAATCAGGTCTAAAGCAGGTCTAAAGCAGGTCTAAAGCAGGACTAAATCAGGTCTAGGGCAGGTCTAAAGCAGGTCTAAAGCAGGTCTAAAGCAGGTCTAAAGCAGGACTAAATCAGGTCTAAAGCAGGTCTAAAGCAGGACTAAAGCAGGGCTAAAGCAGGACTAAAGCAGGTCTAAAGCAGGTCTAAAGCAGGACTAAATCAGGTCTAAAGCAGGTCTAAAGCAGGTCTAAAGCAGGTCTAAAGCAGGTCTAAATCAGGTGTAAAGCAGGACTAAAGCAGGACTAAAGCAGGACTAAAGCAGGTCCAAAGCAGGTCTAAAGCAGGTCTAAAGCAGGTCTAAAGCAGGTCTAAAGCCGGTCTAAAGCCGGTCTAAAGCAGGACTAAAGCAGGTCTAAAGCAGGTCTAAAGCAGGTCTAAAGCAGGTCTAAAGCAGGACTAAAGCAGGTCTAAAGCAGAACTAAAGCAGGACTAAAGCAGGTCTAAAGCAGGACTAAAGCAGGACTAAAGCAGGTCTAAAGCAGGACTAAAGCAGGTCTAAAGTAGAACTAAAACAGGTCTAAAGCAGGACTAAAGCAGGTCTAAAGCAGAACTAAAGCAGGACTAAAGCAGGTCTAAAGCAGGACTAAAGCAGGACTAAAGCAGGTCTAAAGCAGGACTAAAGCAGGTCTAAAGTAGAACTAAAACAGGTCTAAAGCAGGTCTAAAGCAGGTCTAAAGTAGAACTAAAACAGGTCTAAAGCAGGTCTAAAGCAGGACTAAAGCAGGTCTAAAGCAGGACTAAAGCAGGTCTAAAGCAGGTCTAAAGCAGGACTAAAGCAGTCCTAAAGCAGGTCTAAAGCAGGTCTAAATCAGGTGTAAAGCAGGACTAAAGCAGGACTAAAGCAGGTCTAAAGCAGGTCTAAAGCAGGTCTAAAGCAGGTCTAAAGCCGGTCTAAAGCAGGTCTAAAGCAGGTCTAAAGCCGGTCTAAAGCCGGTGTAAAGCAGGACTAAAGCAGGTCTAAAGCAGGTCTAAAGCCGGTCTAAAGCCGGTCTAAAGCAGGACTAAAGCAGGTCTAAAGCAGGTCTAAAGCAGGTCTAAAGCAGGTCTAAAGCCGGTCTAAAGCCGGTCTAAAGCAGGACTAAAGCAGGTCTAAAGCAGGTCTAAAGCAGCTCTAAAGCAGGACTAAAGCAGGTCTAAAGCAGGTCTAAAGCCGGTCTAAAGCAGGTCTAAAGCAGGTCTAAAGCAGGTCTAAAGCCGGTCTAAAGCAGGACTAAAGCAGGTCTAAAGCAGGTCTAAAGTAGAACTAAAACAGGTCTAAAGCAGGACTAAAGCAGGACTAAAGCAGGACTAAAGTAGAACTAAAGCAGGTCTAAAGCAGGACTAAAGCAGGTCTAAAGCAGGTCTAAAGCAGGACTAAAGCAGGACTAAAGCAGGACTAAAGCAGGACTAAAGTAGAACTAAAGCAGGTCTAAAGCAGGTCTAAAGCAAGTCTAAAGCAGGTCTAAAGTAGGTCTAAAGCAGGTCTGAACCAGGTCTCTCTGGGGGCCGTTACCTTGACCTCTCCAGCGTCGTAAGGCTTCACTTCGATGATCTCTAAATAATAAATTCCGTCGTACTTGAGTCTGTAGCGTTTGCTCTTCCGGATCAGCTGACCGTTCAGGTACCAGTTCACTTTAGGAGCTGGGAACCCAGTCACCCGGCAACTGAGAAGGAGAGGGTCAGAGAGGGTCAGAGAGGGTCAGAGAGGGTTAGAGAGGGTCAGAGAGGGTCAGAGAGTGTCAGAGAGGGTCAGAGAGGGTTAGAGAGGGTCAGAGAGGGTTAGAGAGGGTTAGAGAGGGTCAGAGAGGGTTAGAGAGTGTCAGAGAGGGTTAGAGAGGGTCAGAGAGGGTTAGAGAGTGTCAGAGAGGGTTAGAGAGGGTCAGAGAGGGTTAGAGAGGGTCAGAGAGGGTTAGAGAGTGTCAGAGAGGGTTAGAGAGGGTCAGAGAGGGTCAGAGAGTGTCAGAGAGGGTCAGAGAGGGTTAGAGAGGGTCAGAGAGGGTTAGAGAGTGTCAGAGAGGGTTAGAGAGGGTCAGAGAGGGTTAGAGAGTGTCAGAGAGGGTCAGAGAGGGTTAGAGAGGGTCAGAGAGGGTTAGAGAGGGTTAGAGAGGGTCTGTATGTATGTCAGTGTCTGTGTGTGCGTTTTGAGGCTAATTCGGATTAGCATTTGACTTCAATGCTAACCCGCTAGCTCAATGCTAACCCGCTAGCTCAATGCTAACCCGCTAGCTCAATGCTAACCCGCTAGCTCAATGCTAACCCGCTAGCTCAATGCTAACCCGCTAGCTCAATGCTAACCCGCTAGCTCAATGCTAACCCGTGAGTTTGGAAGTACTAATGGTGACGTTTGGCCCCTCTCTCTGGCTCCTTTTGACTTACATGTGAAACCCCTCTCTCTCAGTAACGTTTGTGTCACACCCATCATTTTGTTGGTAATAATCCTAATAGATCCATGGTTAAAATTCTTTCGGACAGTGGGGAAATGTATTTTTAGTTTTTAGTTCAATACAGCCCAAATCCAGATATGAGCCATATAAGGGTTGACCAATCAGATGCCTTCATTCAGGTTAACCTCCATCTTGCCATAGCAACTGTCCTAGCAACACTTCTGCTCCTGATACAGCCTGAAGCTAACGCCGTCAGAACAAATACCCATATAAGGAAACCTGCTCCAGCTAATGTTAAAATTAGCTTCTTTTGTATTAAGGCTAATAATGTGGTGATTTAACGCTGTGGCAAGGCATCTTCTGGGTGGTGATGTCACATGTCTTGCACCTGAATCGGGCTGTCTCTCCCTCCATCACGTCCACGTCCTCAGGCAGGAGGACCACCTCCGGCTTGGTCCTCTCTGTGGTCTCCTCAGCGGTCACACCATAGGGGCCTCCCTCATGGGCCATTCTTTCCATCTCCTCCATACGGGCAGCTTTCCGCCCCTCTGGCAGCTGCGACTCCGTCACCAAACCCTTCTCATCCTTCACGATCAGAGTGGCTGAAGTTTGGTCTGAACCAAACTTGTTAGAGGCTCTGCAGGAGATGACTCCACTGTCTCTGGCATACGCCACCTAGAGGAGGAGACAGGCATTTATTTATATAGCACCTTAAATAGTACCTCAGAGTCACAGTGTACAAGGTCAGTCTGCTGTAACCACTCACCTAGTCTCCCCTCACTCCTCACCTATCCCCCTTCTCGCCTATCCTCTCCCCTTCCTCCCACTCTTTCTCCCCCTCTCCCCCTTACCTCATAGTCCAGGCTGCTGTATCCTCCCCCCACTCTCCCCCCTCTCCCTCTCTCCCCCTCTCCCTCACCTCATAGTCCAGGCTGCTGTATCCTCCCCCCTCTCTCCCCCTCTCCCTCTCTCCCCCTCTCCCTCACCTCATAGCCCAGGCTGCTGTAGCCTGTCTCTCTCTCCCTCACCTCGTAGTCCAGGCTGCTGTATCCAAACTCGTTGACCATCCTCATACGGTTGGCGGCGGCAAGGGGCTTGCCGTCATGCAGCCACTCCACCGTCATGGTGGGGTCTCCGATGGGGGTGAGGCGACACTCGAAATGAGCTGGTCCAGCCTTCTTCATGCGCACAGAGGTCAGCTTCTTCTTGAACTGAGGCTTCTGCTGCTTCTCTTTGTCGTACAGATCGCCCTCTTCCCATTGGTCCTGGCCGTAGCGCAGGTGCAGAGGCTCCGCCTCCGGGGGAGCGATATCTTTGATCTTATAGGTTCCTTTGGGGATGATGAGTTTTCGCTCTGGTTCAGGCTCCACATACTCCACCTCCACATTCACTCTGCAACGAGTGGTGTCACGACCAGCTTTGTTTATGGCTGTGGCAGTGTACCAGGCACTGTCTGTGCCCACAGCCGACGGGATCTGGAACTTAGCCTCACCACGGGTGCCTTCCACCCTGAGAGAGAGGGGACAGAGGGGAGAGAGGGGAGACAGTTAATACAGTGAGTTAGGTCCTGACTGTGAGTGACCTCCTGTGTCTGCTGCTGCAAGCCTTTGGGCACTTCTCCATCACATTGAGAGAGGGCGGGTGATGTCATACCTGATGTTGGGGTGCTTGTGTGCAGTGATGATGTCACTGTTCTTGAGCCACACAATGTCGGGGAGGGGGTTCCCCGTGGCTCGGGCCGACAGCTGGACTGCGGCTCCCTCCTTCACACTCAGGTTCTTTAGTTTTTCTGTGAACTGTGGCCTCACCAGGGTCTCTTTCACTGAAACCACACCAGCAATCAGAAACCAAAGAGAGACAAGAGAGAGATACCAGAGTGAGAGACACCAGAGAGACCAGACAGAGAGACCAGAGAGAGACTAGAAAGGAGAAAGAACCTCATTCCCAACTTCCACAAAGCCTAGACCAGACTCTTACCATCCACGGTGAGGGTGACAGAGAGGGAGTTGCGACCTGCTCGGTTCTGTGCCACCACGGTCCATTCGCCCGAGTCGTGGGGCGTCGCCGGGACGATGATCAACGACTGTGTCCCGTCTTCTTTCACCACAATCTTATGTGTGTAGTCACTCACCACCTGCTGGCCTGGAGTGGAACAACAACATGTTACAACTATCCAAGGTCTAAAGCATGTCTAAAGCTGAACTGAAGCAGAACTAAAACATATCTAAATCAGGTGTAAAGCAGGATAAATGCAGGACTAAAGTAGGACCAACGAAGCAGGTCAAAACCACACCTTAACCAGGTCTAAACCAGACCTAAATATGGTCTAAACCCGGTCTGAAGCAGGTCTAACTTGTCTCTCACCGTTGTGGAACCAGTAGGTCTCTGGCATGGGTCGTCCCACCACCTTGAGGTCGAAGCGGGCGGTCTGTCCCTCGGAGCAGCGCGCAGAGGCAGGCTTCATCACAAACACGGGTTTGTAGAGTCGCTCCAGCGCCGCCTCGTCAGTCTCATCCAAACGGCGAGCTGGGGACCGTCCGGGCGACCGCGAAGGCGACCGGGACGGGGAGCGGGCTGGGGACATGCTGACGGCGCGGGGAGAGGCCGAGCTGAGGGGACACACAGCACTAAGTATGTTCCGAAGCAGGAGAACACAGATATCTGCCTCTTTGTGCTAAGATCTGATTGGCTGTGTGAGGGTGGGCCTGTCTTTGATCTGAAGAATTGACAGAAGCCAGAAATACGTAATGTGAAAAATAGTGATTGAAGAAACTGTTTAGAATAGAATAGAATAGATCTTTATTAGAGATTTGTCTTTCAACACGGTTTTAGTGCCAGGACTGGAGACATGGGTTCAATGCAGACTTTTATTGTAGTCTGAAAATTACAGGCCCCAGCTTTAAAGTTACCTACTCCATCTTAAAAGTTAGGTACCCCAGGTTTAACTGGTCAGACCTTGCTTGGCTCAGTGTGGGTACATGATCGGTTTGGCTCAGTCTTGTACCTGATCCTGTGCAGGGCGGTCTGGCTAGGTCCGGTCCGTGAGTCCAGTTCGATGTAAAGTTTCCCGGAGCATACAGCGTTCCCGGAGGAGTTGGAGGCCAGAGCGGAGTACACGGCCTGGTCGTCAGGGGTAACGGCCGGGAGGCGGAGACTCGCCCTGCCATCGGCCAGAACATCCATCTGGTACCGATCCGAAGGTCTCAGACGCTGGCCATCTCTGTACCAGGTGATCTGAGGAGAGGAACAGAGCGGGTTAAAGCAGGACTGGAGCAAGTCAATGTGTGATCCTCCAAAGGCATTGTGCTCGGTCTTATCTTGGGTCAGGTCTTACCTTGGGTCAGGGTCAGGGGTTACCATGGATCAGGGTCAGGTCTTACCTTAGGTCGGGGGTTGCCTTGGGCCTGGCAGTGGAAAGTGGCTCCCATGCCGGCTCTGATGCGGTAGTTCTTGATGGTGGAGGTAAAGGCGGGTTGACTTGGGTCCCCGGCCCCTGGGGCCTCGGGCTGCTCCCCGTCCTGGGTCACAAGTTCAATGTAGGAGAAGGTCATGAGGCGCACCTCAACCTCCTGCATGAAGCGGATCTCCATAATGGAGAGTTGGAACTCCTGCAACCAGAGGAAGACCTCAGCACATACCCACAGTATGTAGCAGATACCTGAGACCAAAGGGAAGACCTCAGCTCTGAGTTGTACCTGTCCGGTGATGACGGCCGCTTCCATGCTGACGGGGGTGGGGCTTAGTTGAGTCACTGGTTTTGCTGCTTCTTCTTGTTTCTTCATGTAAGCGTCATATTCCTCTGTTTGAGAAAGTATGAGTTATACTCAGTCCCAACAGGTGTAAACCTGTTCTAAACCCAGTCCAAACCCAGTCCAAACCCAGTCTAAACCCAGTCTAAACCACTTCTCACCTTCCTCCAGCAGGCTGGTGGAGGCCGTAACTTCTCCTCTCTGGTTCTTCACGGTCAGAGAATATTCTCCTGCATCATCGGCGAAGGTCATGGAAATCTCCAGACGGCACTCGCCTGTTTCTCGTTTGTATGAGACTTTATATCTGCAACAACAGAAACATGTTCAAACATGTGACATCACAGTTGGGTCATCAGGGACTGTGGGCTGGGAAAGCTTTAGTGTTAGGGTTCTGGTCCTGGGTTAGGTGTAGGGTTCTGGTTGGGGTCTGGAGAAGGGGTAGGGCTAGGGTCAGGGTGCTCTTGCCTGTATCCTGTGGAGATAAGCACTCCGTTCTTCTTCCACTCGACCTGTGGCCGGGGCAGACCTTGCACGGTCGCGGTGAACACCACACTCCCCCCTTCCACCAGCCGCTGCACCTGCGGCCGGGTGATGAAGACCGGGCTCGTCATGTCCTTCTCTGCAACGGGTTCCTCTGGAGGACCCTCTGGTTCCTCTGGTTCTGTGAGACTGTGACATCACATGTAAGTAACATAGTAGAAGTCGTAGTAGTAGTAGCTGTACTAGAAGTAGTAGCTGTAGTAGTAATAGTAGTAGTAGTAGTAGTAGTACTTGTGGTACTCACTTGGTCTGTGTTTGTGGTTCTACTTCAGTTTCTTCTCTTGTATCCATTTCCTCCGACACTGAACACAGACAATAATCATGTTACTAAAACTAACGAACCTATACCAGGAAACAAAGGACCAGACTAGACCCTTGGGGGAAATCCGATATTTTTTAAGAACCTTTTTTACCCGCCTGATTTACCCTGCACCAGGAGGTCTTACCCTGCATCACGAGTTAGCAAGTGGTCTTACCCTGCACCAGGAGGTAGCAGGAGGTGCTGTGTTCTTACCCTGCACCAGGAGGTAGCAGGAGGTGCTAGTGGTCCCGGCCTGGTTGGTAGCTGTGCAGGTGAATCGCCCGCTGTCTTCTGCAAAGGCCTCTCTGATGGCCAGCTGGGCCTCTTGGTTCTCGTAGCTCATGTGGAAGTCGACTGAGTCCTGGATCTTGAAATCCTCCCTGAACCACATGACGACCGGGGCAGGAGTACCACCAATCTGGCAACGCAGCAACACGCCTTCGCCCTCGGTAACCGTTTGGTTCACCAGGCCCTGGACACAAGGGGAGGAGGTCAGAGCTGAGGCAGAAGACAGACTTGAGTCCTTCTCCCTGACATTTGACCTGACAGAAGGTCATGGTTTAGTCAGGTGAACGTTTAGGACAAACCAGACAGAAGGGTGGGGTAGTGAGGGACTGAGGCAGTGGGGGACTGAGGCAGTGGGGGACTGAGGCAGTGGGGGACTGAGGCAATGGGGGACTGAGGCAGTGGAGGACAGGTAGTGGGGGATTGAGGGAGAGGGTGAGTGGCGGACTGCAAACTGGACCTAACAGCCTCAGGTCGTCAAAGATCCTTTCTCAGACCTAAAGCTGGGGTATGTAAACTTTACTCACCAAGATGATTGTGGGCGGAGCCACTCCTTCATCAGTGGGAAGTGTAGCCTCCTCCACCTGCAGAGAAGCAGCATCAGTCTCACGGCCGCTTATGGTCAGTTATGGTCAGTTATGACCGGTCATGGTCGGATATAGGTCCTGACCTGTCTGGGAGGCTGAGGCTGAGGCTGAGGCTGGGGCTGGGGCTGCCCGGTCATGGGTCCTGTCTTCTTCCAGGGAGGGGGAACATCAGAAGCTCCTGCTGCCGCTCTGGAAACAACCATAATCATACTGTTATATACATACATAGACACACACACACACACACACACACACACACACACATGAACAAACACACACAGAGAGACAGACACACACATAGACACTCACCTGGTAGGCGTGGGGGTAGGAGCTTTCACGTGCCTCACCGGTGATGGTGACTGCTGTCTCCCTCCCTTCCCCGTGGGGGGGGCCAGTAAGGCGGGGGAGGGAGCGGAGGGGGGAGACTTGGAGGTGGGTTTGGGCGGAACTCTTGGGGGAGTTTTGTGAGTCAGACTCACTGCCTCCATGTGGAACGAGGACTCCATCTTCTGTGGGGGGGAAAACAAGTTAATGAGAGGGAAAGGGGGGAACGGGTGGGTTATGAGGGGGTGAGCCATGAAGAGTGATGGGGCGAGGTATGAGGGGGTGGGGTGTGAGAGGGCGAGGTATGAGGGGGTAAGTACCTTCTCCACTCTGGTCTGTCTGATTGATGCGGTCGTAATCACGGTCTTTGTCTTTTTTGCAGGAATGGCTTCATCGCCTGAAAACAACACATGAACCACATGAAGACCCAACTGAGGATGAAGACCCTATACCCCAACACTGACCCTGATGCCAGCCCTTTACCCCTCCCCTTATGTCTAAATGCTCTGGTTCAAACTCTCTACACTATGAGGCCTTCAGCTAGCCCGCTCATCCCGGTTGTGTCTTACTCCATAAATCCGTACCTTGCACCAGCAGCTCGGCGGTGCAGGTGGCCCGGCCAGTCGTGTTGCTGGCCGTGGCTGAGTAGGAGCCGGAGTCCTCAGGAAAGGCCTCTCTCAGGAGCAGACTGTGCAAGTCCTGGTCCTGGACTATCTTGAAGTCTGAGGAGCTCTGGATCTCAGCTCCTTCTCTGTAGAACTTTACTGTCGGCGCGGGAATCCCAGAAACTCGGACGTCCAGGCGCACCGCACTGCCCGTCCTCACGGTGGCGCTCTGGAGGCGCTGGACAAACACCGGAGGCGCTGTCTCAGCTGGGGACAGAGGAGAAGGAGAGTTCACCATGAGCTCTCAGGTCCACTCACCGGTCTCAAGTCCTTCATATTATTCCTGGTCTGAGGTCTCTCTCTGTGCTCTCTCTCTCTGTGGTCTCTCAATAATCTCTGTGGTCTCTTTCTCTCTCTGTGGTCTCTCTGTGGTCTCTCTGTGGTCTTTCTGTGGTCTCTGTGGTCTCTCTCTGTGGTCTCTCTGTGGTCTCACCGGTCACCAGCAGCTCGGCAGTGGAGGTGGCCTGGCCTGTGGCATTGGTGGCTCGGACAGAGTAGCGTCCGCTGTGCGTGGCGTTCACGGTGCTGAGGCTCAGAACAGCGCGGCCTTCGCTGAACGAGATCCTGGCACCAGGAAGCGACGCAGAGGTCAGAACCTGACCATCACGAAACCAGCTGACCTCAGGGACTGGGGTTCCTGAGAGAGGGACCAGGGTCAGGACTAAAGCAGGTCTCAAGCAGGACTAAAACAGGACTAAAGCAGGTCTATAGCAGGACTAAAGCAGGTCTAAAGCAGGTCTATGACAGGTCTACGACAGGTCTAAAGCAGGACTAAATAAAGTCTTAAACAGGACTAAAGCAGGACTAAAGCAGGTCTAAAGCAGGTCTACAGCAGGACTCACCACTGACTTGAGCCTGGAGCGTCGCGGCACTACCCTCTAGTGCCACGACGCTCTGTAGCGGCTGTGTGAACGTCGGCGCTCGGCTCGACATGTCTTCCGGCACCTGGCAACACACACAGAGTCAGACCTGGCAACACAGAGTTCTTCTGAAACTTTAGGACACAGAACTATGCAATAATGCATCAATTTTATACAGATCCTGGACACTCAAAGGCTCTTAACATGGCATTATTCATTCACTACAAACACAGTGGTGATGAAACACTACTGTAGCCACAGCTGCCCTGAGGCACAGACAGAAGTGAGTCAACCAGTCTGTGGCATTGGCCCCTCCCACCACCACTAACCATTCACACATACACTGTGGCACCTGGTGTTCCCAGAGGTCTCCCATCATAGTACTAACCAGGCCCTTCCCTGCTTAGCTTAGCTTCAGAGCCACAGTATAGAGTGTCTACAGTCATACACACAAATGAAACAAAAAATCATGTAACTTAAATGAAATCATGAATAAAAATAACCTTTTAGACATGTCTAGTCCTTTCAACTGTCGTCAATTTTGTTTTATTTTATTTATTTATTTAGATAAATAAACTATCTGTTTTATAGACTCTACGGGCAACAGCAGAGAGTGAGAATCCTGTGTTAGACAATCCGAATACTGTCTTTTGGAGAGTATTGGATTATTCAATATCATAAAATCTCTTTTCAAACCAAATCAAGCGACATTTAGAACCGGAAAAAACAATAAAATGTATTTAATGTAATTATTTACTGGGAGGATGAAGAGAGATGAAGCTTCTCCTTTTCAAAGGGTGATTAAATATTTGAATCGTTTGACAGCTCGTTTGACAGCTCTAGTCTAAAGTTAGAACTACTTGAAAAGTGTGTGTGCGTGTGTGTGTTAACTTTACAGGGGAAGTATGAGAGCGGGGGTGGGGGGGGGGGGGGAGGAAGGGGGAGAGGGGAGAGGGGGGGGGGGTGAGAGCAGCACTAAATAAATGTCCCTCATAAAGTCATTAATAGAAGTGTTAGTCAGACGCCAGCAAAACAAAGAGGAACGAGTCATTGTCCAATCAGAGCACAGGACTGTCACATGGACCAATCAGAGCACAGGACTGTCACATGGCCCAATCAGAGCACAGGACTGTCACATGGCCCAATCAGAGCACAGGACTGTCACATGGCCCAATCAGAGCACAGGACTGTCACATGGACCAATCAGAGCACAAGACTGTCACATGGACCAATCAGAGCACAGGACTGTCACATGGACCAATCAGAGCACAGGACTGTCACATGGACCAACAGAGCACAGGACTGTCACATGGACCAATCAGAGCACAGGACTGTCACATGGACCAATCAGAGCACAGGACTGTCACATGGACCAATCAGAGCACAGGACTGTCACATGGACCAATCAGAGCACAAGACTGTCACATGGACCAATCAGAGCACAGGACTGTTACATGGACCAATCAGAGCAGAGTAATGTAAACAGTGTTAAAGATCAGGGCCTGAACCCAAACGTGTAGCCGAGGCGCTGTAGTTTGGGCCTCTCATTATAAGTGGTACCTGTGGTTGGGCTGTAACAGACTGTAGAGCACTTCCCCTTTAACAGCTCCTGGTTGGTCCACAGTTTGGTTGCTGTTAGAGAGTCTGTAGTTGGGGCCTTTCCATTTACTGGGGGAGTCGTACATGTGAGTGTTTGTTCTGCAGCTGAGAGCGAGGAATGTGCTGAGTCGTGCTCCGGTTTCAACAGCTGACCTCCCATTGGATAAAAATAGACCAGGGGGCGGGGCTTAGAGAGAGTCCTGAAGACAGGTGCTTAAGCCCAAAGACCAGAGACCAGAGAGAGACCAGAGAGGGAGACTCGAGAGAGACCAGCAAGAGAGCAGAGAGAGAGACTAGACAGAGACCAGAGAGAAACCAGAGAGAGAGGCTAGAGAAGGACCAGAGAGAGACTAGAGAGAGGCCAGGAAGAGACCAGAGAGAGACCAGAGAGAAACCAGAGAGAGAGCCTAGAGAAGGACCAGAGAGAGACTAGAGAGAGGCCAGAGAGAGACCAGAGAGGGAAACCAGAGACCAAAGATAGAGACCAGATAGGGAGACCAGATAAACAGACTAGAGAGAGACCAGAGACTAGTGAGAGACCAGAGAGGGAGACCAGAGAGTGAGACCAGAGAGTGAGACTAGAGAGTAAGACTTGAGAGAGACCAGAGAGAGACTAGATAGACCAGAGAGACCAGAGATAGACCAGAGAGTGAGACTTGTAAAAGTAGTCAGCCTCTTTCCTCTGAGTCGTTTAGAGTTTCTAATGAAAGGACAGTTTGGAATCTCCTCAGTTCCAAGAACACAGCAGAGAGGTCAGAGGTCAGGGACGAAGTTGTGGAGAAGGTTTGGTCTATCATCCAGTAATGGGATGAGTGTGGCACCACTTCAAACCTACCAAGACATGGCCAACAAGGACAACACTGAATCAAGTGACACCAAACAAGAGAGTCCCGTAGAGCGATGGAGGACGACACAAACACACACTCTAACTCTATTATTGACAAATGCTGATTATGAAAAGGGCCAGTACTAAACCATATCAGCAAAACAAATTCTAAATATGACGCTAAACACCAAAAGGAGATCACTTTGAACTTGAGTTTGGTTGATGACCAGAGAGCCACCTCTTCACTAAAGCTCAAGATCACTCACTAAGGAGCAGGAAGTGTGGGCCCCGGCGGGTAACGAGGCTAACAAGGCTAACCAGGCTAATGAGGCTAACAAGGGTAACCAGGCTATTGAGGCTAACCAAGCTAATGAGGCTAACAAGGCTAACCAGGCTAACCAGGCTAACCCTAACTCTGAGTCCATCACTGAAAGACACAACAGAATGTGTATCAGGACACACACACCCTTCCAGAGATAATGGTGTCGCCCCCCCCCCCCCCCCCTCCTCCTCCCCCTCCCCCCCCCTCCTCCCCCTCCTCCCCCCCATCCCCCTCCTCAGACCTGCTGCACAGACCTTTCTGAAGACCCTGTGCTGTTTCTGACCACAGGCTGAGGTCATCACAGATCTCCAGCCCCTCAAACACGACCTGAGAATTCTACACATTCTACTCTCTCTGGAGCACTATAAACTAGTACTCGAGTACCAGGACTCTGAAACAGTACTCGAGTACCAGTACTATATTTTTGTTGTCATCAGCATCACTTCATTGTCAGCAGATTAGAAAATCCAACAATTAGAAAGAAACACAAGAATGAGCCTTAGAGCAGACATGTCAAACTCTGACACACAAGACATCATTTTAACCCCTAAAATGATTTTAATTTATTATTATTGACTTGCAGCATTTATGGTTATGGGCGACCAAGGTACAGAGAGAGACCAAGGCATGTTATACAGAAAAACACTCATTCATTCATTCATTTTAACCCAACGATATCATTCGAAATTGTGAAATGTTTATAACTTTATATTTGGTCCAGATTTGGGTCAATCTAAAGAAGAAACACATTTTGTTTTGAGAAAAATAAACCAGAAAATAATAGTGAAACTCATGTCACACAAGTAGGCAATCTTTATTCACAGACTAGAGGCACAAAAAGCTTTACAATTACATTTGTCTCTCTCCAGACAGAGATGGGAGCCGGGTCCTACAGGACAGACTTATTACACATGTTTTAGTGGAAGGAAAACTGGAGGAAACCTTCACAGATACAGGAAGATAAGTTTTACAACATAAAAGTCAAAGTTCATAAAGTAAAAAGCAATGATATAAAAAGGAAATCCTTTCGATTCTTTGGGCCCAGACTGAATAGTTTTTTCTTCGGCCCCAGACCAACATGAGTTCGACACCTCTGCCTCAGCGGTCCACATGGTTTAAGCTCAGGTATCGTCTAACTTCTCTAACTGCAGCTTCTATCGTCTTCACTTCAGATCATCTTCTGTGAAAAAGAGAGGACGCCCCTCACTCAGCCAACCAGCTCTCAGCCTAAAGAGTCAGATATTGACTCAGGGCTGTTTCTTACACAAAAGATAGCATGAAGCTTAAGTGGAGGGTCAGTCTGGAAGTCAGTCTGCGGCAACAGCACCTGTCAATCACACCAGCTGCAGCTCCACACTGGCAGCAATTAACCATCAAGCCTCATATTGTACAGGAAGCTTTCATCCATGCAGCAACCCTCCTCCTCCCCAACACCGCCTCATTGGCCCGACCAGTTCTTTCACCCTCTCCTCGCTCCCGTCACCAGGGTCTAGCCCCTGGGGGACTTCTTATCATAATCTCTATTTCCATTTCCCCCTTCTCTGCCGGGGTCTCTGCACCAAATTTTAACCACATTTGTCTTGTAAACATTGTCTTCAGAGTTGGGTGCGCTGATTCATGTAGTGTCAGATTTACTGCAACAACATACAATTATAATAAACTCTGTTTTGTCTGTTACAGTCTCTGCAGATTGAACTCGTTCTAATCTTAGGCGACAGATGAACGAGCTCAGATCTAAAAGTAGAGCTGCATCTTTCACTGCGGCTGTAACCGTCTCTGAATAAACCAGAGGACGACGTCTGTGGAGGCGAGCTTTAAAACGTGTAGAAGACACAGATGTAGACAACACGCCTGTGCAGCAGACAGACCTGTGTTACAGACCTCACATTACACCTGTGTCACACAGACCTCACATTACACCTGTGTTACAGACCTCACATTATACCTGTGTTACAGACCTCACATTACACCTGTGGCACAGACCTCACATTACACCTGTGTTACAGACCTCACATTACACCTGTGTTACAGACCTCACATTACACCTGTGTCACAGACCTCACATTACACCTGTGTCACAGACCTCACATTACACCTGTGTTACAGACCTCACATTACACCTGTGTTACAGACCTCACATTACACCTGTGTTACAGACCTCACATTACACCTGTGTCACAGACCTCACATTACACCTGTGTTACAGACCTCACATTACACCTGTGTTACAGACCTCACATTACACCTGTGTTACAGACCTCACATTACACCTGTGTTACAGACCTCACATTACACCTGTGTTACAGACCTCACATTACACCTGTGTCACAGACAGACCTCACATTACACCTGTGTTACAGACCTCACATTACACCTGTGTCACAGACAGACCTCACATTACACCTGTGTTACAGACCTCATATTACACCTGTGTTACAGACCTCACATTACACCTGTGTTACAGACCTCATATTACACCTGTGTTACAGACCTCACATTACACCTGTGTTACAGACCTCACATTACACCTGTGTTCAACTATAAATCTACCAAGACACTGCCATCTTCCCAAACTCACAGCTCGAACACTGATCACAGATGCAGACAAGAGGCCAATAGTAGTAGGACACTGCAGATAGTGTATCTGGCCTAATGAACAAGAGGTAACAGGGGATGGAGACCTATGAGAGCTGGGGGATGGAAACAGGGAAAACACATTTATTTGGCAGTAAACTGCTTCAACAACCATGGACCCAAACTGGTGTGAACCCAAACTGGTGTGAACCCAAACTGGTGTGATCCCAAACTGGTGTGATCCCAAACTGCTTTGAGTGTATTATCTGTGTCCGTTGTGGATAGTTTCACAGATTAGTTTCAGCAAATCTGTGAAGTGGAGTCTACCCTGCTCCTCTTGGGTCTGATAGAAAACTTCCTGGACCGGTTTGGACATCGGCATCACATGTCATGTGGTAGACTCTGAAGGGGTTAGAATCCTCATAGAAGCAAACAAAAAAGACACTGAACAAAAAACCACAAAGATTTCACCATTGTTCTATTTTGCAAAAACACCACATTCTAAATTGGGAGAATATGATCAAATGCTGAAATCTGTCTCATCTACAAAGTCATTCTTGGTTCATCGTCACCTCCACTCAACAGATTTATTCCGGTCAGAAACACCACACACGGAAACTCTGTGAGGGTGTCTCAGGAGCGGAACACAGGCGGAATATCGGTTCAAAACTCATCTCAAATCATAATTCATAACAAATCAGACATGTCAGCACTAACTTTTACCTGTTTAACACATTGTCGTTGCATATATGGTGAATGTACAGTTATTTTATTATTATTATTGTTGTTTTTACAAATCAATAAATACATAAAGATTTAATTCATCTGCTTTAATGAATGACCCCTATCTGGGTGCGTAAACTTATAAGTGACAAATAACTGTGACAGTGTCAACCGTCTTTAATACAGTTTATGACTGATCCAGGGTCAGTTTCTATCTGCATCTGATAAGGAGCAGTCTGTAGTGATGCTCCTGTTAAAGTTTGGACACCCCTGGATTGGAGGCTCTAATAGATGTTTCTGGGAAATTATTCCACTATCGTCCTTAGAAACATCCTATGTGTGTCTCTGTGTGTGTGTGTGTCTCTGTGTGTGTGAGTGTGTGTGTGTCTCTGTGTGTGAGTGTGAGTGTGTGTGTGTGTGTGATTGACAGTCCCCTCTGTGCCTCTGCCCTCTCCTTAAAAAGCCATGAGCCTGGGAGCCGAGCTATTCCTGTCCCGAACACAACACCACGAAGGCCAGAGCGCGACCAGGGACCAGATAACCAGGTCTAAACCAGGACTAAGCCAGGTTTAAACCACATCTAAACCAGGACTAAACCAGGACCAGAGCAGGTCCTAACCAGGACTGTGCCAGGTCCAAACCAGATCTAAACCAGGACCGGAGCAGGTCTTAACAGGGACTGAACCAGATCTGAAGCAGGTTTCAGTTAGACCAATATGAAATTAGCATCAAGGATCCAAACCCAATGGTCCAAAACCATAAGGGTGAATGAGAAATCCCACAGAGCTTTAAACACATCACAAAGAGGACAGAGGAGATCATCCAGGTTCATTCAGGTAATACAGTATAGAGTACACGTACAGGTATACAGTACACAGTACATAGTATTCACAGGACTGTTTGACCGGAGCAGAAACATGGCTGCCCTGTCAGCAGAGGATCAGAAATACCACACAGGGTTACAGTAGCAGGATTCAGCAGTACTCGCAGTAGTACTGCAGTGGGTTAGGGTCAGGGGTATTGCAGTACATTCAGTAGAAGTAGAAGTGGTTTATAAATAGAGCTGACCACAGGACACATGCTCACGGCCTCACACCGGTCACTCGTCTGCATAGTAACAGTAGCATTAGGACTCTGGTACTTGTAGTACTGGTAGTACTTGAAGTACTTGTACAGTCTACGTATACATTAGGGCTGTAGTATGTCCTGCAATATTTGGGACTTACTTGGTGCCGTCAGACGTTTGCTTGTTTTCGGGGGGCTGTGCTGAGGAGTCTGGGGTCCCACAGGTGTTTTCCCCCTCCACCAGCTCTGCTCAGGGAAGTGGCCTGAAGGGACAGGGGCTCTTATACTGCCCCCCCCCCCCCCCCCCCCAGAGCCCGGGTGGGACCTGGCCTCTGCTCCCACCCCACCTAGACCTGCCCTCAGGACCCCCTTCACAGAGGCCGTCCAATCACAGCACAGACAGAGATGCCACTCACCCCTCACAGCTAATCAGGGCTCAGTGTTGGGAGTACCTTTCACTGACCCTTGTGAAGAGGAAAACACACACACACACACACACACACACATAATACATGTAGTAGATATAAAAATGTAGAGTATACATCTATAAAGTACAAATATATAAAGTATATACATACTTTGGACCAGGTCCCCTCAGGTTTTTTTAACAGAGAATCAGCCAATCACAGTTGAAAGGCTTCGGCCAATCACAGCACAGACAGCCCAGGGCCCAGTGCATCTTGGGAACAGTTACTCAACAAAAACACAGGTTTTGTAAAAGTTTATTTTTACCAAGTGTTAAGAATATCTCTGGTGTCTTTTTACTGCAGCTCTGAACCACAGTCGCAATAATCTTGGAGGACTCTACAAAGTTGTCAATTTGCCAATGCAGATCAGAGAATGATAATGCAGAGTGTGCCTCTGCAGGAGGTGTGCCTCCTCCTGATGCTGTCTCCTCACGTTTAAACCTGTGTCGGTTCAATTCCAAATGGTCCAGCTCGTTACATATTTACAGCAGCTGCCAAAGTGCTTCAACAGAAACAAAGAAAGCAACACACAAAAATATATAACAGTAGAACTGGTTTAAAAGTAATGTCTATCCTCATGATTTCACTTAAAGATGGTTGTGATGAACTACCATAGCCACATCTGCCCTGGGGCACACTGACAGAAGCTAGGCAACCAGTCTGTGCCATCGGCCCCTCCCACCACCAACCATTCACACACACACCAGACTCAGGCTTAGTGTCATGGGTCTGACGGGATCTGGCTTTCACCTGCAGATGGGCAGGTGTCATACTGTGGAGTTCCTCAGGGGTCGACACTTGGACCCACAGTATTCATATTAGTCATGAAGGAAAAAGAAAAGTGGCATTAGAACAATAACTGAAACTTACAATCTGCTCTTTTAGTCGTGATAGTGCCATACGAATACATTTTCACTTTTTATTTATAATAAAACTATATGTAGCTACAAGAACAGAGCTCTGAGGAGCAAAGGGACCGGCCTCCTGCAGCAGCAGCTGCAGTAGAAGAAACAGAAGCAGAAGCAGCAGCAGAAACAGCAGTAGCAGCAGCAGCAGCCGCAGCAGTAGCAGCAGCAGAAACATAAGCAGAAGCAGCAGCAGCAGAAACATACAGTGCCTTGCGAAAGTATTCGGCCCCCTTGAACCTTTCAACATTTCGCCACATTTCAGGCTTCAAACATAAAGATATAAACATTTAAATTTTTGTCAAGAATCAACAACAAGTGGGACACAATCGTGAAGTGGAACGAAATGTATTGGATAATTTAAACTTTTTTAACAAATAAAAAACTGAAAAGTGGGGTGTGCAATATTATTCGGCCCCCTTTGCGCTAATACTTTGTAGCGCCACCTTTTGCTGCAATTACAGCTGCAAGTCGCTTGGGGTATGTCTCTATCAGTTTTGCACATCGAGAGGCTGGAATTCTTGCCCATTCTTCCTTGCAAAACAGCTCGAGCTCAGTGAGGTTGGATGGAGAGCTTTTGTGAACAGCAGTCTTCAGCTCTTTCCACAGATTCTCGATTGGATTCAGGTCTGGACTTTGACTTGGCCATTCTAACACCTGGATACGTCTATTTGTGAACCATTCCATTGTAGATTTGGCTTTATGTTTTGGATCATTGTCCTGTTGGAAGATAAATCTCCGTCCCAGTCTCAGGTCTTATCCAGACTCCAACAGGTTTTCTTCCAGAATGGTCCTGTATTTGGCTCCATCCATCTTCCCATCAATTTTAGCCATCTTCCCTGTCCCTGCTGAAGAAAAGCAGGCCCAAAGCATGATGCTGCCACCACCATGTTTGACAGTGGGGATGGTGTGTTCAGGGTGATGAGCTGTGTTGCTTTTACGCCAAACATATCGTTTTGCATTGTGGCCAAAAAGTTCAATTTTGGTTTCATCTGACCAGAGCACCTTCTTCCACATGTTCGGTGTGTCTCCCAGGTGGCTTGTGGCAAACTTTAAACAAGACTTTTTATGGATATCTTTGAGAAATGGCTTTCTTCTTGCCACTCTTCCATAAAGGCCAGATTTGTGCAGTGCACGACTGATTGTTGTCCTATGGGCAGACTCTCCCACCTCAGCTGTAGTTAGCTGCAGTTCATCCAGAGTGATCATGGGCCTCTTGGCTGCATCTCTGATCAGTCTTCTCCTTGTTTGAGATGAAAGTTTGGAGAGACGGCCGGGTCTTGGTAGATTTTCAGTGGTCTGATACTCCTTCCATTTCAATATAACTGCTTGCACAGTGCTCCTTGAGATGTTTAAAGCTTGGGAAATCTTTTTGTATCCAAATCCGGCTTTAAACTTCTCCACAACAGTATCTCGGACCTGCCTGGTGTGTTCCTTTGTCTTCATGGTTCTCTCTGCGCTTTAAACAGAACCCTGAGACTATCAAAGAGCAGGTGCATTTATACGGAGACTTGATTACACACAGGTGTCTATTTATCATCATCAGTCATTTAGGACAACATTGGATCATTCAAAGATCCTCACTGAACTTCTGGAGAGAGTTTGCTGCACTGAAAGTAAAGGGGCCGAATAATATTGCACGCCCCACTTTTCAGTTTTTTATTTGTTAAAAAAGTTTAAATTATCCAATAAATTTCGTTCCACTTCACGATTGTGTCCCACGTGTTGATTCATGACAAAAAATTAACATTTTATATCTTTATGTTTGAAGCCTGAAATGTGGCAAAATGTTGAAAAGTTCAAGGGGGCCGAATACTTTCGCAAGGCACTGTAAGCAGAAGCAGCAGCAGCAGCAGAAACAGCAGCATCAGTAGCAACAGTAGGAGTGTCTGTTTCCTGTCTCTGTCTTACTTCCTTTTTGTTTCAAATGCTCAACGTCTTCAGACTCAACACTCGTCCGCTGGAGTTTGATCTGCATCTACGGCTCAGGTAAGACCAGATCCAGACCAAGACCAGGTCTCGACCCAGACCCAGATCTAGACTAAGACGAGGTCCAGTCCCAAACCTGGGTCCAGATCAAGACCAGACCCAGGTCCGGACCAAGACCAGACCCAGATCCAAGTCCTATCAGAGACCCAGGTCTTTACAGAGACCCAGATCCAGGTCCAGACCTAGGTTCTCACAGAAACCAGTGAGGAGGACAGTGAGGACCTGTGAGTCAGAGACTAACCTGAGCACCTCTGCCCATAAACATGTGGGCTCTGTAATGTGTGACGTGTGCATTAGTGTTATATGTGTGTGTGTGTGTGTGTGTGTGTGTGCGTGTGTTAGTGTTATATGTGTGTGTGTTAGTGTTATATGTGTGTTAGTGTTATTTATGTGTGTGTTAGTGTTATATATGTGTATGTTAGTGTTGTATATGTGTGTGTTAGTGTTATATGTGTGTGTGTTAGTGTTATATGTGTGTTAGTGTTATATATGAGTGTGTTAGTGTTGTATATGTGTGTGTTAGTGTTATATGTGTGTTAGTGTTATATATGTGTGTGTTAGTGTTGCATATGTGTGTGTGTTAGGGTGCGTTAAGGCTGACCCTTAGCCCTAGTCCACACACACATGTGTTATTTGTGTTTCCTCGGCCTGACGTCGACTCGAGCGTTAGTTCAGGAAATGATTCAAAATGGATGAATTCATAGTTTTTTCAGTGTTGGGTGTGACCCATCCTTCTTCTTCCACTTAATTTGTTGCCGGGTCGCGGGGGCAGCAGTCTGAGCAGAGACTTGCCTCTTCTGGAGGACCAGGACTAGGAACTGGAGAGTGGAGTTGTATAAGATCTACGTGTATGTTAATAACATGTATGTATTATCAGTATCTATAATCTTTATCTATAAATACTATAGATCTGTTTTACAAAGCACTTCCTGTTTCTCTGAAGTCTGATAACACATCTCCTTATTTGGTATCAGTTTGATGGAGGAAGTTAATGTTATAAATAAACAGTGACTCACACTATCGTAGTATACTCTACTGTAGTATACTCTATCATAGTATACTCTACTGTAGTATACTCTATCATAGTATACTCTACTCTAGTATACTCTACTGTAGTATACTCTACTGTTGTATACTCCACTGTAGTATACTCTACTGTAGTATACTCTACTGTAGTATACTCTATCATAGTATACTCTATCATAGTATACTCTACTGTAGTATACTCTACTGTAGTATACTCTACTGTTGTATACTCTACTGTTGTATACTCCACTGTAGTATACTCTACTGTAGTATACTCTACTGTAGTATACTCCACTGTAGTATACTCTACTGTAGTATACTCTACTGTAATATACTCTACTGTAGTATACTCTACTGTTGTATACTCTATTGTAGTATACTCTACTGTAGTATACTCTACTGTTGTATACTCCACTGTAGTATACTCTACTGTAGTATACTCCACTGTAGTATACTCTACTGTAGTATACTCTATTGTAGTATACTCTACTGTAGTATACTCTACTGTAGTATACTCTACTGTAGTATACTCCACTGTAGTATACTCTACTGTAGTATACTCTACTGTGGTATACTCTACTGTAGTATACTCTATTGTAGTATACTCTACTGTAGTATACTCTACTGTTGTATACTCCACTGTAGTATACTCTACTGTTGTATACTCCACTGTAGTATACTCTACTGTAGTATACTCTACTGTAGTATACTCTACTGTAGTATACTCTACTGTAGTATTCTCTACTGTTGTATACTCCACTGTAGTATACTCTACTGTAGTATACTCCACTGTAGTATACTCTACTGTTGTATACTCCACTGTAGTATACTCCACTGTAGTATACTCTACTGTAGTATACAATACAATACAATACTTATTCTTGTATAGCCCTAGGTCACAACAGAAGTCATCTCAGAGACTTAACAAAACCATTGAAATCACCAACACAGGTCAGAGAATCAACAGTTAAAACACATGAAGAATATAAAGCACACACAGAAGAAAATGTCCATACATGTTGTAGAATGCTAAAGTGTCCTGATCATCACCAATCCTTTCTGTTGGACACTAACTGTCCAACAAGACCCTCCTGCATCGACAAGGAACAACTCTTAAAAAACCCAGTGGGAAAAAGTGAGAAACCTTGGAGGAGAACTAGGGAAACCCACAGGGAGGGAGACCCATATGAGAAAGGGATCCGCTCCTCCGGACGGACAGACTAATGATCCAGGACCTAAGCTAGCTACAGAACGTGGACCAGTGGCCGCTGAACGTGGACAGGTCCGGTGCAGGACTGAAGCACTCCCAGGCGGGTCGGGCGGGGCAGTCCGCAGGTGTAGATGGAGGAGGCCAGGCTCAGAGATCCCGTCATCGTACCATGAAACAGACAATGGTACAACGGGTGAATAGCAATGAACAAACTACAATCCTAATAATGCTAAACAGGTAAAGTATACCTATAGTAGAGAGAATGGTCTGAACCGAGCGGCTGCTCCACCTGCTGCGGCTGTGACCTGAAGTGCTGTTGCTTATTGTTAGCTTTTTAGAATGATAAATGTATTTGTTTGTTTGGATGGAGGTGTTTTTGCTGCTACTGGACACCTGCCTTTCTCTCACGGGGATCAATAAAGTTTTTATTCAATTTATCTATATATATATCTATCTAAGTAAGTAAGAAATCTTTATTTATATAGCACATTTTACAGACCAAGGTCACCCAAAGTGCTTACAATGTTTTGGTTCCATTCTCTCCAAACAGTGAGACTCCAACACCATCCACTCACTCATTACATTCAGAGTATACTAATTACCGCTAATATACTATTAGCGGTAGTGGAAACCGAAGCACCCGGAGGAACCTGCCTGGAGGAATCTACGCAGACACAAGGAGAACATGCAAACTCTACACAGAAAGCCCTGGAATCGAACCCCGGACTGCTGCACCACTGTGACGCCCAGAGAATACTCTATACTGTAGTATACTATACTGTAGAATACTCTTCTCCATACTACTGCACTATATATCCATCCATCCATCCATCCATTTTCTACCCTTTAATCCATTTCTGGGTCAGGGGGGTGGCACTCAGAGATGCCACCCAAGTCTCATAGCACCAGCCCCTCACTGACCCTCTGCAGGTGGTGAGTCCACAGGAGGACGGCTGCTCTAAGTGTGAGCATAGCCTTGATCTTTCAGTGGGGGCTTTTTTGGGCAAAGTGGGGTTAAGTGTCTTGCCCAAGGACACAACGACAGCAGTCATCAGTGGGAGTCGGTGGAGAAGGTGCAGAGGTGGGAATTGAACCCACGACCTTCTGGGCTTAAGGCCAATGCTCTACCAACTGAGCTACTGTCGCCCATATATATATATATGGGCGCCCATATGCACTATATATATATTTTAAAAAATCATTCTCACCTTTGGCCCTCCGCGGGCGGTTATCCCTCTCTAAGCTCGGGTCCTCTACCAGAGGCCTGGGAGCTTGAGGTTTCTGCGCAGTATCTTTGCTGTTCCTAGCACTGCACATTTCTGGACCCAGATGTCCGAGGTTGTTCCGGGGATCCGCTGTAACCACTCTTCTAGCTTCAGGGTCACTGCCCCGAGTGCACCGATCACCACGGGCACTACTGTCACCTTTACCCTCCAGGCCCTCTCCAGCTCCTCTCTGAGACCTTGGTATTTCTCAAGCTTTTCATGTTCCTTTTTCCGGATGTTACCATCGCTTGGAATTGCCACGTCCACCACCACGGCTGTCCTCTGCCCTTTGTCCACCACCACGATGTCAGGTTGGTTCATTACCATTCGGTCGGTCTGTATCTGGAAGTCCCACAGGATCTTCGCACGCTCATTCTCCACCACCTTTGGAGGAGTTTCCCACTTAGACCTTGGGGTTTCCAGCCCATACTCTCCACAGATGTTTCTGTACACTATGCCAGCCACTTGGTTATGGCGTTCCATGTAGGCCTTCCCTGCCAGCATCTTGCACCCTGCAGTTATGTGTTGGATCGTCTCAGGTGCCTCTTTGCACAACCGACACCTTGGGTCTTGTCTGGTGTGGTATATCTGGGCCTCTATCGCTCTGGTGCTCAGGGCCTGTTCCTGTGCAGCCATGATGAGTGCCTCTGTGCTGTCCTGTAGGCCAGCCCTTTCTAGCCATTGGTAGGACTTCTTGAGATCAGCCACTTCTGTTATGCTCCGGTGGTACATGCCGTGTAAGGGCTTGTTCTCCCATGAGATATATATATATATATATATTAATATATATATATATGTAAACTGTGTTACTGCAGTATTATTGCAGTACTCATGTTTGTCCAGCAGGAGCTGAGCTCCAGGAGATTATGAAGATGAGGAGGCCTGGGCTGATGAAGATACTGATGAAGATACTGATGAAGATACTGTTGCTGCTGGTCCTGAGCTGTGGTGAGTCACTGCCTTCAGCAGGTACTCCTGATATTATTAGTGAACATCACTATAAATACTCTGTCACTACTACTACTGCTACTGCTACTGCTGCTACGACTACTGCTACTACTACTACTGCTGCTACTGCTACTGCTGGTACTACTACTGCTGCTACTACTGCTGCTACAACTACAACTGCTGCTACTACTGCTACTGCTGCTACAACTACAACTGCTGCTACTACTGCTACTGCTGCTACTACTACTACTGCTGCTACTACTGCTGCTACTACTGCTACTACTACGACTGCTGCTACTACTGCTGCTACTACTGCTACTGCTACTACTACTACGACTGCTGCTACTACTACTGCTGCTACTGCTGCTGCTACTGCTACTACTACTGCTACTACTACGCACGGTGGCTGAGTGGATAGCACTCTCGCCTCTCAGCAAGAAGGTCCTGGGTTCGAATCCCGGCCGGACCAGGGCCTTTCTGAGTGGAGTTTGCAAGTTCTCCCTGTGTCTGCGTAGGTTTCCTCCGGGTACTCCGGTTTCCCCTACCACTAAAAATATGTACAATAGGTCTGGCATGCGCCTCCTGTTCGGCGACCCCACTCCCATCTCTGTGTGGAGTGAGAGACAAGTGCCCAAAAAATAACAATTGTAAACCGCTTTGAGACTCAGATCTGTGAAAGGCGGTATATAAATAAAGCTTACTTACTACTACTTACTACTTACTACTACTGTTACTACTACTGCTACTGCTGCTGCTACTGCTGCTACTACTACGACTGCTGCTACTACTACTACTGCTGCTACTACTGCTACTGCTACTACTACTGCTGCTGCTACTACTACTACTTGTGCATAGCTTGAGGGGTTCCACAGAGCTCCATCTTCGTACATTTAACTCAGATGCAATGAACCCAGCGTAAAATCATGTTTGTTTTCAGCCGGTAATTTGTGTGTGTGCATTTGTGTGTTTGTGTGTGCGTGTGTGTTTGTGTGTATATGTGTGTGTGTGTGTGTGCGTGCGTGTGTTTGTGTGTATGTGTGTGTGTGTGTGTGTGTGTGCGTGCGTGTGTTTGTGTGTATATGTGTGTGTTTGTGTGTGCGTGCGTGTGTTTGTGTGTATATGTGTGCGTGCGTGTGTGTGTGTTTCAGATGTTTGTGTTCAGGATCAGGTGTGTTCTCGGTCTCAGATCGACAGCTGCAGCGACTGCATCAAAGCAGGACCCCTCTGTGTGTGGTGCCAACAGCTGGTGAGTAAAGTCCAGGTCCAGGTGAAGGGTCCTGGACCTGGACCCATAAGTTAAGGACATACGACCCTGACCCATAGGTTGAGTGAGTAGAAGACCTTCACATGTTTGAAATGTTCTGGTGCCTCCTGGTGAGAGGCAGAACATCTCAGAACTCATTTGTTTAAAAAGACAGAAAAGACTTCCTCGGCGATAAACTCTCTGGTCTCTCTCTGGTCTCTCTCTGGTCTCTCTCTGGTGTCTCTCTGGTTGGAGTCTCTCTGGTCTCTCCGATCTCTCTCTGGTCTTCCCGGTCCTTCTGGTCCCTCTCTGGTCTCACACTGGTCTTTCTCATCCCTCTGGTCTCTCACTGGTGTCTCTGGTCTCTCTGGTCAGAACTTCACGAAGGCGGGGGAGCAGGAGGCTGTCCGCTGTGACACCATGGAGCACCTGATAGAGCGTGGCTGTGACTCCAAAAATATTGTCACCGTCACAAACCAACACACTGTCACTGCGGACGTACCCCTGACCCAGAGTTTCACCCAGAGAGGGACCGACCCGGTGCAGCTGAGGCCACAGGGCATCAGTTTGACGGTCCGGCCAGGTGAGAGACACGCCACCAAGGCCAAGACTAGACCGAGAACAAGATCAAGACCAAGACCAAGACCACAATTTAATTCAATGTATTTTTTAATCGCCCTAAATCACAGCAGCAGTCGTCTCGTATAGACCCAGGACTGAGGCTGTAGACCCAGGACTGAGGCTGTAGATCCAGGACTGAGGCTGTAGACCCAGGACTGAGGCTGTAAACCCAGGACTGAGGCTGTAGACCCAGGACTCTGAGGCTGTAGATTCAGGACTGAGGCTGTAGACCCAGGACTGAGGCTGTAAACCCAGGACTGAGGCTGTAGATTCAGGACTGAGGCTGTAGATCCAGTGGGGAGATGGTTCCAGAGAATGCGGGTTTAAACCTCCCTCTCTCTGCAGGCTCACCGGCCCGGTTCCAGGTTAGGTTCAAGCGGGTGCAGGGGTACCCGGTCGACCTGTACTACCTCATGGACCTGTCCTTCTCCATGAAAGACGACCTACAGAACGTCAAGGAACTGGGAACAAACCTGTTCTCTGCTCTGAGGAAGATCACCGAGCACGGCCGCATAGGTACTACTGCTGCTATAACAACTGATAATAGTACCACTGCCAATGTTATTAATGCTAAAATGTACTGCTGTTACTATTACTTCTAATATTACTACTACTACTTCTACAACTATTACTACTGCTAACATTACTAGTTTTTGCTTAACGTGAGGGAGTTCCACAGGGCTCCATGTTCGGACCCCTACACTTACACACAGATGTAATGAATCCCACTGTAAAATCATTTTTGTGTTCAGGCAGTAACTTGTGTCTCTCTCTCTCTGTCTCCCTGAGTCTCTCTCTCTCTGTCTCTCTCTCTCTCTCTGTGTCTCTCTGTGTCTCTCTCTCTGTCTCTCTGTGTCTCTCTGTGTCTCTCTCTCTGTCTCTCTGTGTCTCTCTGTGTCTCTCTCTCTGTCTCTCTGTGTCTCTCTGTCTCTCTCTCTCTGTCTCTCTGTGTCTCTCTGTCTCTCTCTCTCTGTCTCTCTTTCTGTGTCTCTCTTTCTGTGTCTCTAGGATTCGGAGCGTTTGTGGATAAGACAGTTCTCCCGTTCACAAACACAAATCCTCAGAAGCTGCTGAAACCGTGTGATGAAGACTTGGCGAGTTGCCAGGCAGCGTTTGGTTATCGCCACGTCCTGAGTCTCACCGATAGTGAGGACCGCTTCAAGACCGAAGTGCAGAAACAGCACATATCTGGCAACCTGGACACTCCGGAGGGCAGTCTGGATGCCATGATGCAAGCCACTGTCTGCGGGGTCAGTGCTAACGCCAATCACTTCTAATGCTAACTACTAATGTTATTTATGACTGATGATAACTAGTACTAACACAAACTAGAACTAATGCTAACTATTACTCATGTTAACTAGTACTGATGCTGTAGCTGAGGATTGTAGCTGTACTTGTTGTACATTCTGACTGTTGCAGAAGCAGATTGTAGCTGTACTCGTTATACATTCTGACTGTTGCAGGACCAGATTGGTTGGAAGAACAGTTCCACGCGGCTCATCGTACTCACCACAGACGCCGGGTTCCACGCTGCAGGAGACGGGCGTCTGGCCGGGATCCTGGAGCCCAACGACCAACAGTGCCACCTGCAGAACAGTGTCTACACTGCATCTAATACTATGGTGATCTCTGACCCCTGACCCTACAACTACACAACTAAAACAGGTCAAAACCGCATTATAACAGGTTCTAACAGGTTCTCTGCTCCTGACAGGATTACCCGTCCGTGGGGCAGCTCGCTCTGCAGTTGGAGAAACAGAACATTCAGCCCATTTTCGCTGTGACTCAAGACGTCTCCAACATCTACAAGGTCCCTGTCCTGTGTGTCTGTGTGTGTCTGTGTGTGTCTGTGTGTGTCTGTGCATGCGTGTGTGTGTGTGTGTGTGTGTGTGTGTGTGTGTGTGTGCACTGTGCACTGGCACACTTTGTACACTTATGAGTGTACAAAGTGTGTGATTTGGGACGTGGCCTACGTGTGTCTGTGCATGTGTGTGTGTGTTTGTGTGTGTGTGTGTGTGTGTGTGTGTGTGTCTGTGCATGTGTGTGTGTGTTTGTTAACCCTGGATCAATCACTTGTGACCTCTGACCCTGGATCAAACACCTGTGACCTCTGACCCTGGATCAAACACCTGTGACCTCTGACCCTGGATCAAACATGTGTTACATCTGAAATGTAAATCTCTTTCAGGATTTGTCAAAGATGATTCCCAAATCCGAGGTGGGAATTCTGTCGGAGAACTCTGACAACGTGGTCAAACTCATCACAGATGCCTACAACGTGAGAGACCCCCCTCTGTCTGACCCCTCCCCCTCTGTCTGACTCCTCCCCCTCTGTCTGACTCCTCCCTCTGTCGGACCCCTCCCCCTCTGTCTGCCCCTCTCTCTGTTGGACTCCTCCCTCTCTGTCTGACTCCTCCCCCTCTGTCTGACTCCTCCCCCTCTGTCTGCCCCCTCCCTCTGTCTGACCCTGACCCCTGGACCCTAACCCTGACCTCTGACCTTTGTCCAGAGGCTGTCCTCCAAAGTGACCCTCACCCATGACTCACTTCCTGACGACGTTCAAGTGACTTTCAGCCCAAAGTGTGAACATCCAGGACCCAAGGGAGCGACCGGAGTCTGTGAAGACGTGCAACAGGGAAAAGAGGTACTGATGATCCTACTGCTGCTGCTGCTGGTACTGCTGCTGCTGCTGCTGCTGCTGCTGCTGCTACTGCTGCTACTGCTGCTGCTGCTACTGCTGCTGCTGCTGCTGCTGCTGCTGCTGCTACTGCTGCTACTGCTGCTACTACTGCTGCTACTACTGCTGCTGCTACTGCTACTGCTGCTGCTGCTGCTGCTACTACTGCTGCTACTGCTGCTGCTGCTACTGCTGCTACTGCTACTGCTGCTACTGCTGCTACTACTGCTGCTACTGCTGGTACTGCTGCTGCTGCTGCTGCTGCTGCTACTGCTGCTACTGCTGCTACTGCTGCTGCTGCTGCTACTGCTGCTGCTACTGCTGCTGCTGCTGCTACTACTGCTGCTGCTGCTGCTGCTACTGCTGCTACTACTGCTGCTACTACTGCTGCTGCTACTGCTGCTGCTGCTGCTGCTGCTACTGCTGCTACTGCTGCTGCTACTGCTGCTGCTGCTGCTACTGCTGCTACTGCTGCTACTGCTGCTGCTGCTGCTGCTACTGCTGCTGCTACTGCTACTGCTGCTGCTACTACTGCTACTGCTACTGCTGCTACTACTGCTGCTACTACTGCTACTGCTGCTACTGCTGCTACTGCTACTGCTGCTACTGCTGCTGCTGCTGCTCTGACCTAGTCTCTGGTCTCTGACCTGGTCTCTGGTTTCTGGTGTCTCTCAGATCCAGTTTGATGTGGAGGTGGTTGCTGGTTCCTGTCTTCCTGGTCCTCGGACCTTCACCATCAGACCGTTGGGGATCAAAGACTCACTGACTGTGATTATGGACACGGACTGTGACTGTAAGTGCAGCCAGTCAGCAGAGGGGGAGCGGCATCCACACTGCAGCAACCAGGGACGAGTGGACTGTGGGATCTGCAGGTACCATGTGACAGACCATGTGATATGGACCATGTGACATAGACCATATGACACAGACCATGTTACACCATGTGACTCAAACCATGTGACAAACCATATGACACACCATGTGACTCACACTATGTGACTCAGACCATGTGACGTAAACCATGTGGCATAGACCATGTGACTCAAAACATGTGACGCAGATCATGTGACGTAGACCATGTAATGTAGACAGTGTGGCGCAGACCATGTGACGCAGACCATGTGATGCAAACCATGTGACGTAGACCCTGTGACTCACACCATGTGACTCACACCATGTTACTCACACCATGTTTCTCACATCATGTGACACGGATCATGTGACACGGATCATGTGACGGACCATGTGTTGCAGTTGTGCGGAGGGCTTCCTGGGACAGTTCTGTAACTGTTCTGCGGACGAGCGGACTCAGACGGCATCCTGTCGCCATGACAACGGCACGGTGTGCGAGGGCCGTGGCGACTGTGTCTGCGGACGCTGCCAGTGTCACACCAAACCATCAGGGACCAGTTACCACGGCAACTACTGTCAGTGTGACGACGAGTCCTGTGACTACCACCTCAACGCTCTGTGTGCAGGTGAGACAGAGACACAGAGAGACAGAGACACAGAGAGACAGAGACACAGAGACACAGAGACACAGAGACACAGAGACACAGAGACACAGAGAGACAGACACAGAGAGACAGAGACACAGATACAGAGACAGAGACACAGAGACAGAGTCACAGAGACAGAGAGACAGAGACACAGAGACACAGAGACAGAGACAGAGAGACAGAGAGACAGAGACACAGAGACACAGAGACACATAGACACATAGACACATAGACACCGAGTCAGAGAGACAGAGACAGAGACACAGAGACAGAGAGACAGAGACACAGAGAGACAGAGACAGAGACACAGAGACACAGAGACACAGAGACACAGAGACACAGAGACACAGAGACACAGAGACACAGAGACACAGAGACACAGAGACACAGAGACACAGAGACACAGAGACACAGAGACACAGAGACTCAGAGACTCAGAGACACAGAGACACAGAGACACAGAGACACAGAGACACAGAGACACAGAGACACAGAGACACAGAGACACAGAGAGACAGAGACAGAGAGACAGAGAGACAGAGAGACACAGAGACAGAGAGACAGAGAGACAGAGACAGAGACACAGAGACAGAGACACAGAGACAGAGACAGAGAGACACAGAGAGACAGAGAGACAGAGACAGAGAGAGAGAACCAGAGACACAGAGACAGAGAGACAGAGAGACAGAGAGACAGAGACACAGAGACAGAGAGACACAGAGACAGAGACAGAGAGACAGAGACACAGAGTCAGAGAGACAGAGACAGAGAGACAGACACAGAGTCAGCGACACAGAGACAGAGAGACACAGAGACAGACAGACAGAGACACAGAGACAGAGACAGAGACACAGAGACACAGAGACACAGAGACACAGAGACACAGAGACAGAGAGACAGAGACACAGAGACACAGAGACACAGAGACACAGAGACACAGAGACACAGAGACAGAGAGACAGAGACACAGAGACAGAAACTTAGAGACAGTCAGTCTTACGGTGGCCCAGGCCTGGCCCTCATCAGAACCATAGCCACATGAGTCTTCGGTCATGAGCACTTCCCTCAGGACCTCCTCTGCTGTCCCCTACAGGTAATGGCAAGTGTCGCTGTGGGAAGTGTGACTGTAATTCCGGGTATGAGGGGGACGCCTGCCAGTGTCCCGTGTCCCGGGAGAGCTGCACCCAGAATGGGGCGCAGTGCAACGGTCGCGGGACCTGCCAGTGTAACAGCTGTGTGTGCGACAGCGGGTACCTGCCCCCCCTCTGTCTGCTCTGCCCTTCCTGCCCCAGCCCCTGCCACGCCAGGCTGTGAGTGACAGACCCAGACCCAGACCAAAACTGAGACCCAGGCCCAGAGACCAGCTCAGACAAAGACACAGAGACCAGACTGAGACCAAGCTGAGACCCAAACCATGTGCCCTACACCCTGCCATGCTGTGAGTATCAGACCCAGACCCAGAGACCAGACCAAGACTGAGACCCAGGAACCAGACCCAACTTGTGTATACTTGTGTGTACAGAGCCTCTGTAGTTGTGTGTAGTTGTGTACTTGTGTATACTTGTGTGTACAGAGCCTCTGTAGTTGTGTGTAGTTGTGTACTTGTGTATACTTGTGTGTACAGAGCCTCTGTAGTTGTGTGTAGTTGTGTACTTGTGTATACTTGTGTGTACAGAGCCTCTGTAGTTGTGTGTAGTTGTGTATACTTGTGTGTACAGAGCCTCTGTAGTTGTGTGTAGTTGTGTATTTGTGTATACTTGTGTGTACAGAGCCTGTGTGGAGTGCCTCTCCTTCTCTCAGGGGCCTCTGAAGCAGAACTGCTCGCTCGCCTGCAGTTCCACTTCTCACCAGATGGTGTCGCACTTGGGCGGCGGGCGTCACTGTGAACTGAAGGACTCTGAGGGCTGCTGGATCCGCTTCAAACTGCAGCAGCTGGTGGGACGGAACCAGTACCACGCACTAGTACTGCCCACAAGAGGTACACGCACAAGTACTGCCCACAAGAGGTACACGCGCAAGTACTGCCCACAAGAGGTACACGCACTAGTACTGCCCACAAGGGGTACACGCGCAAGTACTGCCCACAAGAGGTACACGCACAAGTACTGCCCACAAGAGGTACACGCACAAGTACTGCCCACAAGAGGTACACGCACTAGTACTGCCCACAAGAGGTACACGCACAAGTACTGCCCACAAGAGGTACACGCACAAGTACTGCCCACAAGAGGTACACGCACAAGTACTGCCCACAAGAGGTACACGCACAAGTACTGCACACAAGAGGTACACGCACAAGTACTGCCCACAAGAGGTACACGCACAAGTACTGCCCACAAGAGGTACACGCACAAGTACTGCACACAAGAGGTACACGCACAAGTACTGCACACAAGAGGTACACGCACAAGTACTGCACACAAGAGGTACACGCACAAGTACTGCCCACAAGAGGTACACGCACAAGTACTGCACACAAGAGGTACACGCACAAGTACTGCCCACAAGAGGTACACGCACAAGTACTGCACACAAGAGGTACACGCACAAGTACTGCACACAAGAGGTACACGCACAAGTACTGCCCACAAGAGGTACACGCACAAGTACTGTACACAAGAGGTACACGCACAAGTACTGCACACAAGAGGTACTACAACTTCTTCCACAGTTGAAAAGATAAAACTTTATTGTACAATATATGGTCATGTGACATTTGTCATAAATAGTACTACAGATTTACTGCGGCCCACAAACAAACACTGCTGCTGTATTTACGAGTCTCTCCTGTTGAGACAACACTACCTCACCCCCCCCTCACCCCTCTCCCCCAGACTGTCCTGCCTCCCTCACCACCTCTCTCTCTCTCTCTCCCCCACAGACTGTCCCGCCTCCCTCACCTCTCTCTCTCTCCCCCACAGACTGTCCCGCCTCCCTCACCTCTCTCTCTCTCTCCCCCACAGACTGTCCCGCCTCCCTCACCTCTCTTTTTCTCTCCCCCACAGACTGTCCCGCCTCCCTCACCTCTCTCTCTCTCCCCCACAGACTGTCCCGCCTCCCTTACCCTCTCTCTCTCTCCCCCACAGACTGTCCCACCTCCCTCACCTCTCTCTCTCCCCCCCCCCTGTCCCGCCTCCCTCACCTCTCTCTCTCTCCCCCACAGACTGTCCCGCCTCCCTTACCTCTCTCTCTCCCCCACAGACTGTCCCGCCTCCCTCACCTCTCTCTCTCTCCCCCACAGACTGTCCCGCCTCCCTCACCTCTCTCTCTCTCTCCCCCACAGACTGTCCCGCCTCCCTTACCTCTCTCTCTCCCCCACAGACTGTCCCGCCTCCCTCACCTCTCTCTCTCTCCCCCACAGACTGTCCCGCCTCCCTCACCTCTCTCTCTCCCCCACAGACTGTCCCGCCTCCCTCACCTCTCTCTCTCTCTCCCCCACAGACTGTCCCGCCTCCCTCACCTCTCTCTCTCTCTCCCACCACAGACTGTCCCGCCTCCCTCACCTCTCTCTCTCCCCCACAGACTGTCCCGCCTCCCTCACCTCTCTCTCTCTCTCCCCCACAGACTGTCCCGCCTCCCTTACCTCTCTCTCTCCCCCACAGACTGTCCCGCCTCCCTCACCTCTCTCTCTCCCCCACAGACTGTCCCGCCTCCCTCACCTCTCTCTCTCTCTCCCCCACAGACTGTCCCGCCTCCCTTACCTCTCTCTCTCCCCCACAGACTGTCCCGCCTCCCTCACCTCTCTCTCTCTCCCCCACAGACTGTCCCGCCTCCCTCACCTCTCTCTCTCTCTCCCCCACAGACTGTCTCGCCTCCCTCACCTCTCTCTCTCCCCCACAGACTGTCCCGCCTCCCTCACCTCTCTCTCTCTCTCCCCCACAGACTGTCCCGCCTCCCTTACCTCTCTCTCTCTCTCCCCCACAGACTGTCCCGCCTCCCTCACCTCTCTCTCTCTCTCCCCCACAGACTGTCCCGCCTCCCTTACCTCTCTCTCTCCCCCACAGACTGTCTCGCCTCCCTCACCTCTCTCTCTCCCCCACAGACTGTCTCGCCTCCCTCACCTCTCTCTCTCTCTCTCCCCCACAGACTGTCCCGCCTCCCTCACCTCTCTCTCTCTCTCCCCCACAGACTGTCCCGCCTCCCTTACCTCTCTCTCTCCCCCACAGACTGTCCCGCCTCCCTCACCTCTCTCTCTCTCCCCCACAGACTGTCCCGCCTCCCTCACCTCTCTCTCTCTCTCCCACCACAGACTGTCCCGCCTCCCTCACCTCTCTCTCTCTCTCCCCCACAGACTGTCCCGCCTCCCTTACCTCTCTCTCTCCCCCACAGACTGTCCCGCCTCCCTCACCTCTCTCTCTCTCCCCCACAGACTGTCCCGCCTCCCTCACCTCTCTCTCTCTCTCCCACCAGACTGTCCCGCCTCCCTCACCTCTCTCTCTCCCCCACAGACTGTCCCGCCTCCCTCACCTCTCTCTCTCTCTCCCCCACAGACTGTCCCGCCTCCCTTACCTCTCTCTCTCTCTCCCCCACAGACTGTCCCGCCTCCCTCACCTCTCTCTCTCTCTCCCCCACAGACTGTCCCGCCTCCCTTACCTCTCTCTCTCCCCCACAGACTGTCCCGCCTCCCTCACCTCTCTCTTTCTCTCCCCCACAGACTGTCCCGCCTCCCTTACCTCTCTCTCTCCCCCACAGACTGTCTCGCCTCCCTCACCTCTCTCTCTCCCCCACAGACTGTCCCGCCTCCCTCACCTCTCTCTCTCTCTCCCCCACAGACTGTCCCGCCTCCCTTACCTCTCTCTCTCCCCCACAGACTGTCCCGCCTCCCTCACCTCTCTCTCTCTCCCCCACAGACTGTCCCGCCTCCCTCACCTCTCTCTCTCTCTCCCCCACAGACTGTCTCGCCTCCCTCACCTCTCTCTCTCCCCCACAGACTGTCCCGCCTCCCTCCCTCACCTCTCTCTCTCTCTCCCCCACAGACTGTCCCGCCTCCCTTACCTCTCTCTCTCTCTCCCCCACAGACTGTCCCGCCTCCCTCACCCTCTCTCTCTCTCTCCCCCACAGACTGTCCCGCCTCCCTTACCTCTCTCTCTCCCCCACAGACTGTCCCGCCTCCCTCACCTCTCTCTTTCTCTCCCCCACAGACTGTCCCGCCTCCCTTACCTCTCTCTCTCCCCCACAGACTGTCTCGCCTCCCTCACCTCTCTCTCTCCCCCACAGACTGTCTCGCCTCCCTCACCTCTCTCTCTCTCTCTCCCCCACAGACTGTCCCGCCTCCCTTACCTCTCTCTCTCCCCCACAAACTGTCTCGCCTCCCTCACCCTCTCTCTCTCTCTCTCTCCCCCACAGACTGTCCCGCCTCCCTTACCTCTCTCTCTCCCCCACAGACTGTCCCGCCTCCCTCACCTCTCTCTCTCTCTCCCCCACAGACTGTCCCGCCTCCCTTACCTCTCTCTCTCCCCCACAGACTGTCTCGCCTCCCTCACCTCTCTCTCTCTCTCTCCCCCACAGACTGTCCCGCCTCCCTCACCTCTCTCTCTCCCCCACAGACTGTCCCGCCTCCCTCACCTCTCTCTCTCTCTCCCCCACAGACTGTCCCGCCTCCCTTACCTCTCTCTCTCTCTCCCCCACAGACTGTCCCGCCTCCCTCACCTCTCTCTCTCTCTCCCCCACAGACTGTCCCGCCTCCCTTACCTCTCTCTCTCCCCCACAGACTGTCCCGCCTCCCTCACCTCTCTCTTTCTCTCCCCCACAGACTGTCCCGCCTCCCTTACCTCTCTCTCTCCCCCACAGACTGTCTCGCCTCCCTCACCTCTCTCTCTCCCCCACAGACTGTCTCGCCTCCCTCACCTCTCTCTCTCTCTCTCCCCCACAGACTGTCCCGCCTCCCTTACCTCTCTCTCTCCCCCACAAACTGTCTCGCCTCCCTCACCTCTCTCTCTCTCTCTCCCCCACAGACTGTCCCGCCTCCCTTACCTCTCTCTCTCCCCCACAGACTGTCCCGCCTCCCTCACCTCTCTCTCTCTCTCTCCCCCACAGACTGTCCCGCCTCCCTTACCTCTCTCTCTCCCCCACAAACTGTCTCGCCTCCCTCACCTCTCTCTCTCTCTCTCCCCCACAGACTGTCCCGCCTCCCTTACCTCTCTCTCTCCCCCACAAACTGTCTCGCCTCCCTCACCTCTCTCTCTCTCTCTCCCCCACAGACTGTCCCGCCTCCCTTACCTCTCTCTCTCCCCCACAGACTGTCTCGCCTCCCTCACCTCTCTCTCTCTCTCCCCCACAGACTGTCCCGCCTCCCTCACCTCTCTCTCTCCCCCACAGACTGTCTCGCCTCCCTCACCTCTCTCTCTCTCTCTCCCCCACAGACTGTCCCGCCTCCCTCACCTCTCTCTCTCTCTCCCCCACAGACTGTCCCGCCTCCCTTACCTCTCTCTCTCCCCCACAGACTGTCCCGCCTCCCTCACCTCTCTCTCTCTCCCCCACAGACTGTCCCGCCTCCCTCACCTCTCTCTCTCTCTCCCACCACAGACTGTCCCGCCTCCCTCACCTCTCTCTCTCCCCCACAGACTGTCCCGCCTCCCTCACCTCTCTCTCTCTCTCCCCCACAGACTGTCCCGCCTCCCTTACCTCTCTCTCTCCCCCACAGACTGTCCCGCCTCCCTCACCTCTCTCTCTCTCCCCCACAGACTGTCCCGCCTCCCTCACCTCTCTCTCTCTCTCCCACCAGACTGTCCCGCCTCCCTCACCTCTCTCTCTCCCCCACAGACTGTCCCGCCTCCCTCACCTCTCTCTCTCTCTCCCCCACAGACTGTCCCGCCTCCCTTACCTCTCTCTCTCTCTCCCCCACAGACTGTCCCGCCTCCCTCACCTCTCTCTCTCTCTCCCCCACAGACTGTCCCGCCTCCCTTACCTCTCTCTCTCCCCCACAGACTGTCCCGCCTCCCTCACCTCTCTCTTTCTCTCCCCCACAGACTGTCCCGCCTCCCTTACCTCTCTCTCTCCCCCACAGACTGTCTCGCCTCCCTCACCTCTCTCTCTCCCCCACAGACTGTCCCGCCTCCCTCACCTCTCTCTCTCTCTCCCCCACAGACTGTCCCGCCTCCCTTACCTCTCTCTCTCCCCCACAGACTGTCCCGCCTCCCTCACCTCTCTCTCTCTCCCCCACAGACTGTCCCGCCTCCCTCACCTCTCTCTCTCTCTCCCCCACAGACTGTCTCGCCTCCCTCACCTCTCTCTCTCCCCCACAGACTGTCCCGCCTCCCTCACCTCTCTCTCTCTCTCCCCCACAGACTGTCCCGCCTCCCTTACCTCTCTCTCTCTCTCCCCCACAGACTGTCCCGCCTCCCTCACCTCTCTCTCTCTCTCCCCCACAGACTGTCCCGCCTCCCTTACCTCTCTCTCTCCCCCACAGACTGTCCCGCCTCCCTCACCTCTCTCTTTCTCTCCCCCACAGACTGTCCCGCCTCCCTTACCTCTCTCTCTCCCCCACAGACTGTCTCGCCTCCCACACCTCTCTCTCTCCCCCACAGACTGTCTCGCCTCCCTCACCTCTCTCTCTCTCTCTCCCCCACAGACTGTCCCGCCTCCCTTACCTCTCTCTCTCCCCCACAAACTGTCTCGCCTCCCTCACCTCTCTCTCTCTCTCTCCCCCACAGACTGTCCCGCCTCCCTTACCTCTCTCTCTCCCCCACAGACTGTCCCCGCCTCCCTCACCTCTCTCTCTCTCTCCCCCACAGACTGTCCCGCCTCCCTTACCTCTCTCTCTCCCCCACAGACTGTCTCGCCTCCCTCACCTCTCTCTCTCTCTCTCCCCCACAGACTGTCCCGCCTCCCTCACCTCTCTCTCTCCCCCACAGACTGTCCCGCCTCCCTCACTCTCTCTCTCTCTCTCCCCCACAGACTGTCCCGCCTCCCTTACCTCTCTCTCTCTCTCCCCCACAGACTGTCCCGCCTCCCTCACCTCTCTCTCTCTCTCCCCCACAGACTGTCCCGCCTCCCTTACCTCTCTCTCTCCCCCACAGACTGTCCCGCCTCCCTCACCTCTCTCTTTCTCTCCCCCACAGACTGTCCCGCCTCCCTTACCTCTCTCTCTCCCCCACAGACTGTCTCGCCTCCCTCACCTCTCTCTCTCCCCCACAGACTGTCTCGCCTCCCTCACCTCTCTCTCTCTCTCTCCCCCACAGACTGTCCCGCCTCCCTCACCTCTCTCTCTCTCTCCCCCACAAACTGTCTCGCCTCCCTCACCTCTCTCTCTCTCTCTCCCCCACAGACTGTCCCGCCTCCCTTACCTCTCTCTCTCCCCCACAGACTGTCCCGCCTCCCTCACCTCTCTCTCTCTCTCCCCCACAGACTGTCCCGCCTCCCTTACCTCTCTCTCTCCCCCACAAACTGTCTCGCCTCCCTCACCTCTCTCTCTCTCTCTCCCCCACAGACTGTCCCGCCTCCCTTACCTCTCTCTCTCCCCCACAAACTGTCTCGCCTCCCTCACCTCTCTCTCTCTCTCTCCCCCACAGACTGTCCCGCCTCCCTTACCTCTCTCTCTCCCCCACAGACTGTCTCGCCTCCCTCACCTCTCTCTCTCTCTCCCCCACAGACTGTCCCGCCTCCCTCACCTCTCTCTCTCTCTCCCCCACAGACTGTCCCGCCTCCCTCACCTACATCGTGGCGTTCTCGGTGGCGTCCGTGGCGTTGGTTGGGATTCTTATTCTGCTTCTGGTCAAACTTCTGCTTTACATCAACGACCTCAAAGAGTTCCGGAAGTTTGAGAACGAGAAGAAGAAGTCTCGCTGGGCTGAGGTATGACATCATCATCCTTTAAACATGACATCATCATTAAACATGACATCATCTTTAAACATGACATCATTGTTAAATCCTTGTTTGTTTTTCAGGCTGATAATCCTCTGTTTCAAAACGCCACAACCACAGTCACCAACCCTACCTTCACCGGAGACTGAACCAGGACCATTACCAGGACCAGGACCCAGACTGAGACCAGGACTGAGACCAGGACTCAGATTTGAACTTTACACAAGTAAACAACTCAAAAGATGTTTAACATATTTTAATAATATTTTTAAATGTAATATTTTTGTGTATTTTTTCTTAAATTATATTTAGATTATTTTATAGAACGCAATCAACACTGTGGCAGAGTGGTTAGCACTTGTGTTTCTCAGCAAAAAGGCCCTGGGTTTGCTTCCAGGGTCCACCTGTGTTTGCATGTTCTCCTCGTGTGTAAAGTGTCCAGCGTTTGCTTCTGTCGCCGCCGTGTGGAGGGAGGTGGAATCACACCAACACTGTGACCTCTGACCTCTGACCTCAGTCTGTGAACTTCATAAACAAAGACAATAAAGACTTACCACAATCGTGTTTTTGTTGTTTTTAACTTTATTAAAACAGAGACTTTACACACATGACCTCTGACCCTAACTTTATTTACACAATTTCAACAAAGATCCATAAAGATTCACAACATGTTTATTTATTTATAGTCTCAGAGGTCACACTCTGGGTCAGAGGTCGACAGCAGCTCCATGAACTTTGGCCTCAGAGTTTTCCAGGAGAAACGGGACATGTCGACCTGAGACGACAACACAATGTTACTACACACTGTGTGTGTGTGTGCGCCTGTAGGTTGTGAAGTAGTTGCGTAATTGTGTGGTGATTGTTGTGTAGTGGTTGTTTAGTTGTTGTGTAATTGTTGTGTGGTTGTTGTGTAGTGGTTGTGTGGTGTGGTGTTGTGTAGTGGTTGTTGTGTAGTGGTTGTGTACCTCCACTCGGTGCTCTCTCACTTTGTCTGGTCGTCTGCAGTAGTTTGTGAGTCTCTTACACAGTTGGTCTCGTGTTCTGTATCTGTACAGATCTAAGAACACAACCAGACCTGGGTTAGACTGGGTTAGACCTGGGTCAAACCTGGGTCAAACCTGGGTCAAACCTGGGTCAGACCTGGGTCAGACCTGGGTCAGACCTGGGTCAAACCTGGGTCAGACCTGGGTCAAACCTAGGTCACAACTGGGTCAAACCTGGGTCAGACCTGGGTCAGACCTGGGTCAGGTGTGTGTTTTTACCTGGGAATATTTCAGGATAAACCAGAGCATCAGGAACCAGAGGGAAACAGCCACAGTGCACGGCCTCCAGCCTGGACACAAGAGGACACTGACCGACCAGTCCTGGTTCTGGTCTGAGGTCCCGGTCTCGGTCCCGGTCTCGGTCCCGGTCTCGGTCCCGGTCTCGGTCCCGGTCTCTGTCCCGGTCTCTGTCCCGGTCTCTGTCCCGGTCTCTGTCCCGGTCTCTGTCCCGGTCTCTGTCCCGGTCTCTGTCCCGGTCTCGGTCTCTGTCCCTGTCCCGGTCTCGGACCCGGTCTCGGTCCCGGTCTCGGACCCGGTCTCGGTCCTGGTCTCGGTCTCGGTCCTGGTCTCGGTCTCGGTCCTGGTCTCGGTCTCGGGTCTCGGCCCTGGTCTTGGTCTCGGGTCTCGGTCCTGGTCTTACATGGAGACCCCATAGAACTCATGGCGGGCCGTGGACAGGACCAGGTCTGCTTCACACAGGACTCTGTAGAACTCATCTTTGCTCTGGAGGAACCCCCAGTGGAGAACATGGTCCTTCAGGAGGTCCAGAGACCTGGAGAAGACCTCTGAAAGACAGAAATACCTTAATGATCCCCGCAGGAGAAACTCAGGCGTCCAGGAGCAGCAAAAATAAAACATGAAATGGATCTTTTTAAAAAGCAAACAATAATAATAATAATAATCAGCAGCAGAGGAGGAGCCGCTCGGTTTGCTCTGGTCCAAAGTAAAATGCTAAATGCTTCAGTAAAACCATGAACACTGAACTGCAGCAACATCTCAGGTAGAAAGTAAACAAGAAAAATAACAAATGTAAAAACACAAAACAACAACTGTTTCAGAGACCAGGTCTGGACCGGGTTTGGACTCACCTGGTTCCTCGCTGAAGCGCTCCCCCAGCACAGACACTCTGAAGTCCAGACCTCGGTCTTTGAGTCTGAGAAGAACCCAGAAAAGAAGATCTGGGTCTTTGTCGTGTTCCCTGTGGAGAACAGAGTTAGAGGCAGTCCAGACAGAGGTCAGGGGTCAGAGGTCAGGGGTCAGGCTGTGAGAGGCAGTACCACCGTTATCCACTGGGGGCAGACATCTCCTTCAGACCAGGTCCTAAACTCACCATCTGTGGGGCCACACGATGTGCAGGGGCCGCTGATCCAGACCCTGATCCAGACCCTGATCCAGACCCTGATCCAGACCCTGATCCAGGCCCTGATCCAGGCCCTGGCCTGCAGCCGGTTCTGAAGGAGCTTCTGATCTGGGGAACAAGAAGATTTCAGTCCTGGTCCAGTCCTGGTCCAGTCCTGGTTCAGTCCTGGTCCAGTCCTGGTTCAGTCCTGGTTCAGTCCTGGTTCAGTCCTGGTTCAGTCCTGGTTCAGTCCTGGTTCAGTCCTGGTTCAGTCCTGGTTCAGTCCTGGATTAGACCTGGTTGCACTCTGACGTCTTCTTCGTTTGTGTTCAGGAAGAAATCTGAAAAAAGAGAAGAGCTTTAAGTGTGAGGGGGCGGGGCCATAGTCACATGGGGGCGGGACCAGAGTCACATGGGGGCGAGACCAGAGTCACACGGGGGCGGGACCAGAGTCACATGGGGGCGAGACCAGAGTCACATGGGGGCGAGACCAGAGTCACATGGGGGCGGGACCAGAGTCACATGGGGGCGAGACCAGAGTCACATGGGGGCGGGACCAAAGTCACATGGGGCGGGACCAGAGTCACATGGGGGCGAGACCAGAGTCACATGGGGGCGAGACCAGAGTCACATGGGGGCGAGACCAGAGTCACATGGGGCGAGACCAGAGTCACATGGGGCGGGACCAGAGTCACATGGGGGCGAGACCAGAGTCACATGGGGCGAGACCAGAGTCACATGGGGCGAGACCAGAGTCACATGGGGGCGAGACCAGAGTCACATGGGGGCGAGACCAGAGTCACATGGGGCGGGACCAGAGTCACATGGGGCGGGACCAGAGTCACATGGGGGCGAGACCAGAGTCACATGGGGGCGAGACCAGAGTCACATGGGGGCGAGACCAGAGTCACATGGGGCGGGACCAGAGTCACATGGGGGCGAGACCAGAGTCACATGGGGGCGAGACCAGAGTCACATGGGGCGGGACCAGAGTCACATGGGGGCGAGACCAGAGTCACATGGAGCGGGACCAAAGTCACATGGGGGCGAGACCAGAGTCACATGGGGGCGAGACCAGAGTCACATGGGGCGGGACCAGAGTCACATGGGGCGGGACCAGAATCACATGGGGCGGGACCAGAGTCACATGGGGCGAGACCAGAGTCACATGGGGCTGGACCAGAGTCACATGGGGCGGGACCAGAGTCACATGGGGGCGGGACCAGAGTCACATGGAGCGAGACCAGAGTCACATGGAGCGGGAGTCACATGGGGCGGGACCAGAGTCACATGGGGGCGGGACCAGAATCACATGGGGCGGGACCAGAGTCACATGGGGCGGGACCAGAGTCACATGGGGCGGGACCAGAGTCACATGGGGCGGGACCAGAGTCACATGGGGGCGGGACCAGAGTCACATGGGGGCGGGACCAGAGTCACATGGGGGCGGGACCAGAGTCACAGGGGGCGAGACCAGAGTCACATGGGGGCGGGACCAGAGTCACATGGGGGCGAGACCAGAGTCACATGGGGGCGGGACCAGAGTCACATGGGGGCGGGACCAGAGTCACATGGGGGCAGGGCCAGCTGCAGTATATAATGATGACATACATAACGGACTCGGGTGAAAGGTGTGACTGAGGCAGAAGACGAGACTCACTGCAGGACGTCTGGCAGGTCCAAGGGGAAGTATAGGACTCGGGACTTGGACCGGATCTTGGACTCCAGGTCTTTGGGTCGATGGTCCGGGATCTGTTTCAGGAAGGACTTCAGAGAGCCAACGAAGGAGTCAAGATTAAACTGGGAGTTAAACAGGACCAGGTCTGCAACCAGACTAGAGAGGGACTGAAGTTAGACTAAAGTAGGTCCAAAGTAGGTCTAGAGCAGGTCTAAAGCTGGTCCTGGACTCACCAGGACAGAATCTGGTTGTAGCCATATTGGAAGTCCCGGTCTTGGGTCTTCTGCCGAGGGTAGACCAGCTGGTTCTCGTGGAAGTACAGAACCGTCTTGAGCTTGGACAAATCCGGTCTAAGACTCAGCAGCTCACAGAGGTTCAGAACCGAAGAGCAAAACAGGACCCTGTGGGTGAGACAAGAGTTTAGACCGGGTTTAATCCAGATCTAGACACATTTAGATCGGGTATGGACCTGGTCTTAGCCCAGTTTTGGACCAGGCTTAGACCTCTATCACTCCAGAATTGCCTCACTAGGTCTGTTCTGGTCTCTGGTGGTACAGATGAGAAGTGCAGGGGTTCTGGGGGAGTCCTCCTTCTTGGTTCTGGGAGAGTCCTCCCTCATGGTCCTGGGGGAGTCTCACCTGAACCCATGGTCCTGGGGGAGTCTCTGGCTGAAAACCAGTGCTGAGGTCCTCGCTCTCCAGTGCCACTTCTTACTGGGCAGAGTCCACATGGTCCAGTCCTGGTCCTGGACCAGAAGATCCATCAGCTGTTTGTGAGAACCGCCATAGAACGGTTCAACCAGCAGAACCGGACCGGAACCAGCCTAAGGAGAGAGAACCAGGTCTGAACCAGGTCTAACGCTGCACATGGAAATCTTTTCTCTGTACAGAAAAAACTGACTAAAGCAGGTCTAAAGCAGGTCTAAAGTAGGTCGAAAGCAGGTCTAAAGTAGGTCTAAAGCAGGACTAAAGCAGGTCTAAAGCAGGTCTAAAGCAGGTCTAAAAGTAGGACTAAAGCAGGTCTAAAGTAGGTCGAAAGCAGGTCTAAAGTAGGTCTAAAGCAGGACTAAAGCAGGACTAAAGCAGGTCTAAAGCAGGTCTAAAGTAGGACTAAAGCAGGTCTAAAGCAGGTCTAAAGCAGGTCTAAAGCAGGTCTAAAGCAGGACTAAAGCAGGTCTAAAGCAGGTCTAAAGCAGGACTAAAGCAGGACTAAAGCAGGTTTAAAGCAGGTCTAAAGCAGGACTATAGCAGGACTAAAGCAGGACTATAGCAGGACTAAAGCAGGTCTAAAGCAGGACTAAAGCAGGACTAAAGCAGGAATAAAGCAGGTCTAAAGCAGGTCTAAAGCAGGTCTAAAGCAGGACTAAAGCAGGACTAAAGCAGGTCTAAAGCAGGTCTAAAGCAGGTCTAAAGCAGGTCTGAAGCAGGTCTAAAGCAGGACTAAAGCAGGACTAAAGCAGGTCTAAAGCAGGTCTAAAGCAGGACTAAAGCAGGACTAAAGCAGGACTATAGCAGGACTAAAGCAGGACTAAAGCAGGTCTAAAGCAGGTCTAAAGCAGGACTATAGCAGGACTATAGCAGGACTAAAGCAGGACTAAAGCAGGACTAAAGCAGGTCTAAAACAGGACTAAAGCAGGACTAAAGCAGGACTAAAGCAGGACTAAAGCAGGACTATAACAGGACTAAAGCAGGTATAAAGCAGGTCTAAAGCAGGACTAAAGCAGGACTAAAGCAGGTCTAAAGCAGGTCTAAAGCAGGTCTAAAGCAGGACTAAAGCAGGACTAAAGCAGGACTAAAGCAGGTCTAAAGCAGGTCTAAAGCAGGTCTAAAGCAGGACTAAAGCAGGACTAAAGCAGGTCTAAAGCAGGTCTAAAGCAGGTCTAAAGCAGGTCTATAGCAGGACTAAAGCAGGACTAAAGCAGGTCTAAAGCAGGTCTAAAGCAGGACTAAAGCAGGACTAAAGCAGGACTAAAGCAGGACTAAAGCAGGACTAAAGCAGGACTATAGCAGGACTAAAGCAGGACTAAAGCAGGACTAAAGCAGGACTAAAGCAGGACTAAAGCAGGACTAAAGCAGGACTAAAGCAGGTCTTAAGCAGGACTAAAGCAGGTCTAAAGCAGGTCTAAAGCAGGTCTAAAGCAGGACTATAGCAGGACTATAGCAGGACTAAAGCAGGACTATAACAGGACTAAAGCAGGACTAAAGCAGGTCTAAAACAGGTCTAAAGCAGGACTAAAGCAGGACTAAAGCAGGACTAAAGCAGGACTAAAGCAGGTCTAAAGCAGGACTAAAACAGGACTAAACAGATACTGCGCCGCTGAGGCAGGACTGTAGTCCAGACTCTGGCCATGCTGTAGTCATGTGTTTAGTAAACATTAGCATTAGCTCCGCGGCTAACCTCCACAGACTGGGTCTAGACCGGGTCCCGTAGAGCCAGTCCAGGTCCAGACGGGTTCGGACTGGGTCCAGTCTGTGTCCAGTCTGGGTCCAGACCATCATCATGTTTTAGATCCACGCTTTAAAAACAGATCCATGTGCTTCACTCACCACTTCCTGCATCAGCGCTCCTCTGTGACGTCATCACGCAGATGGTGAGTTTAGGGGGATACTGTCCTCCTGCTCTCACGCAAGCCGCGGTGACCCGAAACCCTGAGCTATGAACGCAGTGAATGAAGGGTAACTGAACACAGTTGTGGGTTCTATGCATGGATGTATTGTGTCTCATGTGTTTAATTAAAATACATTCCATTTATTTGTGTATAACCCTAAATCACAACAGTAGTTTTATAAGAAGCAGAGACCAACGTCAATAAATGTCAAGGATCATCACTCAGAACCACATCCTAATAATGAATGTTATCCTAATAACATAGGCTAATGTTGCATACTAATAGAATACATTATTTAGCATTGCACAGATACAGACACTTTTGTAGATTATATTTCTTGCTGTGATGCAACACTGGCATTTCCTATATGTGGGACGATTATTAAAACCTGTCCATCTCCAGTTCTCTCCCAGATACACTTGAACATGTCTATTGCACCAACTACATTTCCCATGATGCTCTGCATTAACTGGGCGTGTGTTCCGAGCATCCTCTCTGTTATTACACAGACACACGGACTGCTCCAGCTGCCTTCTCTCTCCTCTCCTCCTCTGCTCCTCTCCTCTGGGCTGACACCTCTGCTCCGGGTCTGCTCCGGGTCTGCTCCGGGTCTGCTCCTGCTGCCTTCATCCCCTCTCTCCCCTCCAGCCTCGGTGAGCTTCTCCTTTCTCCTCTCTCCCTTCTCTCACTCACACCTTTCTCCTCTCTCCCCCACACCCATCTCTATCTCCTTTCTCTCCTCCAGCCTCAATGAGCTTCTCTTTCTCCCCCACACACATCTCTCTCTCCTCTTTCCTCCTCTCCTCTCCTTTCTCTCTTCCTCTCCTCTCTCTCCTCCTATCCTCTCCTCTCTCCTCCTCCTCTCTCTCTTCTCCTCTCTCTTCTCCTCTCTCTTCTCCTCTCCCCCATACCCCGCTCCTCTCTCCCCCTCCTCTAACCCTCCTCCTCCACTTCTGTGTTTGGTGACTTCAGTCTTTTGTCCGCGGCCTGTTGCGTGTGGGGGGCGTTTGAAGCGCGCGTGGAGGGCGTGACTGTGCGCGTGTCCGTGAGTGTGCAAATATCTCGCGCATGCGCAGATGGACGCCTCAGAGTGCGGGGTGAAGGTGATGTGCAGGTTCCGTCCCCTGAGTGACGCGGAGCGGAACCGCGGGGATCGCCTGGTGGCCAAGTTCAACGGACACGACACCGTGGTGCTGACGGTGAGGGTTTATTATGTGTATATGTCTTTACAGACATATACACATAAAAACAGTGCCTTGCGAAAGAATTTGGCCCCCTTGAACCTTTCAACATTTCGCCACATTTCAGGCTTCAAACATAAAGATATAACATTTTATTTTTTGTCATGAATCAACAACAAGTGGGACACAATTGTGAAGTGGAACGAAATTTATTGGATTATTTAAACTTTTTTAACAAATAAAAAACTGAAAAGTGGGGCGTGCAATATTATTCGGCCCCTTTACTTTCAGTGCAGCAAACTCAGTCCAGAAGTTCAGTGAGGATCTTTGAATGATCCAATGTTGTCCTAAATGACTGATGATGATAAATAGAAGACCTGTGTGTAATCAAGTCTCCGTATAAATGCACCTGCTCTTTGATAGTCTCAGGGTTCTGTTTAAAGCGCAGAGAGAACCATGAAGACAAAGGAACACACCAGGCAGGTCCGAGATACTGTTGTGGAGAAGTTTAAAGCCGGATTTTGATACAAAAAGATTTCCCAAGCTTTAAACATCTCAAGGAGCACTGTGCAAGCAGTTATATTGAAATGGAAGGAGTATCAGACCACTGCAAATCTACCAAGACCCGGCCGTTCCTCCAAACTTTCATCTCAAACAAGGAGAAGACTGATCAGAGATGCAGCCAAGAGGCCCATGATCACTCTGGATGAACTGCAGATAACTACAGCTGAGGTGGGAGAGTCTGTCCATAGGACAACAATCAGTCGTGCACTGCACAAATCTGGCCTTTATGGAAGAGTGGCAAGAAGAAAGCCATTTCTCAAAGATATCCATAAAAAGTCTTGTTTAAAGCTTGCCACAAGCCACCTGGGAGACACACCAAACATGTGGAAGAAGGTGCTCTGGTCAGATGAAACCAAAATTGAACTTTTTGGCCACAATGCAAAACGATATGTTTGGCGTAAAAGCAACACAGCTCATCACCCTGAACACACCATCCCCACTGTCAAACATGGTGGTGGCAGCATCATGCTTTGGGCCTGCTTTTCTTCAGCAGGGACAGGGAAGATGGCTAAAATTGATGGGAAGATGGATGGAGCCAAATACAGGACCATTCTGGAAGAAAACCTGTTGGAGTCTGCAAAAGACCTGAGACTGGGACGGAGATGTATCTTCCAACAGGACAATGATCCAAAACATAAAGCCAAATCTACAATGGAATGGTTCACAAATAGACGTATCCAGGTGTTAGAATGGCCAAGTCAAAGTCCAGACCTGAATCCAATCGAGAATCTGTGGAAAGAGCTGAAGACTGCTGTTCACAAACGCTCTCCATCCAACCTCACTGAGCTCGAGCTGTTTTGCAAGGAAGAATGGGCAAGAATTCCAGTCTCTCGATGTGCAAATCTGATAGAGACATACCCCAAGCGACTTGCAGCTGTAATTGCAGCAAAAGGTGGCGCTACAAAGTATTAGCGCAAGGGGCCGAATAATATTGCACGCCCCACTTTTCAGTTTTTTGTTTGTTAAAAAAGTTTAAATTATCCAATAAATTTCGTTCCACTTCACGATTGTGTCCCACTTGTTGTTGATTCTTGAAAAAAAAATTAATTTTTATATCTTTATGTTTGAAGCCTGAAATGTGGCAAAATGTTGAAAGGTTCAAGGGGCCGAATACTTATACGCACTGTATATATATATATATATATATATATATATATATATATTACATATTTATTTATACATATATGTTACATTTAAATATACACATATGTTTCAGGGGAAGCCGTACATCTTTGATCGAGTTCTTCCTCCGGAAACTGAACAAGTCCAGGTTTACGACTCCTGCGCAAAACACATCGTGAAAGGTTTGAAGCACATGGACCAGAGAAATGTGAGCAATACTAACTAACTACCCCTGTCCTGCACTGGTCCTGGTCTGGTCCTTTTCTGGTCCTGGTCTGGTCCTGGTCTGGTCCTGGTCCTGGTGCAGATGTCCTGGGAGGATACAATGGGACAATCTTTGCGTACGGACAGACATCCTCAGGAAAAACTCACACTATGGAGGTAAGCTCTGGGTCTGGTCTTGACTTGGGTCTGGACTCGGCTCTTGACTTGGGTCTTCCCATGGGTCTTCACTCTGGTCATGTCTGCTTTAGGGTGTCCTTCACGATGAGGAGAACATGGGCGTCATTCCCAGAATCGCATCAGACATTTTCAACCACATCTACAGCATGGACCAGAACCTGGAGTTCCATATCAAGGTTAGAGCTGAAGTTAGAGCTGAAGTTAGAGCTGAAGTTAGAGCTGAAGTTAGAGCTGATGTTAGAGCTGAAGTTAGAGCTGAAGTTAGAGCTGAAGTTAGAGCTGAAGTTAGAGCTGAAGTTAGAGCTGATGTTAGAGCTGAAGTTAGAGCTGAAGTTAGAGCTGAAGTTAGAGCTGAAGTTAGAGCTGATGTTAGAGCTGAAGTTAGAGCTGAAGTTAGAGCTGATGTTAGAGCTGAAGTTAGAGCTGAAGTTAGAGCTGAAGTTAGAGCTGAAGTTAGAGCTGATGTTAGAGCTGAAGTTAGAGCTGAAGTTAGAGCTGATGTTAGAGCTGAAGTTAGAGCTGAAGTTAGAGCTGAAGTTAGAGCTGAAGTTAGAGCTGAAGTTAGAGCTGATGTTAGAGCTGATGTTAGAGCTGAAGTTAGAGCTGAAGTTAGAGCTGAAGTTAGTGCTGAAGTTAGAGCTGAAGTTAGAGCTGAAGTTAGAGCTGAAGTTAGAGCTGATGTTAGAGCTGATGATAGAGCTGAAGTTAGAGCTGAAGTTAGAGCTGAAGTTAGAGCTGAAGTTAGAGCTGATGTTAGAGCTGTAGTTAGAGCTGAAGTTAGAGCTGAGGCTGAGGTTATGTAACTTTAAATCTGATCACATGACCTGCTGCAGGTGTCGTACTTTGAGATTTATCTGGACAAGATCCGAGACCTTCTGGACGGTGAGTCCCATGACCTGTCACATGACCTGTCCCATGACCTGTCCCATGACCTGTCCCATGACCTGTCCCATGACCTGTCCCATGACCTGTCCCATGACCTGTCACATGACCTGTCCCATGACCTGTCACATGACCTGTCCCATGACCTGTCACATGACCTGTCACATGACCTGTCCCATGACCTGTCCCATGACCTGTCCCATGACCTGTCCCATGACCTGTCACATGACCTGTCCCATGACCTGTCACATGACCTGTCACATGACCTGTCACATTCAATTCAAAGTGTGTATATCGCCTTAAGTCACACGGCGGACTCTCAGAGGACTTTACATAGTTGTGGAGTTATGCAGTAATAACACACACAGAGAGCCATTGGTCCATAGGAAGCAGGACTGAGGCTGTAGACCCAGGACTGAGGCTGTAGACCCAGGACTGAGGCTGTAGATCCAGGACTGAGGCTGTAGACCCAGGACTGAGGCTGTAGATCCAGGACTGAGGCTGTAGACCCAGGACTGAGGCTGTAGACCCAGGACTGAGGTTGTAGACCCAGGACTGAGGCTGTAGACCCAGGACTGAGGCTGTAGATTTAGGACCTGTCACATGACCCCTTAATTATCCACCTCCAGATATGTCATTGTACTCTTGTACATATATATTGTCAAATTTGCATACACTCATTAGCATATACCCTATTAGCATACACCTTTCCATTCCATTCCATTTTCTTCCGCTTCATCCGTTGCCGGGTCGCGGGGGCAGCAGTCTAAGCAGAGACGCCCAGACTTCCCTATCCACACACACCTCCTCCAGCTCGTCCGGGGGGACCCCAAGGCGTTCCCAGGCCAGCTGAGAGACATAGTCCCTCCAGCGTGTCCTAGGTCTTCCCCGGGGCCTCCTCCCGGTGGGACGTCCAGGAGGCATCCGGAACAGATGCCCGAGCCACCTCAACTGGTTCCTCTCGACGTGAAGAAGCAGCGGCTCTACTCCGAGCTCCTCCCGTGTGACCGAGCTCCTCACCCTATCTCTAAGGGAGCGCCCAGCCACTCTGCAGAGGAAGCTCATTTCGACCGCTTGTTTCCGCGATCTTGTTCTTTCGGTCATTACCCAAAGCTCATGACCATAGGTGAGGGAGGGAGCGAAGATTGACCGGTAAATCGAGAGCTTTGCCTTTCGGCTCAGCTCCCTCTTTACCACAACGGTCCGATACAGCTCTGACTGCAGACGCTGCTCCCTCTTTACCACAACGGTCCGATACAGCTCTGACTACAGACGCTGCTCCCTCTTCACCACAACGGTCCGATACAGCTTTGACTACAGACGCTGCTCCCTCTTCACCACAACGGTCCGATACAGCTTTGACTACAGACGCTGCTCCCTCTTTACCACAACGGTCCGATACAGCGACCACATGACTGCGCACGCTGCACCGATCCGCCTGTCAATCTCACGCTCCATCCTTCCCTCACTCGTGAACAAGACCCCGAGATACTTGAACTGCTCCACTTGAGGAAGGACCTCTCCACCCACCTGTAGAGGGCAAGGCACCTTTTTCCGGTCGAGCACCATGGCCTCAGATTTGGAGGTGCTGATTCTCATCCCAGCCGCTTCACACTCGGCTGCAAACCGTCCCAGTGCATGCTGCAGGTCCTGGTTCGTTGGAGCCAACAGGACGACATCATCCGCAAACAGCAGAGATGAAATCCTGTGGTCCCTGAACCGGACCCCCTCCGACCCCTGGCTGCGCCTAGAAAGCCTGGCCCTATTAGCATACACCTCATTTGCATATATGTAAAACCTGTGTCTCTGACCCTCAGTGACCAAGACAAACCTGTCCGTCCATGAGGACAAGAACCGTGTTCCTTTTGTGAAGGTAAATGTTTAATATTGTAACAAAGTACCGAGCCTATAAGTCCTATAAATATATAAGTACAGTATATACATGTGTGTATACATATTTCTGTAAGTGTTTATGTGTGTACATAAATATGATATATATGTTTATATAAGTAAATATAATGTTGTTCTTCAGGGCTGCACTGAGCGTTTTGTGACGAGTCCAGAGGAAGTGATGGACGTGATCGACGAAGGAAAAACCAACCGACATGTGGCTGTGACCAGTGAGTGCGAACCAGGACTAAAGCAGGACTAAAACAGGACTAAAGCAGGACTAAAGCAGGACTAAAGCAGGACTAAAGCAGGACTAAAGCAGGACTAAAGCAGGACTAAAGCAGGACTAAAGCAGGACTAAAGCAGGACTAAAACAGGACTAAAGCAGGACTAAAACGGGACTAAAGCGGGACTAAAGCAGGACTAAAGCAGGACTAAAGCAGGACTAAAGCAGGACTAAAGCAGGACTAAAGCAGGACTAAAGCAGGACTAAAGCAGGACTAAAGCAGGTCTAAAGCAGGACTAAGGCCCCGACTCCACCGGGCGCGTAAAACGGACGACGGATCCGTCCAAACATGTCCGTTTCATCTCCGTCTCCGTTATCTCCATGAGGGTGAATGAAAGTGGCTCCACTGCCTCCGCATGCGTCCGTCCGACGCACGTCGGACCTATTCCGTCAACGGAGGGTGCAACGGACGCAGACGGACGAAATAGAAACAATCCTATTTGTTCCGTCCGTCGACGCGTGTCGGGTCCGTTTTCCATTGAAAATACAATGGAATAATATATTTGCCACATTATTAAACATGTATTGATATATGCTGTAGTCCTTTGTTATAAGTATTTGTTAATGACAATGATTATTAACAAATCTGTGTAATTTTCTTCATGTATTACTTTAAACAATTGTTTCCTGATCGTAAATCTACCATTCATTTTTCGCGTAATGTAAATACGCTAATCTTTACATACACCTCGCTTTTTTTTCTCTCGCTCTGTCCCCTCTACCTGCGAGGCGCTCTCTCCTCACCGCCGCGCGCTCCCACACACACACTCACACACACACACACACACACACACACACACACACACACACACACACACACACAGAGCTATACTGCACTTATGAAAGACAGATCTCACAACAACACTGGAGTTCTTTTCTCCTTTGTCTCTCCCCTTTTTGCTTTCAATAAGTTTTGCTTCATCCATCGCGACGTCCTCAATGCTTCAATATGCTGTGCTTTGCACTGATCATAGCCACAGCTCATACACATCACACACCGCTTCTTCTATTTCAAACTATAGCGGCTGTCTGTTGCCTAAAGTTGCGGAGAGGGGAGTTGGGTCTGATAAAAGTGTATCATGCGCTAAATAAGTATAGAAAACAAACAAAGAGGCTGGATCATAATAAACGCTGCGGGCACGCGCGCGCGCACACACACACACACACACACACACTTCTCCATCAGCCAAATATTCATTCATTCACACAATGCCCAAACGTGTCTCCTACAAAAACAAAGCAGGCTGATAAACGGACAGCCAGAGCTGCGCGCTGCTGCAGCCGGTTTGACCACTAGTCCGTTTTATGGACGTCTGACGGACAGCAGTCAACGCGCGTCAACGGAGACGCCCCCGGTGGAGTCCAGGCCTAAAGCAGGTCTAAAGCAGGACTTAAACAGGTCTAAAGCAGGTCTAAAGCAGGACTTAAACAGGACTATAGCAGGACTATAGCAGGACTAAAGCAGGTCTAAAGCAGGACTTAAACAGGACTATAGCAGGACTATAGCAGGACTAAAGCAGGTCTAAAGCAGGACTTAAACAGGACTTAAACAGGACTAAAGCAGGACTAAAGCAGGTCTAAAGCAGGACTTAAACAGGACTTAAACAGGACTAAAGCAGGTCTCTTGTTGTTTCAGACATGAATGAACACAGCTCCAGGAGCCACAGTATTTTTCTGATCAACATCAAACAGGAAAATGTGGAAACGGAAACTAAAGTCTCAGGGAAACTCTACCTGGTGGATCTGGCAGGCAGCGAGAAGGTATAGGGTCAAAACCGGGTCTAAGTTTAACCCAGGTCTAAACTGGTTCTAAACCGGGTCTAACCCAGCTCTCAAGCAGGTCTAAACCGGGTCTAAACTGGATCTAAACTAGATCTAAACCGGGTCTAAACCGGGTCTCTTACAGGTCAGTAAAACCGGAGCTGAAGGATCTGTTTTGGACGAAGCCAAAAACATCAACAAATCTCTGTCTGCGCTGGGAAACGTGATCTCTGCTCTGTCCGAGGGAAAGGTATGGGGACCACAGGGACTGGGGACCACAGGGACCACGGGGACTGGGTTATAACAGGGACCAGGTACCACAGGGACCTGGTATCATTCTGAGCCAGCCTTACTGGTTTATCTGGATGTAGATGAGATGATGTTGACTGTGATAGTTAAATAAATGTGCTTCTCCCACAGAAAGCCCATGTTCCGTACAGAGACAGTAAAATGACACGGATCCTCCAGGATTCTCTCGGAGGAAACTGTCGAACCACGATCATTGTCTGCTGCTCCCCTTCGTCCTACAACGAGCCCGAGTCACGCTCTACCCTCATGTTCGGGCAGAGGTGAGACCAGACCCCAACGCCCCAGACCCCAACGCCCCAGACCCCAACGACCCAGACCCCAACGACCCAGACCCCAACGACCCAGACCCCAACGCCCCAGACCCCAACGACCCAGACCCCAACGACCCAGACCCCAACGACCCAGACCCCAACGACCCAGACGCCAACGACCCAGACGCCAACGACCCAGACGCCAACGACCCAGACCCCAACGACCCAGACGCCAACGACCCAGACCCCAACGACCCAGACGCCAACGACCCAGACGCCAACGACCCAGACGCCAACGACCCAGACCCCAACGACCCAGACCCCAACGACCCAGACCGGAACGACCCAGACCCCAACGACCCAGACCGGAACGACCCAGACGCCAACGACCCAGACGCCAACGACCCAGACGCCAACGACCCAGACGCCAACGACCCAGACCCCAACGACCCAGACGCCAACGACCCAGACCCCAACGACCCAGACGCCAACGACCCAGACGCCAACGACCCAGACGCCAACGACCCAGACGCCAACGACCCAGACCCCAACGACCCAGACGCCAACGACCCAGACCCCAACGACCCAGACCCCAGACCCAACGACCCAGACGCCAACGACCCAGACCCCAACGCCCCAGACCCCAACGACCCAGACCCCAACGACCCAGACCCCAACGACCCAGACGCCAACGACCCAGACCCCAACGCCCCAGACCCCCAACGACCCAGACCCCAACGACCCAGACCCCAACGACCCAGACGCCAACGACCCAGACCCCAACGACCCAGACCCCAACGACCCAGACGCCAACGACCCAGACCCCAACGCCCCAGACCCCAACGACCCAGACCCCAACGACCCAGACCGGAACGACCCAGACCCCAACGCCCCAGACCCCAACGCCCCAGACGCCAACGACCCAGACCCCAACGCCCCAGACGCCAACGACCCAGACGCCAACGACCCAGACCCCAACGACCCAGACCCCAACGACCCAGACCCCAACGACCCAGACCCCAACGACCCAGACCCCAACGACCCAGACGCCAACGACCCCAGACCCCCAACGCCCCAGACCCCAACGACCCAGACCCCAACGACCCAGACCCCAACGACCCAGACGCCAACGACCCAGACCCCAACGACCCAGACCCCAACGACCCAGACGCCAACGACCCAGACCCCAACGCCCCAGACCCCAACGACCCAGACCGACCCAGACCGCGCAACAACCCAGACCCCCAACAATCCAAACCCCCAACGACCCAGACGCCAACGACCCAGACCCCAACGCCCCAGACCCCAACGACCCAGACCCCAACGACCCAGACCCCAACGACCCAGACGCCAACGACCCAGACCCCAACGCCCCAGACCCCAACGACCCAGACCCCAACGACCCAGACCCCAACGACCCAGACCCCAACGACCCAGACGCCAACGACCCAGACGCCAACGACCCAGACCCCAACGCCCCAGACCCCAACGACCCAGACCGACCCAGACCCCAACGACCCAGACGCCAACGACCCAGACCCCAACGCCCCAGACGCCAACGCCCCAGACCCCAACGCCCCAGACGCCAACGACCCAGACCCCAACGACCCAGACCCCAACGACCCAGACCCCAACGACCCAGACGCCAACGACCCAGACCCCAACGACCCAGACCGGAACGACCCAGACCCCAACGACCCAGACGCCAACGACCCAGACGCCAACGACCCAGACGCCAACGACCCAGACCCCAACGACCCAGACGCCAACGACCCAGACGCCAACAATCCAAACCCCCAACGACCCAGACGCCAACGACCCAGACCCCAACGCCCCAGACCCCAACGACCCAGACCCCAACGACCCAGACCCCAACGCCCCAGACCCCAACGACCCAGACCCCAACGACCCAGACGCCAACGACCCAGACCCCAACGCCCCAGACCCCAACGACCCAGACCCCAACGCCCCAGACGCCAACGACCCAGACCCCAACGCCCCAGACCCCAACGACCCAGACCCCAACGACCCAGACCCCAACGACCCAGACCCCAACGACCCAGACCCCAACGACCCAGACCCCAACGCCCCAGACCCCAACGACCCAGACGCCAACGACCCAGACCCCAACGACCCAGACCCCAACGACCCAGACCCCAACGACCCAGACCCCAACGCCCCCAGACGCCAACGCCCCAGACCCCAACGCCCCAGACCCCAACGACCCAGACCCCAACGACCCAGACCCCAACGACCCAGACCCCAACGACCCAGACCCCAACGACCCAGACCCCAACGCCCCAGACGCCAACGACCCAGACCCCAACGACCCAGACGCCAACGACCCAGACGCCAACGACCCAGACCCCAACGACCCAGACCCCAACGACCCAGACCCCAACGACCCAGACCCCAACGACCCAGACGCCAACGACCCAGACGCCAACGACCCAGACGCCAACGACCCAGACCCCAACGACCCAGACCGGAACGACCCAGACCCCAACGACCCAGACGCCAACGACCCAGACGCCAACGACCCAGACCCCAACGACCCAGACCGGAACGACCCAGACCCCAACGACCCAGACGCCAACGACCCAGACCCCAACGACCCAGACGCCAACGACCCAGACCCCAACAACCCAGACGCCAACGACCCAGACGCCAACGACCCAGACCCCAACGACCCAGACGCCAACGACCCAGACCCCAACGACCCAGACGCCAACGACCCAGACCCCAACGACCCGACCCCAACGACCCAGACCCCAACGACCCAGACGCCAACGACCCAGACCCCAACGACCCAGACCGGAACGACCCAGACGCCAACGACCCAGACGCCAACGACCCAGACGCCAACGACCCAGACCCCAACGACCCAGACGCCAACGACCCAGACGCCAACGACCCAGACCCCAACGACCCAGACCGGAACGACCCAGACGCCAACGACCCAGACCCCAACGACCCAGACCCCAACGACCCAGACCCCAACGACCCAGACGCCAACGACCCAGACGCCAACGACCCAGACCCCAACGACCCAGACCCAACCCGACCCAACGACCCAGACCCCAACGACCCAGACCCCAACGCCCCAGACGCCAACGACCCAGACGCCAACGACCCAGACCCCAACGACCCAGACGCCAACGACCCAGACCCCAACGACCCAGACCCCAACGACCCAGACCCCAACGACCCAGACCCCAACGACCCAGACCCCAACGCCCCAGACGCCAACGACCCAGACCCCAACGCCCCAGACCCCAACGACCCAGACGCCAACGACCCAGACCCCAACGACCCAGACGCCAACGACCCAGACCCCAACGACCCAGACGCCAACGACCCAGACGCCAACGACCCAGACCCCAACGACCCAGACCGGAACGACCCAGACCCCAACGACCCAGACGCCAACGACCCAGACGCCAACGACCCAGACGCCAACGACCCAGACCCCAACGACCCAGACGCCAACGCCCCAGACCCCAACGACCCAGACCCCAACGACCCAGACGCCAACGACCCAGACCCCAACGACCCAGACCCCAACGCCCCAGACCCCAACGACCCAGACCCCAACGCCCCAGACGCCAACGACCCAGACCCCAACGACCCAGACGCCAACGACCCAGACCCCAACAACCCAGACCGGAACGACCCAGACGCCAACGACCCAGACCCCAACGACCCAGACGCCAACGACCCAGACCCCAACAACCCAGACGCCAACGACCCAGACGCCAACGACCCAGACCCCAACGACCCAGACGCCAACGACCCAGACCCCAACGACCCAGACGCCAACGACCCAGACCCCAACGACCCAGACCCCAACGACCCAGACCCCAACGACCCAGACGCCAACGACCCAGACCCCAACGACCCAGACCCCAACGACCCAGACGCCAACGACCCAGACCCCAACGACCCAGACGCCAACGACCCAGACGCCAACGACCCAGACCCCAACGACCCAGACCGGAACGACCCAGACGCCAACGACCCAGACCCCAACGACCCAGACCCCAACGACCCAGACCCCAACGACCCAGACCCCAACGACCCAGACCCCAACGACCCAGACGCCAACGACCCAGACCCCAACGACCCAGACCCCAACGACCCAGACCCCAACGACCCAGACCCCCAACGCCCCAGACGCCAACGCCCCAGACCCCAACGCCCCAGACGCCAACGACCCAGACCCCAAGACCCAGACCCCAACGACCCAGACCCCAACGACCCAGACCGGAACGACCCAGACGCCAACGCCCCAGACCCCAACGCCCCAGACGCCAACGACCCAGACGCCAACGACCCAGACCCCAACGCCCCAGACGCCAACGACCCAGACCCCAACGACCCAGACCCCAACGACCCAGACCCCAACGCCCCAGACCCCAACGACCCAGACCCCAACGACCCAGACGCCAACGACCCAGACCCCAACGACCCAGACCCCAACGACCCAGACCCCAACGACCCAGACGCCAACGACCCAGACCCCAACGACCCAGACCCCAACGACCCAGACCCCAACGACCCCGACGCCAACGACCCAGACCCCAACGCCCCAGACCCCAACGCCCCAGACGCCAACGACCCAGACGCCAACGACCCAGACCCCAACGACCCAGACGCCAACGACCCAGACGCCAACGACCCAGACGCCAACGACCCAGACCCCAACGACCCAGACGCCAACGACCCAGACCCCAACGACCCAGACGCCAACGACCCAGACCCCAACGACCCAGACCCCAACGACCCAGACGCCAACGACCCAGACGCCAACGACCCAGACCCCAACGACCCAGACCCCAACGACCCAGACCCCAACGACCCAGACCCCAACGACCCAGACCCCAACGCCCCAGACGCCAACGACCCAGACGCCAACGACCCAGACCCCAACGACCCAGACGCCAACGACCCAGACCCCAACGACCCAGACGCCAACGACCCAGACGCCAACGACCCAGACCCCAACGACCCAGACCGGAACGACCCAGACCCCAACGCCCCAGACGCCAACGACCCAGACGCCAACGACCCAGACCCCAACGACCCAGACGCCAACGACCCAGACGCCAACGCCCCAGACCCCAACGACCCAGACCCCAACGACCCAGACGCCAACGACCCAGACCCCAACGACCCAGACCCCAACGCCCCAGACCCCAACGACCCAGACCCCAACGCCCCAGACGCCAACGACCCAGACGCCAACGACCCAGACCCCAACGCCCCAGACCCCAACGCCCCAGACCCCAACGCCCCAGACGCCAACGACCCAGACGCCAACGACCCAGACCCCAACGACCCAGACGCCAACGACCCAGACGCCAACGACCCAGACCCCAACGACCCAGACGCCAACGACCCAGACCCCAACGACCCAGACCCCAACGACCCAGACGCCAACGACCCAGACCCCAACGCCCCAGACCCCAACGACCCAGACCCCAACGCCCCAGACGCCAACGACCCAGACCCCAACGACCCAGACCCCAACGCCCCAGACCCCAACGACCCAGACGCCAACGACCCAGACGCCAACGACCCAGACCCCAACGACCCAGACGCCAACGACCCAGACCCCAACGACCCAGACCCCAACGACCCAGACCCCAACGCCCCAGACCCCAACGACCCAGACCCCAACGCCCCAGACGCCAACGACCCAGACCCCAACGACCCAGACCCCAACGCCCCAGACCCCAACGACCCAGACGCCAACGACCCAGACGCCAACGACCCAGACCCCAACGACCCAGACGCCAACGACCCAGACCCCAACGACCCAGACCCCAACGACCCAGACCGGAACGACCCAGACCCCAACGACCCAGACCCCAACGCCCCAGACGCCAACGACCCAGACCCCAACGACCCAGACCCCAACGCCCCCAGACCCCAACGACCCAGACGCCAACGACCCAGACGCCAACGACCCAGACCCCAACGACCCAGACGCCAACGACCCAGACGCCAACGACCCAGACCCCAACGACCCAGACCGGAACGACCCAGACGCCAACGACCCAGACCCCAACGACCCAGACGCCAACGACCCAGACCCCAACGACCCAGACGCCAACGACCCAGACCCCAACGACCCAGACCGGAACGACCCAGACGCCAACGACCCAGACGCCAACGACCCAGACCCCAACGACCCAGACGCCAACGACCCAGACGCCAACGACCCAGACGCCAACGACCCAGACGCCAACGACCCAGACCCCAACGACCCAGACGCCAACGACCCAGACCCCAACGACCCAGACGCCAACGACCCAGACCCCAACAACCCAGACGCCAACGACCCAGACGCCAACGACCCAGACCCCAACGACCCAGACGCCAACGACCCAGACCCCAACGACCCAGACGCCAACGACCCAGACCCCAACGACCCAGACCCCAACGACCCAGACCCCAACGACCCAGACGCCAACGACCCAGACCCCAACGACCCAGACCCCAACGACCCAGACGCCAACGACCCAGACCCCAACGACCCAGACGCCAACGACCCAGACGCCAACGACCCAGACCCCAACGACCCAGACCGGAACGACCCAGACGCCAACGACCCAGACCCCAACGACCCAGACCCCAACGACCCAGACCCCAACGACCCAGACCCCAACGACCCAGACCCCAACGACCCAGACGCCAACGACCCAGACCCCAACGACCCAGACCCCAACGACCCAGACCCCAACGACCCAGACCCCAACGCCCCAGACGCCAACGCCCCAGACCCCAACGCCCCAGACGCCAACGACCCAGACCCCAAGACCCAGACCCCAACGACCCAGACCCCAACGACCCAGACCGGAACGACCCAGACGCCAACGCCCCAGACCCCAACGCCCCAGACGCCAACGACCCAGACGCCAACGACCCAGACCCCAACGCCCCAGACGCCAACGACCCAGACCCCAACGACCCAGACCCCAACGACCCAGACCCCAACGCCCCAGACCCCAACGACCCAGACCCCAACGACCCAGACGCCAACGACCCAGACCCCAACGACCCAGACCCCAACGACCCAGACCCCAACGACCCAGACGCCAACGACCCAGACCCCAACGACCCAGACCCCAACGACCCAGACCCCAACGACCCCGACGCCAACGACCCAGACCCCAACGCCCCAGACCCCAACGCCCCAGACGCCAACGACCCAGACGCCAACGACCCAGACCCCAACGACCCAGACGCCAACGACCCAGACGCCAACGACCCAGACGCCAACGACCCAGACCCCAACGACCCAGACGCCAACGACCCAGACCCCAACGACCCAGACGCCAACGACCCAGACCCCAACGACCCAGACCCCAACGACCCAGACGCCAACGACCCAGACGCCAACGACCCAGACCCCAACGACCCAGACCCCAACGACCCAGACCCCAACGACCCAGACCCCAACGACCCAGACCCCAACGCCCCAGACGCCAACGACCCAGACGCCAACGACCCAGACCCCAACGACCCAGACGCCAACGACCCAGACCCCAACGACCCAGACGCCAACGACCCAGACGCCAACGACCCAGACCCCAACGACCCAGACCGGAACGACCCAGACCCCAACGCCCCAGACGCCAACGACCCAGACGCCAACGACCCAGACCCCAACGACCCAGACGCCAACGACCCAGACGCCAACGCCCCAGACCCCAACGACCCAGACCCCAACGACCCAGACGCCAACGACCCAGACCCCAACGACCCAGACCCCAACGCCCCAGACCCCAACGACCCAGACCCCAACGCCCCAGACGCCAACGACCCAGACGCCAACGACCCAGACCCCAACGCCCCAGACCCCAACGCCCCAGACCCCAACGCCCCAGACGCCAACGACCCAGACGCCAACGACCCAGACCCCAACGACCCAGACGCCAACGACCCAGACGCCAACGACCCAGACCCCAACGACCCAGACGCCAACGACCCAGACCCCAACGACCCAGACCCCAACGACCCAGACGCCAACGACCCAGACCCCAACGCCCCAGACCCCAACGACCCAGACCCCAACGCCCCAGACGCCAACGACCCAGACCCCAACGACCCAGACCCCAACGCCCCAGACCCCAACGACCCAGACGCCAACGACCCAGACGCCAACGACCCAGACCCCAACGACCCAGACCCCAACGACCCAGACGCCAACGACCCAGACCCCAACGACCCAGACCCCAACGACCCAGACCCCAACGCCCCAGACCCCAACGACCCAGACCCCAACGACCCAGACGCCAACGACCCAGACGCCAACGACCCAGACCCCAACGACCCAGACCCCAACGACCCAGACCGGAACGACCCAGACCCCAACGACCCAGACCCCAACGCCCCAGACGCCAACGACCCAGACCCCAACGACCCAGACCCCAACGCCCCAGACCCCAACGACCCAGACGCCAACGACCCAGACGCCAACGACCCAGACCCCAACGACCCAGACGCCAACGACCCAGACGCCAACGACCCAGACCCCAACGACCCAGACCGGAACGACCCAGACGCCAACGACCCAGACCCCAACGACCCAGACGCCAACGACCCAGACCCCAACGACCCAGACGCCAACGACCCAGACCCCAACGACCCAGACCGGAACGACCCAGACGCCAACGACCCAGACGCCAACGACCCAGACCCCAACGACCCAGACGCCAACGACCCAGACGCCAACGACCCAGACGCCAACGACCCAGACGCCAACGACCCAGACCCCAACGACCCAGACCCCAACGACCCAGACGCCAACGACCCAGACGCCAACGACCCAGACGCCAACGACCCAGACCCCAACGCCCCAGACGCCAACGACCCAGACGCCAACGACCCAGACCCCAACGACCCAGACCCCAACGACCCAGACGCCAACGACCCAGACGCCAACGACCCAGACCCCAACGACCCAGACCCCAACGACCCAGACCCCAACGCCCCAGACCCCAACGACCCAGGGGTCTGGGTCGTTGGGCACGCACACGCCTCCCACCACACACACACACACACGGGCGGTCTCACGCACACGCTCACGCACACATGCACGCCGACAATACATAACTCCTCCATCAGCCAAACATTCATTCATTCACACAATGCCCAAACATGTCTCCTACAAAAACAAAGCAGGCTGATAAACGCACAGCCAGAGTTGCTGCTGCAGCCGGTTTGACCACTAGTCCGTTTTACGGACGGCTGACGGACAGCAGCCAACGCGCGTCAACGGAGACGCGCCCGGTGGAGTCCAGGCCTCAGTCAGGTCCTCAGGGTGCAGGTTTAGTTAGGTCCTCAGGGTGCAGCCTCAGTTGGGTCCTCAGGGTGCAGCTTCAGTCGGGTCCTCAGGGTCAGCTTCAGTCGGGTCCTCAGGGTGCAGCTTCAGTCGGGTCCTCAGAGTGCAGCTTCAGTCGGGTCCTCAGGGTTCTGCTTCAGTCGGGTCCTCAGGGTTCAGCCTCAGTCGGGTCCTCAGGGTTCAGTCTCAGTCGGGTCCTCAGGGTGCAGCCTCAATCGGGTCCTCAGGGTACAGCCTCAGTCGGGTCTTCAGGGTGCAGCCTCAGTCGGGTCCTACAAGGTCGGGACATAGGTACACAGTTTAATCTTTGTGCCATTATGATCGTCCAATCAGATGCATTGACGTCAGCTTCCTTAGCAACCGTGTTAGCAACTGCGTCTGCTCCTACTGCGACCCGTGTCTCAGGTCGAACCCTGGGGAAAGCATATCTTCTTGGCAGAGGTCTGTGCTCTACGGGTTGTAACTCCTCTCTTCCCAGAGCCAAGACGATCAAGAACACGGTGAGTGTGAACGTGGAGCTGACGGCCGACGAGTGGAAACAGAAGTATGAGAAAGAAAAAGAGAAAAACAGAAGTTTGACAGTTTCCAACCACCGCCTGGAGGGGGAGCTGCTGCGCTGGAGGAAAGGTGATGTCACTGTGTGTGTGTCTGTGCTGTGTGAGTGTTAGTGTATATGTTTGTGTTAGTGTGTGTGTGTGTGTTAGTGTCTGTGTCAGTGTGTGTTTCAGTGTGTGTCTTTCGCTCTGTATGTGTCTGTGTGTGTTAGTGTGTGTGTCTGTGTGTCTCTCTCGCTTGATGTGTGTGTGTTAGTGAGTGTGTCTGTCTGTCTCTTTCGCTCGATGTGTGTGTCTGTGTGTGTCTCTCGCTCGGTGTGTGTCTCCCTCGCTCTGTGTGTGTTAGTGTGTGTCTCTCTCGCTCGGGGTGTGTTTTAGTGTTTGTGTGTCTGTGTGTGTCTCTCGCTCGGTGTGTGTGTTAGTGTGTGTGTGTCTGTGTGTGTCTCTCGCTCGGTGTGTGTGTCTGTGTGTCTCCCTCGCTCGGTGTGTGTGTTAGTGTGTGTAGCCCTTTGTATCCGTGAGTTTTATAAATCAGATCCCAGATCAGTCTCTGACGTGGCCCCGCCCCCTCTTCCAGGCGAGGCCGTCCCATTGGAGCAGCAGACGCACAGGGATAAGAAGCTGGCATCTGATAGGACCACAACTGTGGCTGAGGCTCCGCCCCCTGCACCAGTGACCAATGAGGAGCGAGCTCAGTACGAGAGCCTCATCACAGACCTGTACAAGCAGCTGGACGATAAGGTAGTACCCCTAACTCTAAACTGGTCTAAACTGGTCCAAACCAATTTAAACTGATCTAAACTGATCTAAACTGATCTAAACTAATCTAAACTGATCTAAACTGGTCTAAACTGGTCTAAACTGGTCTGAACTGGTCCAAACTGGTCTAAACTAGTCTAAACCGGGCCCCACTGGTCTAAACCGGGCCCCACTGGTCTAAATTAGTCTAAACTGGTACAAACTGGCCCAAGCTCATCTAAACTGGTCTAAACTGGTCTAAACTTGTCCAAACTAGTCCAAGTGTTGTCAGTGGCTTTCATGTGAAATGATGGCGTCATAGTTGCAGATTGTGGGCGGGGCCTGGAGGATCTGACCTCTGACCTCTCACTCTGACCTGTTTTTTCAGGACGAAGACATCAACGTTCAGAGTCAGAGTCAAGAGGAACTGAAGCAGCAGCTGCTGGAGCAAGAGCAGGTGTGTGTGTGTGTGTCTGTGTGTGTGGGTGTGTGTGTGTGTCTGTGTGTGTGTGTGTGTGTGTGTCTGTGTGTGTGGGTGTGTGTGTGTGTCTGTGTGTGTGTGTGTGTGTCTGTGTGTGTGTGTGTGTGTGTCTGTGTGTGTGTGTGTGTGTCTGTGTGTGTGTGCCTTTGTGTGTGTCTGTGTGTGCGAGTGTGTGGGTGCGTGTGTGTGTCTGTGTGTGTGTGCCTTTGTGTGTGTCTGTGTGTGTGCGTGTGTGTGTCTGTGTGTGTCTGTGTGTGTGGGCCTTTGTGTGTGTCTGTGTGTGTGTGTGTGTGTGCCTTTGTGTGTGTCTGTGTGTGGGTGGGTGTGTGTGTGTGTGTGTGGGTGTGTTTGTATGTCTGTGCCTTTGTGTGTCTATGCGTGTGTGTTTGTGTAACCCTAACCCTGTGTGTGTCCAGCTGATCCGCTCTCTGCGTGCTGACCTGGATCGCCTGCAGGGGGAGCTGTGTCGCTCTCAGGCTCAGTGCGACGCCGCTAAAGACGAAGTGAAGGAGGTTCTGCAGGCGCTGGAGGAACTGGCTCTGAACTACGACCAGAAGTCTACAGAGAACCAGAACCGGACCAGAGAAGTCCAGCAAGTCAACCAGGAGCTGCAGCAGCAGACTGTGAGTTGGTCTCTCCCTGGTCTCTACTGGTCCCTCCCTGATCTGACCCCGGTCTCTCTCTGGTCTCTCTCTGGTCTGATCCCAGTCTCTCTCTGGTCTCTCTCTGGTCTCTCTCTGGTCTCTCTCTGGTCTCTCTCTGGTCTCTCTCTGGTCTCTCTCTGGTGTCTCTCTGGTCTCTCCCTGGTCTGATCCCAGTCTCTCTCTGGTCTCTCTCTGGTCTCTCTCTGGTGTCTCTCTGGTCTCTCTCTGGTCTCTCCCTGGTCTCTCCCTGGTCTGATCCCAGTCTCTCTCTGGTCTCTCCCTGGTCTCTCCCTGGTCTGACCCCGGTCTCTCCTGGTCTCTCCTGGTCTCTGGCAGGTCCTGGTGGAGTCGCTGCAGAAGGACCTGTTCTCGATGCAGGAGCTCAGTTCTCATCAGAAGAAAAGATTTAACGAAGTCCTGAACCTTTTACTGAGAGACTTAGGAGATCTGGGAGCAGCATTGGTACACACACACACACGCACACACGCACGCACACATACACGTTTTTGTTACCTGGTGGGTCCCTTTGACAGGGCCGTTCAGAATGGGACCCATAGACATAATCTTTTTTTACTGGGACTACTTTAAGTAATACAAAACAGTCAATAGAAACCAAACAACTATTTTAAAGGAATTTTATTTTAGATTTTGTTTTCGAATTGCAGTGATTCTATTTTTGACATAGAATTTAATGCCACTCCATGTCCGATGTCTAAGGTCATCTGGTGAGGCATTAATGCAGGCCAGGCAGTGAGACTTCCCAGGGACCTTTCCAGTCTGTATGAAAGGTGTCATGGTCTTCTCCACAGCCTTCACCTCAGATGCAGACCATGGCTTTCTTACACGTTCTAGGGAGAGAAATAAAAATATATTAGCAATATACACTCCCAGGGTTAGGACCAAGCAGCCTGGCTGTAATCCCCCACCTGGTACACTTACCAGAAGGGGCACTGCCACTACCATGGGGTGCATCTGGATGAAAGGTTGAAGGTTCTCCGCTTGAAGTTTCTTTTAGCCCGTCCGTTTGTGAGAGGATCTCTACTGCTCTCCCTGTCGCACAGAAAATAAAAATACAAGTGGCCTTTAGGGGAAAAAAATCATACATATTTTAATAATATCAAGAATTACCTTCAGGCTCAATTTGTATCTGGTCGAGGCTCTTTCCTTTGAATTCCGTCACTCTTCCCTGCTCCATGGCCATCAACACTTTGCTGATTTTGGCCAGCTCCAGTGTCCCCTCTGGTAGTCTGTAATATTGCCTGTGGATGCGAATGTCATGGCCGAGGAAGTTGGCTAGTATGTCCATCTCATTCTCTTTCATATTGAGAACTGTAGACATAGTAGCTATGTGCTTTCTAAGTTTGGTTGAGGATAGCATCTCTGGATGCACCGCACCACATTCTTTGGCTACCTGGCGTAGGGAGTCTGATCCCCTGATGTGGGTGTCTGCGCCCGGGCGGGAAAAGAAGTATGGATTATGGTCAGAGATGGAACAGGCCCTTCTGTTCTCCACCAGCACCTCCATCGAAGCAATCATTTCAGGAGTCAAAAGAACCGGTACTTTCCCACTTCTTTTCCATTTAATTTCAATGCGTTGAAAATGCTGACACAGCTTTTTCTCAAGTTGGGACAGTCCCAGAGCAATGTCAGAATGGATCCCAGTCTTACTTCTTAAGGTAAACGCTGTCAGTGGCATCTTTGAAACCTCACCTTCCCTTCTTCGATTGAAAATAATGACCTCACAAAGAGTCAAAACTGCCAGTTTAGACCAATGCTTAGACGTTGGCTCACTTATTAGGGTTTGCACATATTCAGGTCGACATACCTCAATATGTGCATGCATGGCTCTAACGTCCTCAGTCAGAGGGAGCAGGTCCGGAGTGTTCCACTTGGCTTGCCGGAGGGTCTGTAGGGCAGCAGAAGAAACACAGACGTGCCACCTCTTCTCAAAAAGCAGCCGGCTTCGTTGGAGGTTTTTAATAAATAGTTCATCAACACAATGCTCCATTTTTGAGTCACATTCAAGAATATCTGCTTTCTGAGGCTATGGCCGAGTTTGAGGGCCAAGGATGGAGTCTTGTATTGATTTGTTTCCTCATCATATCCAGCCACAGACCTGACTGCATCAATCACATGGTTAAAGTTGGAAGGAATAAAGAAATCCTTCATTGTTTTCAGTTTTCCTGCGGTTTTTGCTTCGTTAATTAACCTACCGACTTCTCTCATTTTCTGCCTAATGTAATCATGCTTAGTCTTATCATGCCCGTGTTTTAAGTACAGGTGCTCTCCGAGTCTCAGAATCCCCTTTTCTGCTTTGACAACACCCGTGACCTCATCCTGATGCATTGCCGAAATTAAAGACCACAGCTTTTTGCTGATGCCCTCCGGTACAGGCTGGGCTAGGGAGCAGAGGGACTGGACCCTACTTCTACCTGGTTTAGCCTGGTTTAGCCTGGGCATCTTTCTGTGAAAGCCGGCACCTGGCCACATGCCTCCACAGCGACTTTCGCTTAAGCAATGCCCCACAGTCTATACAGTGCAAAAACTCACTGGATTTAACTGGGGAATTTGGCTGTTTAGCTGGGACTAAAGTTCCAATGCCGGCCTTTAAAACCTCAAACTTGTGCTCACGGTTTCCACTATTCCTGATCAAATCAAACTGAAGTTTACGTGCTTTAGATTTCACAGGTAGAGCCAATGCTCTGGCTACGTCACTTTCATTTCCATGTTTTCTAGTCAAATGACGGGACATTTTGTGGCAGGACATTGAACAGTAGAGGCAGAAGTGTCTCTTGCTGTAAACTCGCCCCCCATTTTTCTTCTTTTGCAGCTGCATGATAACAATCTTATTTGCCTTTGGTTCGTCACTTTCCGAGTCTTGAAGAAAAGTGTTTTTGATTTTTCTTTTTCCATACTTTTTTACAGGTTTCTTCTTGACAGTTAAATCGTCAGAATCTGAGTCGACTTCATCAATTAGGGACTCTTGACTAAGCTGCACAAACAACAAATAATTTGTAATCATTCTATATAACAATTTGAAGTCATGACTTGTAGTCAGCACTTACCAGTGGTTTGTAAGCGTGCGCTTCAGTGTGCTGCTCTGTGATTGGCTGCAGCCTAATGAACCACACACTTGCACCTTTTCTAGCCTGACACCTGATTTCCTCTGTTGTGCTGCTCCATGATTGGCTCCAGCCTCTGTTGTGCTGCTCCATGATTGGCTCTAGCCTCTGTTGTGCTGCTCCATGATTGGCTCCAGCCTCTGTTGTGCTGCTCCATGATTGGCTCCAGCCTGCTGGACTGAAATTGCCCCAGTGTGCCCCTCCTTGATATCCCGCAACCCACCACCAGGGTTCCGACACAGAACACACTTTTTTCAGGAAAGTAAACCTCCAGGGGCCCTTTCCATATTTTTACAGAGACTGCATAAGGACCGTTAGAAAAGCATTACCCATTGATTATTAAGCTTGGACCAGTGGGGTCCGGTGTTCGGGCCCCACCACGTAAAACCAGTCCCCATGACGTGAGTGGAATCTCAGGTTATGGAACCCACCAGGAGTTGAAAACAAGTGCACGCACGCACGCACACACACGCACGCACACGCACACGCACACACAGAGACACAAAACACACAGACAACACACTGTCACACCTCTTGTTCCTTTCTAACCCTGTCTCTCTTCAGACCAGTTCAGGGTCTGGACTTGGACCAGTTCTTGGACCAGGTCTGGGATCAGGTCTGGAGGAGGACTTCACCGCTGCTCGTCTTTTCATCAGTAAAATGAGATCTGAAGCCAAATCCCTCCTGAACCGGACTAAGACTCTGGAGCAGAACCTTCAGGACCAAACCATTCAGACCCAGAGCATGGAGCGAGAGCTGGGACTGAGTCAGGCTCAAGTCCAACAGGTACTGGTCTAGAGCAGGTCTAAAACAGGACTAAAGTAAATTTAAATAAGGACTGAAGCAGGACTGAAGCAGGACTGAAGCAGGACTGAAGCAGGACTGAAGCAGGACTGAAGCCTAGTGTATACTCGCGCGTCGCGGAGCTTATGTTGGTCACTGCAAGGCCCTTACGTCGCCTGCCGCGCACCCTCAAAAATGTTCTCACTATGTTAGGGTCGCCGCAAGGAAGCTCCGCTGTGATTGGTCCGTGTGTGTGTGTATTGGAAGGAAGCACGGAGCGGCTGCAGGGACATGGACGAGGCTCTATGGAGCAGAGAGCTTTGTGCTTCGAAGGAACCAAAGGAAAAGTAGTTTGGGCTCAGAGCCTGATATACAGGAGACTGTATCTAACATATATATAACTTATATCTAACATATATATATATAACTTATATATAACATATATATAACTTATATCTAACATATATATATATAACTTATATCTAACATATATATAACTTATATCTAACATATATATAACTTATATCTAACATATATATAACTTATATCTAACATATATATAACTTATAAATTGTTCATGTTTGCCTCAGATATTTACCACTTATTATTTAGCTGTTTGTGCTGAATACAATTTAATAATAACTATGTTTCCAACAAGAACTGTGTCTTTAGTTACAACGTCACAGTTAAATGAGTTCAGAAATAATGAGTCCATAGAACCATGTAATGATCTCAAACAGCTCGGTTTGTTCATGTTTTTGTTCTAAAGAGGAGAAAGAAGCAGCACAAATGAGACCGCTTTGGTTTCTCAGGCAACTCCTGTGAGATCGCCATCATGTGGTTGGTTGTAGGATTACAACATTCGGGGAACGCGCAAGTGTACCACAAACTGTGGTTACGTAGGTCCAACGTAACCGCAACCGTAAGTGTACACAGGCCTTAAAGCTGGACTAAAGCAAGTTTAAATAAGGTCTAAAGCAGGTCTAAAGCATGACTAAAGCAGGTCTAAAGCAGGACTAAAGCAGGACTAAAGCAGGACTAAAGCAGGACTAAATCAGGACTAAAACAGGACTAGCCCAGGACTGAAGCAGGTCTATTCTCATGTTTATTTTGATCATTCATACTTTGTTCTAACTCTGATCTAGCTCCAGTCCAGGACTCGGACTCAGTTTGAGGACCTTCAGAGACTGGAGCAGAGGAACCGGGTCCTCGAGGAGAGTCAGGACTCACTGAACGAGGAGCTGCACCGGGTCCAGGCACAAGGTCAGAACCAGGACTGACCCAGGACTAAACCATCATCAGCCCGTCCTTGATGCCACAGTATTAACTCTTTGTTTGCCTTTGACGTATTCATGTCATTAATGTCAATTGCGTTTTCCGCTATTTTCACGTTCCCAGGTGTCTATTCTCTCAAGCCAATGTTTGGGGATTGGCTTGAGAGCATATTTTATGGAGCCAGCAGGTGGCAGCAGCGCTCTCTGGAGGGTTTGAAAACAGGATACACTTGTTGTGCCTCTTTTTTCTCAGCTTTTTGGTGATTTCAGTAAAACTTCCCTCTACTCGACTGGGGACTACAGGGGAACGAAACAAGCTGGAAACAAAATTATTTTTGTTGATGAAAGTAGACAGTCCATTCTTTCAGAGTTTTCGAATTTCAGATAGTCATAGTACACAATATTCTGTGGGTCTTGAAAAATCCATAAACATCATCAGAAACTGCTGGCAGTACCTGTTGTAATGAGTTAAAGACCTTATGCCGGGTTTAAAAAAAAAAATTGTGGATATCAAAATTGCATGACAATGTCGATCTGAAATAGATTCTGGAAAGAAAAATCCTATATTTTATAAAAAGAAAGTGTTTTTCATGAATTTAAGTTGTCTATGCTCTAACCTGTGTGTGACGTCACAGCGGGTAACGCCCATGCATTGAAAACCATGGATCTATGCCACAGGACTGCCTTTTCTCTCTTCTCTCCACTGATGCCCAACACAATACTGCCCTCTACAGGTGACAATTGCTCACTACACATAAATTGCCGTTTTGAGAGTGAAAATGTGTCTGAGGTGAGATTTGACCCCAGTATCTGGATTGACAGTCCATAGACACAACCACTGGACTATCTCAGTACTAATGAAGAGTTACAATCTAGTAGTAATCTCAAACCTGCTGTACACGGCCTTGTCATCTTGAATATCTGCGAAAAAAGAACGAATACCAAATTGTAAACAACTTACAGCGTTGAAACGTACCCGCTCTGACGTCACCAAGGGCTGTGAAGTTTTTTCGTCTCTAAGGGCGTTGCTATGGGGTTATTTCGATTTGGGGGGATCAGACAAAAAAAAAAAAACAACTGATTTTGAAACCTTTAGTAGTTCTCTTCTAATATAAAATGGTATTAAAACTGTATTTCTAAATAAATCAAACCCGGCATAAGGTCTTTAAATCATTATCGGCCCATCTTCCTTTTGAGAGAAAGTTTCTGGAAAAAGTTCTCTATCAACAATAATGAGATTTGTATTATCAAACAACTCTTTTGAGGTTTTAGACCAAACATAGCACAGAGACTGCCCTAATTAAAATTGTAAACGACAAACGTCTGAACACGGATGTTGGCAAAGTCTCAGTGCTGGTTTTATTAGATCTAAGTGCAGCATTTGATACTGTGGATCCTGAAATCTAGAGGACAGACTATACTATGCTGAGATTGGAAATTGTGTTTCAGACCAAATAGTCTTGACTAGGACCACAGGGGTCAATCCTAGGACCTCTGTTATTTAATCTTTACATGTTTCCAATTCCTACCACAATTATAAGATAAGATAAGAATTCCTTTATTCGTCCCACAGTGGGGAAATGTCGATGTTGCAGCGCACAGACAGGACAGTAGTAAGAGCACACACAGTATATACAAATAAGTAGTAGGTATGTTTCTTAGCTAACATAACTAGCTGTAGATGCTGAAAATGCTTCAATACCAGTCAAAATATCTATATAGTAGTGCAGTTATATACTGATGATCCTCAGCTCTACGTCGCACTGACTTCAGCAGAATATGAACCATTGGATTCACTCTGCCACCGTAAACACGTCCATGTGAGGATGCAAAGCAATTTTTTACAACTTTATTCTGATAAAACAAACCATTGGTTTTGGAGCACAGAAGAGAAACTCACCGGTTTCCTGCAGTCTCTCTCCCTGAAACCTGCAAATCAGGTCAGAAATCTTGGGGTAGTTCTGGACGCAGAGTTGAATTTTCAGCAGCACAAAAATTCAATAACATCAGTGACTTTTTATCATTTAAAAAACATTTCCAGAATCAAAGGATATTGTGTCTAAACCAGTTAGACTACTGCAATGGCTGCTCACAGGTCTGTCCAAACAGGCTGTAAAACAGCTGCAGTACATTCAAAATGCAGCAGCTCGAGTCCTGACTAGAACCAGGAAGTACCATCACATTAGTCCTGACTAGAACCAGGAAGTACCATCACATTAGTCCCTGTACCATCACATTAGTCCTGACTAGAACCCGGAAGTACCATCACATTAGTCCTGACTTGAACCCGGAAGTACCATCACATTAGTCCTGACTAGAACCAGGAAGTACCATCACATTAGTCCTGGTCTCAACGCTCTCCATGACCTCGCACCAAAGTACATTAGTGACATGTTGGTACTATATGAACCGAGCTGGACTCTGAGGAGCACAGGGACTGGACTCCTGCTGGTCCCAGAGTCAGGATTAAATATTGGGTGGCAGCGTTTCAAATGTATGCAGCTGGGACATGGGACAGTCTCCCTGAGTTTGTGAGACAGGCCTCGTCTCACACTTACACTGTATGAATGTGCTTTATAAACAAATGTGATTGATACAGAAGAAAGATGTTCTGGTTCTGGTTCTGACAGGTCGACTGGTGGAGATGTCAGCGATGGATAAAGAGAAGGTTCTAAAGGACACAGTGGACATGAAGGTCTGAACCAGGACTGAACCAGGACTGAACCAGGACTGAAGCAGGACTGAACCAGGACTAACCCAGGTCTGCTTGACTCTCTAGCGCACCCTGGAGGAGCAGATGGAGAATCACAGAGAGGTTCATCAGAGACAAGTGTCAAGACTCCGAGACCAGATCCAAGTCCAGAACCGAGACCTGGACCTGCTCCGGGAGTGAGTCCTAACAGTCTATTCTCCGAACCCTGACCCACAACCCGTGGGGTCCATGATGATGTCATGATGATGTCATGATGATGTCATGAAGAGGTCATGATGATGTCATGATGTGGTCATGATGATGTCATGAAGAGGTCATGATGATGTCGTGATGAGGTCATGAAGAGGTCATGATGATGTCATGATGATGTCATGAAGAGGTCATGATGATGTCATGAAGAGGTCATGATGATGTCATGAAGAGGTCATGATGTGGTCATGATGATGTCATGAAGAGGTCATGATGATGATGATGTCATGATGATGTCGTGATGAGGTCATGATGAGGTCATTATGATGTCATGTGTTGTTTTTCTGGTTTCAAACTGGGACAACGTTAGTCTTTTAAATGATGAACTATTTATTTGATACTTTTTACTTCATGATCCTTCTGTTTACTCCTGATTGATCTTTAAAATCTTTAAAATGTTTAAGTATCAGTCTGTTCCTGATGTGTGCAGCGTGTCGCAGCAGCAGCAGGTGGAGATCCACCGACTCAGCTCCGAACTGGACCAGGTCCGAGTTCAAGACCGAGTCAAGGACCAAAGACTGAGAGAGCTTCAGTGAGTACTGAACCAGGACTGAACCAGGTCTGAACCAGGACTGAACCAGGACTGAACCAGGTCTGAACCAGGACTGAACCAGGACTGAACCAGGTCTAAACCAGGACTGAACCAGGACTGAACCAGGTCTAAACCAGTACTGAACCAGGACTGAACCAGGTCTAAACTAGCACTGAACCAGGACTGAACCAGGACTGAACCAGGTCTAAACCAGGACTGAACCAGGACTGAACCAGGTCTAAACCAGTACTGAACCAGGACTGAACCAGGTCTAAACTAGCACTGAACCAGCACTGAACCAGGACTGAACCAGGACTAAACCAGGACTGAACCAGGACTAAACCAGACTGGTCTGTTTCAGGCTGGAGAGGGAGAAAAAGGACCAGGCCAAAGAGGATCTAAAAGGACTGGAGGAAACTGTGGTAAAAGCACTCACTACTGCCTCCTACTGACCACAGTGGTAGGATGACCAGGTCAAACCCAACCCAGGTCACCCAGACCCAGACCCAGACCCAGACCCAGACCCAGACCCAGACCCAGACCCAGACCCAGACCCAGACCCTGACCCAGACCCAGACCCAGACCCAGACCCAGACCCAAACCCAGACCCAGACCCAGACCCAGGCCCAGACCCAGACCCTGGCCCAGACCCAGACCCTGGCCCAGACCCTGACCCAGACCCAGACCCTGGCCCAGACCCAGACCCAGACCCAGACCCAGACCCAGACCCTGACCCAGACCCAGACCCAAACCCAGGCCCAGACCCAAACCCAGACCCAGACCCAGACCCAGGCCCAGACCCAGACCCAGACCCAGACCCAGACCCAGACCCAGACCCAGACCCTGGCCCAGACCCAGACCCTGACCCAGACCCAGGCCCAGACCCAGACCCTGACCCAGACCCTGACCCAGACCCTGACCCAGACCCAGACCCTGACCCAGACCCAAACCCAGGCCCAGACCCAAACCCAGACCCAGACCCAGACCCAGGCCCAGACCCAGACCCAAACCCAGACCCTGACCCAGACCCAGGCCCAGACCCAGACCCTGGCCCAGACCCAGACCCTGGCCCAGACCCAGACCCTGGCCCAGACCCAGGCCCAGACCCAGACCCTGACCCAGACCCTGACCCAGACCCAGACCCTGACCCAGACCCAGACCCAAACCCAGGCCCAGACCCAAACCCAGACCCAAACCCAGACCCTGACCCAGACCCAGGCCCTGGCCCAGACCCAGACCCAGACCCAGACCCAGACCCAGACCCTGACCCAGACCCAGACCCTGGCCCAGACCCAGACCCAGACCCAGACCCAGGCCCAGACCCAGACCCAGACCCAAACCCAGGCCCAGACCCAAACCCAGACCCAGACCCAGACCCAGGCCCAGACCCAGACCCAAACCCAGACCCTGACCCAGACCCAGGCCCAGACCCAGACCCTGGCCCAGACCCAGACCCTGACCCAGACCCAGGCCCAGACCCAGACCCTGACCCAGACCCTGACCCAGACCCTGACCCAGACCCAGACCCTGACCCAGACCCAAACCCAGGCCCAGACCCAAACCCAGACCCAGACCCAGACCCAGGCCCAGACCCAGACCCAAACCCAGACCCTGACCCAGACCCAGACCCTGGCCCAGACCCAGACCCTGGCCCAGACCCAGGCCCAGACCCAGACCCAAACCCAGGCCCAGACCCAAACCCAGACCCAAACCCAGACCCTGGCCCAGACCCAGGCCCTGGCCCAGACCCAGACCCAGACCCAGACCCAGACCCAGACCCTGACCCAGACCCAGACCCTGGCCCAGACCCAGACCCAGACCCAGACCCTGGCCCAGACCCAGACCCTGGCACATGTTTGTAAACGTCTCACTGTTTGTTTCAGGTGACAGAACTTCAGACTTTGATGAATCTGCGTAAACAGTTTGTGAATGACTTCAACTCGAGGATCCGCAGCGTAAGAACCACCTGTACCCCAGACCCAGACCCAGACCCGGACCCAGACCAGGACCCAGACCAAGACCCGGACCCAGACCAAGACCCGGACCCAGACCAGGACCCAGACCAAGACCCGGACCCAGACCTGGACTCAGACCCAAAGAGACAAAGTTCCAGAAAAACAATGTCTGTAAAAGAGATGACCTCATGACAGGAGGAGGTTGGATGTTACTGTCCCCAAACTCTAGCTCTAACCCAAACTCTAACTAACTCTAACCCTAACTCTAACTAACCCAAACTCTAACCCTAACTCTAACCAAAACTCTAGCTCTAACCCAAACTCTAGCTCTAACCCAAACTCTAACCCAAACTCTAACTAACCCAAACTCTAACCCTAACTCTAACCAAAACTCTAGCTCTAACTCTAACCCAAACTATAACCCTAACTCTAACCCAAACTCTAACTCTAACCCAAACTATAGCTCTAACTCTAACCCAAACACTATCTCTAACCCTAACCCAAACTCTAGCTCTATCTCTAACCCAACTCTAACCCAAACTCTAGCTCTAACCTAAACTCTAGCTCTAACCCAAACTCTAACTCTAACCCAAACTCTAGCTCTAACTCTAACCTAAACTCTAGCTCTAACCCAAACTCTAACTCTAAACCAAACTCTAGCTCTAACTCTAACCCAAACTCTAACTCTAGCTCAAACCCAAACTCTAACACAAACTCTAGCTCTAACTAACTAACCCAAACTCTAGCTCTAACCCAAACGCTAACTCTAACCTAAACTCTAGCTCTAACCCAAACTCTAACTCTATACCAAACTCTAGCTCTAACTCTAACCCAAACTCTAACTCTAACCCTAACTCTAGCTCAAACCCAAACTCTAACCCAAACTCTAACTCTAGCTCAAACCCAAACTCTAACACAAACTCTAGCTCTAACTAACTAACCCAAACTCTAGCTCTAACCCAAACGCTAACTCTAACCTAAACTCTAGCTCTAACCCAAACTCTAACTCTATACCAAACTCTAGCTCTAACTCTAACCCAAACTCTAACTCTAACCCTAACTCTAGCTCAAACCCAAACTCTAACACAAACTCTAGCTCTAACTAACTAACCCAAACTCTAACTCTAACCCAAACTCTAGCTCTAACCCAAACTCTAGCTCTAACTAACACAAACTCCAGCTCTAACCCAAGCTCTAGCTCTAACTCTAACCCAAACTCTAACTCTAACCCAAACTCTAGCTCTAACCCAAACTCTAACTCTAACCCAAACTGTAGCTCTAACTAACTCTAACCCAAACTGTAGCTCTAACTCTAACCCAAACCCAAACTCTAACCCAAACTCTAACTCTAACCCAAACTCTAGCTCTAACTCTAACCCAAACCCAAACTCTAACTCAAACTAACTCTAACTCTAACCCAAACTCTAATCCACAAGTTCCTGTGTTTCAGGTCCAGGACAATGATGCAGATGAAGCTGGAGGAAGTTCAGCCCAAAAACAAAGAATAATTTTTCTGGAAAACAACTTGGACCAACTCGGCAAAGTCCACAAGCAGGTGACGCAATCTGTGTGTATTCAGTGTGTGTGTAGTTGTTGTGTAGTTGTTAATTTGTGTGTGATTGTGTGTAGTTGGTGAGGGATAATGCCGACCTCCGTTGTGAGCTGCCAAAGATGGAGAAGCGGCTCCGCGCGGCGTCTGAGCGCGTGCAGATGTTGCAGAAGGGTCTCAATCAAGCCAAGATGGCCGCCATCCGCGACAAGAAGAACTACAGACAGGAAGTGGACCGCTGCAAACAGGAAGTGGAACGTATTAAAGACGCAATGAGACAGAGGACGCACTATGCCCAAATCGGTAAAGCAACTACTACGCAACTACTACACAACTACTACACAACAACTTATCTATCAATCCAGTTTATTTGTATATCGCCCTAAATCACAACAACAGTCGTCTTGGAGGATTCACCAACAGCAGATCAGAGAATCAAGAGGCTCTAGATCCAGGACTGAGGCTCTAGATCCAAGACCAAGGCTGTAGACCCAGGACTGAGGCTGTAGATCCAGGACTGAGGCTGTAGATCCAGGACTGAGGCTGTAGATCCAGGACTGAGCCTGCAGATCCAGGACTGAGGCTGCAGATCCAGGACTGAGGCTGTAGATCCAGGACTGAGGCTGCAGATCCAGGACTGAGGCTGTAGATCCAGGACTGAGGCTGCAGATCCAGGACTGAGGCTGTAGATCCAGGACTGAGGCTGTAGATCCAGGACTGAGGCTGTAGACCCAGGACTGAGGCTGTAGATCCAGGACTGAGGCCAGCACTCACATATAACTCTCACTTATAACTTCATAGAATAACCCAGAGTGCGACCCAGACTCTACACATGGAGTTCTCCCATGGATCAAACTAATTCATTACTTCCTGTTTTTCTTTCAGCTAAGCCAATCAGAGCCGGCCGTCAACACATGTCTGTCAGAGGGGGTGTGGCCAGTGTTTCGGGGAGCGGAGCCAGTGCTCGTCTGAGAAAAAATCAGCCATAACCTGAAAACGTCGATCATCAATGTGATTAAAAAGCACATGGAATATTGTTGATTCAAACTCTCACCTGACTGGAACCAATTGTCAGTCCACCTTAAACAGTCCGTGATTGTCAGCAAGTCCACCTCAAACAGCCAGTCCACCTTAAACAGTCCAGATAGTCAGTCAGTCCAGCTCAAACAGCCAGTCCACCTTAAACAGTCCAGATAGTAAACCAGTCCACCTTAAACAGTTCATGATTGTCAGCCAGTCCACCTTAAACAGTTCATGATTGTCAGCCAGTCCACCTTAAACAGTTCATGATTGTCAGCCAGTCCACCTTAAACAGTTCATGATTGTCAGCCAGTCCACCTTAAACAGTCAGCCTTCACACCGGACCATGTGATGCGTAGAGTTCACACGTGAAGTCAGTGGCGACGTTGGTGCAAATATTCGCATGTGCGGCTCGACCAATCAGAGAGCAGCAAAGTGGTCATGGGGACACAAGCCGGTCAGAGCAAGAAGACAAAGACACGCAAAAACAACAAAAACAAGAACTAAAGCAGGACTAAACCAGGACTAAACCAGGACTAAACCAGGACTATACCAGGACTATACCAGGACTATACCAGGACTATACCAGGACTAAACCAGGACTAAACCAGGACTATACCAGGACTATACCAGGACTATACCAGGACTATACCAGGACTAAACCAGGAGTAAACCAGGACTATACCAGGACTATACCAGGACTATACCAGGACTAAACCAGGACTATACCAGGACTAAACCAGGACTATACCAGGACTATACCAGGACTAAACCAGGACTAAACCAGGACTATACCAGGACTAAACCAGGACTATACCAGGACTAAACCAGGACTATACCAGGACTAAACCAGGACTAAACCAGGACTAAACCAGGACTATACCAGGACTAAACCAGGACTAAACCAGGACTATACCAGGACTAAACCAGGACTATACCAGGACTAAACCAGGACTAAACCAGGACTAAACCAGGACTAAACCAGGACTAAACCAGGACTATACCAGGACTATACCAGGACTGACAATGGGGGACACAGTGCTTTCTCCCGTGACTATAAACATGTTGCTAACGTGTGGCTGATACAGAAGAACTGGTGCAGCTCCGTGAACAGATACAGCTGTTGTGACGTCTGTGGAGGATCTCAGACACAGACGCCGCAGAGCTGCACTCGTGAAGAAGAACTTTACATGAAACTCGTTAGCATCAAAGCCCACCACCACTTCGCCCTGCGTTCTGCAGCATTGCAGATGTACGTCAGATTTATGTTGCTGAATTAAGTGAACCTGCATCCAAGATGGCGGTGGGAACGCCCCTTTAGTCAGCCAGTCCACCTTAAACAGCCAGTCCACCTTAAAACAACCATCACAACCAGTCCACCTTAAACAGCCAGTCCACCTTAAAACAACCATCACAACCAGTCCACCTTAAAGTATGTAAATCTTGTTCTCTCTTTTTTCACTGTCCCTCAGACAGACACACACATACACACACACACAGACAGACACACACATACACAGACACACACATACACAGACACACAGACAAACACACACAAACAGACACACAGACATACACACACAAACAGACACACACATACACAGACACACACACACACACAGACACACACACATACACAGACACACAGACAAACACACACAAACAGACACACACATACACAGACACACAGACATACACACACAAACAGACACACACAGACATACACAGACACACACATACACAGACACACAGACATACACACACAGACAGACACACACACACACACAAACAGACACACACACACAGACATACACACACAAACAGACACACACAGACATACACAGACACACACATACACAGACACACAGACATACACACACAGACATACACACACAAACAGACACACACAAACAGACACACACAAAGACATACACACACAAACACACATACACAGACATACAAACACACACAAAAACATACACACACATACACAGACAGACACACACAAACACACATACACACACATACACAAACATACACACACAAACACACATACACAGACAGACACACACAAACACACATACACACACAAACAAATATACACAAACAAACACACACAAACACACATACACACACAAACAGACATACACAAACATACACACACATACACAGACATACACACACACATACACACACAAACACACATACACAGACAGACACACACAAACACACAAACACACAAACAGACACACACATACACAAACACACATACACAAACATACAAACACACATACACACACAAACACACATACACAAACAGACACACACATACACACACATACACACACAAACACACATACACAAACAGACACACACATACACAAACATACACACACAAACACACATACACAAACACACACACATACACATACACACACAAACACAGAGACACACACGCACACACTTTTGTGACAGACTGAATGTATCTTGTGTGTGTCTGTGTGCGTTCGTGGACGTCATGTTGAGAAGCACAAAGATGTTTCCAAACGTCTCTTTTTGCTCAGTGTTTGTTATAACGTGTTTGTGTATTTAAAATAAATGTGCGTCGACATGATCTTGTGTGGTTTGGATATTGTAATGGAAACACAAAGTTAAGAAAAGGTCAGGGTTGTCAGATATGTGGTAAGTTGTCTTTATTTATAGGGCACATGTTTACAGACTTTACACGGTTCAGACGTGGTTCCGTTCTCTCCACACGGTGACGACACACGTGAGACGCAGAACACACTGGACACTGGGCCATCAAAGCCTCCGACCAAACACCCTCCATTCACTCGTTACATTCAGACTATTGCACATGTTTTTAGTGGTAGAGGAAACTGGAGCACCTACACAGACACGGGGAGAACATGCAAACTCCACACAGAAAGACCCTGTACTGACCGGGATTCAAACCCAGGACCTTCTTGTACTTTATTATCTTCTACAACAGAGATGTCAAAATCAAACACATCCGAGGCCGAAAAAACAAGTTTTCTCCAAGCCGAGGGCCGGACTGGTTCAGACTTTATTAAAACATTTAAAAACGATCGTATAAAACTGTTGAACCAAAACAAAGGACAGATAAACATAAGATTTGTTTTCTTCCTCTCCGCTCTAATCCTAACCCAACCCTAATCAAACATCATCCCGGGGCCAAGATCATTCAGTCGCGGCCGGATCTGGCCCCCGGGCCTTCTAGATCTTCACTCACATGTTCTTGCACATTAATATTAAGTATTCAAGTGCTAAAAGATGCCATTAAGCACTTTACTGTGATCGCCTGATTCAGCCTCAGGTGGGTCAGTCCTGGTCCAGACCATGGATCCAGACTGTGAGATCCATGGTACAGACTGATACTACCATAGATCCATGGTACTAGCATAGATCCATGGTACTAGCATAGATCCATGGTACTATCATAGATCCATGGTACAGACTGATACTACCATAGATCCATGGTACAGAATGGTACTATCATAGATCCATGGTACTAGCATAGATCCATGGTACAGACTGATACTATCATAGATCCCTGACTCAGGTTGCCAGATATGCAGACGAATCCAGCTGGGACCATAACAGCTGAATAGACAAGAGTTTTGTCAACAACAAATCTATAACCAACACCTTTTTCACAAAGATAGAAATCCTGGTTTTATTCCTTGTTTTGTCGTTAATGATTTGAGAATCATAACGAACCTTATAGTTCTGTGGCCACATGGTACTTTACCAGTGAGATTAGCTCCACGGTGGGTCCTGGCAACCTGGATCACAGACTTTCTGATTGGTGAAACGGTGGAGGGCGGGACATCGAAATGAAAACAAGATTTAGGGGCTGGAAAACTAATCTCTCTAAAGAAGTATTAGACAAGAGCGTTTTTTTTATGCCTTTTGACAGATTAGGGCCCTTTAATGACGACTTAAAGTTATAATCTTACATATTGCTACTTTAAACTCTAAACATTTGTGGATTTGTAGTTTTTAAGGTGCAAAGTAAACAATAATGTCCAACTAATGGCCACAAATGCACTGATCAGAACCTCTCAGACTTTTCATATGTTTAACCTGATTCATTCATGCCTCAGCTCTGCTTCAGTCGCGCTGGTGCAGTGCTCTGTGTCACATTAGCGCCACCGTGCTGCACAAACGGGTATTACGGCCCGGGCTGACAGTGGTGCTACAAGGCCCTCTAGCGGTTAATGTATGTTGGTGATGTGTTGTTTATTAGTGTGTGTGATAGAAAATCTGGAGCAGTTTTCCTGAAAATGTGAGACAGGCTTCTTCTCTGACAAAGATCAAATCCAGGTTAAAAACAGTTCTGTTTTGCTGCAACAACTGAAGGATTTTATTTTGAGTGTTTTTGAATGCACTGTGATTATTCATGATTTAAATGCCTTGTGTTGTTTCTCTACCTTACATACCCCAAGCGACTTGCAGCTGTAATTGCAGCAAAAGGTGGCGCTACAAAGTATTAGCGCAACGGGGCCGAATAATATTGCACGCCCCACTTTTCAGTTTTTTATTTGTTAAAAAAGTTTAAATTATCCAATGAATTTCGTTCCACTTCACGATTGTGTCCCACTTGTTGTTGATTCTTGACAAAAAAAATAATTTTTATATCTTTATGTTTGAAGCCTGAAATGTGGCGAAATGTTGAAAGGTTCAATGGGGCCGAATACTTTCGCAAGGCACTGTAAGTAACACGATTCAGACTTGTGCACCAGATAAGTATATAGGTTGATTTGTATAACACAGGTATAAAGTATATATACAAAACAATTTTACATACAATTCTAATATATAAACACACACAACAGACATTTATGTGACCATTTTAGTTATTTGTGTTTAACTCACCCCTCTCTCTCTGGTCTCCCTAGCCTCTCTTCTCTCTCTCTCTGGTCTCTCTCTGGTCTCTCTCTGGTCTCTCTCTCTGGTCTCTCTCTGGTCTCTCTCTCTGGTCTCTCTCTCTGGTCTCTCTCTGGTCTCTCTCTCTGGTCTCTCTCTGGTCTCTCTCTCTGGTCTCTCTCTCTGGTCTCTCTCTGGTCTCTCTCTCTGGTCTCTCTCTGGTCTCTCTCTCTGGGTCTCCCTAGCCTCTCTGGTCTCTCTCTCTGGTCTCTCTCTCTGGTCTCTCTCTCTCTGGTCTCTCTCTTTCTAAATAAAGATAAATACATACATTTCCAGTTTGAAACACAAAAAAACATTAAACTGTGAACCAAATATCTATTGTAAATTAAACACAAAAAAGTAACACGATTCAGACTTGTGCACCAGATAAGTATATAGGTTGATTTGTATAACACAGGTATAAAGTATATATACAAAACAATTTTACATACAATTCTAATATATAAACACACACAACAGACATTTATGTGACCATTATAGTTATTTGTGTTTAACTCACCCCTCTCTCTCTGGTCTCCCTAGCCTCTCTTCTCTCTCTCTCTGGTCTCTCTCTGGTCTCTCTCTGGTCTCTCTCTGGTCTCTCTCTCTGGTCTCTCTCTGGTCTCTCTCTCTGGTCTCTCTCTGGTCTCTCTCTCTGGTCTCTCTCTCTGGTCTCTCTCTGGTCTCTCTCTCTGGTCTCTCTCTCTGGTCTCTCTCTGGTCTCTCTCTCTGGTCTCTCTCTCTGGTCTCTCTCTGGTCTCTCTCTCTGGTCTCTCTCTGGTCTCTCTCTCTGGTCTCTCTCTGGTCTCTCTCTGGTCTCTCTCTCTGGTCTCTCTCTCTGGTCTCTCTCTGGTCTCTCTCTCTGGTCTCTCTCTGGTCTCTCTCTCTGGTCTCCCTAGCCTCTCTGGTCTCTCTCTCTGGTCTCTCTCTCTGGTCTCTCTCTCTGGTCTCTCTCTCTCTGGTCTCTCTCTTTCTAAATAAAGATAAATACATACATTTCCAGTTTGAAACACAAAAAAACATTAAACTGTGAACCAAATATCTATTGTAAATTAAACACAAAAAAGTATTGTCAGAAGTGGGATTCGAACCCACGCCTCCATTCGGAGACCAGAATACCCGTTACTGCGGAAGGAGCTTATCCTTGAGTCTGGCGCCTTAGACCACTCGGCCATCCTGACAACTCTGAAAATACGTGGAAATAGTTTGATTATAAAGACAATACAGATAAATAGTTTGATCTCTCGAAATTATCTTTTATGTCAACACATATATCGATGTTGTAACGATAAATGCCTTCGCCTTTGTAATAGAATACAATTCTGGTCGTATCATGCAGTATAAGCGTTAAAACGGGTCAGATATTGGGCAAATACAGCTAAATTACACTGTTTTCTCACTCTTGTGTTTTAAAATGTCAGTAACATATTGGCTAATGTTATTTGAATGTCATACATACATCGTTATTTTACGGCATCGTTTACTGAGCTAGCATTCAGTTAGCCACCACAATGCTAACGTCCGGTTATGGTCTGGTTCCGGGTTTGTGAACACGTGCCTGCTAAGCCCCGCCCCGTTACTCCAGCCCATACATAACATATCCACCCATGAACACAAGTCATTCTTACGAAATACGACACTTTCCGACGCCTTTAAATCACGCAGATCTTTACGTTTACAGATATTTTTCACATTTCTGAGCAGGATTCCGAAGCTGCAGGTTCAACAACATGTCGATCTACAGAAACACCATCTGGTTTTTCAAAGGCATGCAGGAGTATACCAGGTAGGAGCCAGTGGGAGCCACACACTGACGTCCACCTCTGTATTCCACTGTTTATTTATGACACAGCTTCTTGGTGATTATTGATTGTGTAAAGTGGTGTTTCTACTGTGTGTCTGTGTTACTGAAGTTACGGTCAGGCTTCTGTGACCTCAGCGCTGCATAAGCTGTCTAAGTCATATAATGTTACTAGTTACATTCATTACCTTTGATGTTTGTGACATAGTATCACTGACTTTAATATTTAACTCACTGGTAGTAGTAGTAGTGGTAGTGGTAGATAGTAATAACTTTGCAAGTTCATTCTTAGTTGGAAAGTGGTTGTATTAGTGCTGTTAATCTCCTTAACTTGAATTACTTTGATTGTAACTAGTAATATACTCTTGTTTTGTGAACTGTGCTATACAAAAAAACTGTCCTTGCCTTTTTATTAGTCACATTATTAAGTTACTTATAAAGGAATATGACATCGGATGTACTTCAGTGACTTTGTTTCAGTGTTGATAGATAAAGACGTGTGGACTAATATTTACAGTCTACAAACAGTTACACACAATGCTTCATAAACCAACAACCCGACACTAAACAAGAGAAGAAACATTAAAACCACAAATAATCACAGCATGTTATAATGAGTAAAGATACAATTCTTCAGTTTTTAACCTGGATTTGAACATCGTCAGAGAAGAAGCCTGTATCACATTTTCAGGAAGACTGTTCCAGATTTTAGCTGCATAAATCTGAAACGCTGCCTCCTCATGTTCAGTCCTGACTCAGTCCCTGTGCTCCTCAGAGTCCCAGCAGGAGGCCAGTCCCTGTGCTCCTCAGAGTCCCAGCAGGAGGCCAGTCCCTGTGCTCCTCAGAGTCCCAGCAGGAGGCCAGTCCCTGTGCTCCTCAGAGTCCCAGCAGGAGGCCAGTCCCTGTGCTCCTCAGAGTCCCAGCAGGAGGCCAGTCCCTGTGCTCCTCAGAGTCCCAGCAGGAGGCCAGTCCCTGTGCTCCTCAGAGTCCCAGCAGGAGGCCAGTCCCTGTGCTCCTCAGAGTCCCAGCAGGAGGCCAGTCCCTGTGCTCCTCAGAGTCCCAGCAGGAGGCCAGTCCCTGTGCTCCTCAGAGTCCCAGCAGGAGGCCAGTCCCTGTGCTCCTTAGAGTCCCAGCAGGAGGCCAGTCCCTGTGCTCCTCAGAGTCCTAGCAGGAGGCCAGTCCCTGTGCTCCTCAGAGTCACTAACATGTCACAGATGTACCTTAGTTCGAGTCCGTGCAGAGACTTGTTTGTGCTCTAACATAAGTCTCTTCTGGGTTTTCTGTGTGATCTTTGGACTCAGGTGCGGTTACGAGGCGGCGGCGAAGCGCTTCTCTCCCTCAGACCTGGAGGTGGATCTCAGCGGTCGCTCCTTCATCATCACCGGCTCCAACAGCGGCATCGGGAAGGCCACGGCGCTGGAGGTCGCCAACAGAGGCAAGAGTCTTTTTTTTTTTTTTAAGTAAAAAAAAAAATCGTAAATTATGTCATACAGTATATATCATTGGCTTATGCTAGCACCATGGACTGCAGGACCAGAGGAACATGTCAGCGTTCTGACCAATCAGAGCGCAGCTGAGAGACCAGAGAGGGAGAGACCCCAGAGAGGGAGAGACCCCAGAGAGGGAGAGACCCCAGAGAGGGAGAGACCCCAGAGAGGGAGAGACCCCAGAGAGGGAGAGACCCCAGAGAGGGAGAGACCCCAGAGAGGGAGAGACCCCAGAGAAGGAGAGACACCAGCCCATGTGGATTTAGGCTACAGTACCGTGGGTGGCCTCTAGTCCATGTGGATTTAGGCTACAGTACCGTGGGTGGCCTCTAGTCCATGTAGATTTAGACTGCAGTACCGTGGGTGGCCTCTAGTCCATGTGGAGACATCCTATCACACTTCTCTCTTGCTGGTCCGTCTCCAGGGGGAACGGTGCACATGGTTTGCAGAAACAAGGACCGAGCCAACGCGGCCAAAGACGAGATTGTGGAAAAGAGTCAAAACCAGGTGTGTGTTTGAAACATTATTATTATTATTATTCTGTTGTTATTCCTGATAAGTCATAGAGACCTGTGTCTGCAGAACGTCCACGTCCACATCCTGGACATGTCCAACATGAAGCAGGTCTGGGACTTCGCCCACAGCTTCGCTCAGAACAACACGCTGCATGTTCTGGTTTGTTCCATGGAGTCTTTCATCAAACTCACACCGACCTGGAGATGCTTTTAGCACCGGCCACGACAGGCCAAATACATATTCACAACATGTTTGCACCTGGGATCACAGGGCAACGAAACAGACTAGAAACAAACTTCTTTTTACTGATGAAACCAGACGGTCCAGTCTTTCAGAATCTGGTTTCCTATTTTTGCATCGTCATAGCAACCAGTAATCTGTGAGTCTTGGAAATCGGTGAAATGATCAAAAGCGGGAGCAGTCAATGAGTTCAACATTAGAACAAGGACTAGCAGGTTTGACGGTGATTCATAAAGTCTCAGCCACAGAGACCATGAGACCAAACACAAACATCTGACTGTTGCTGCTGTAATAATAATAATAATAATAATACATCTTTATTTGTGTAGAACTTTCCACAGTGTTCACAAAGCGCTGCACAGTCAGCATAAAAATCAATCAAAACAGTCAAAATACAAAGTTAAATCATTAGATGAAATAGAACACACAAGAAGACAAGCCAAACAGGAAACCCAAGAAGAAAGACACAACAAAGACGGTAAAATATGACATGGGAAGTTTAAAACGAACAGTTAAAAGCTGTTTTAGAAAAGTGGGGTTTAAGAAGTGATTTAAAAGAGGAGACTGGTGGAGCCTGATCTCCTCGGGCAGGTGGTTCCAAAGCCGAGGAGCCCGGACAGAGAAGGCTCGGTCTCCTTTCATCCGGAGCCTCGACCTTGGAGCAGTCACAGGGACCTGCCCGAGGACCTAAGGCTGCGGGGGAAGGGCTCGTTGGGGTTTTAAAGTTCATAAATATAGCTGCATGCCTAAACGAGCTTTAAAAGTAATCAGTAAAAATCTTAAAATCAATTCTAAAACGCACAGGGAGCCAGTGGAGGGACGCTAACCCAGGGGTGATGTGCTCCCTTCTGTTAACACCAGTGAGAAGATGAGGGCGTTGACGACTTTATGGAGATCAGGAGGAGGGAGAATGTTTTTTTTGTATCTTGGAGATGGTGCGGAGGTGAAAGAAACAGGATTGGGTGGGGATTTTTTTGTTTTTTTGAGGTGAGAATCCAAAATGCCCCTGAGGTTACGGACAGAGGGGGTGAGGTGGGTTTGCGGGACAGCAGCGCCTCTGTCACTAACACGACGCTTCTCTGTCACCAGATCAACAACGCCGGCTGCATGGTGAACCAGAGAGAGCTGACGGACGAGGGGCTGGAGAAGAACTTTGCCACGAACACTCTGGGTACGCTTCAGTGCCATCAGACTCTAGACCAGAGAGAATCCAGTCTCATGGATCGTTGGAAAAGACTCAGACAAACATCATCTGACTAAACCAGGCTCAAATCTCTGTAGTTTCTTTCAAAGTCGTTTCGTAATCGCTTTAATCAAGTCCTTCACACTTCATGCTCCAGTTTTCCACATTTTATAACGTCTTAAAGCTCGGGTACATAACTTTATTGTTTGATGAATAACACATGTTTGTCGGACCCACCTCGCTGCCTTCATCTGACTAGAAAATGTGTTTTGCCATTTTACTTGTCATCAAGAATCTCTCTGTCTCATAATTTCTTGACTGTTCCAGATTTTAGCTGCATGAATCTGAAATGCTGCCTCTCCATGGGTAGTCCTGACTCTGGGACCAGCAGGGGGCCGGTCCCTGTGCTCCTCAGAGTCCCAGCAGAAGGCCAGTCCCTGTGCTCCTCAGAGTCCCAGCAGGAGGCCAGTCCCTGTGCTCCTCAGAGTCCCAGCAGAAGGCCAGTCCCTGTGCTCCTCAGAGTCCCAGCAGGAGGCCAGTCCCTGTGCTCCTCAGAGTCCCAGCAGGAGGCCAGTCCCTGTGCTCCTCAGAGTCCCAGCAGGAGGCCAGTCCCTGTGCTCCTCAGAGTCCCAGCAGAAGGCCAGTCCCTGTGCTCCTCAGAGTCACAGCAGGAGGCCAGTCCCTGTGCTCCTCAGAGTCCCAGCAGGAGGCCAGTCCCTGTGCTCCTCAGAGTCACAGCAGGAGGCCAGTCCCTGTGCTCCTCAGAGTCACAGCAGGAGGCCAGTCCCTGTGCTCCTCAGAGTCACAGCAGGAGGCCAGTCCCTGTGCTCCTCAGAGTCACAGCAGGAGGCCTGGTCTCTTCCATGAGTCTGATAAATGTATGAACTGTGTTTCAGGCACTTACATCCTCACCACGGCGCTGATCCCTTTGCTGAAGCAGGCGCAGGACCCCAGAGTGGTCAGTACACTCTTCGTCTTCACTCCTTAAAGTTGCTATACCCGATTTTTTTTTTAATGAGTTCATGAAAATACTTATTACCACATACAAGTTGTATAATAATCTGTAATTTAATGTAAAACTTGAGCTCATTGATTCAGCTGTGTATGAACTCAGGCCGTAAAAAGTGCTGAGTAGAGACTTAGCGTGACGCCCGCTCTCCTCCAATCACAGAACGAGGCTGCGTCCTCTAGCCTCTACAGCGCTGCTAAACACAGTAGCATGTTAGCATAAGTGGCTATAACTCCTCTGGCTGTAACTGCAGACACAGCAAAACAGCCCAAACCACACAACAGTGAGGAAGAGAAGTATCTACCCTCGGACTATCTACCCTCGGACTACTATCTACCCTCGGACTACTATCTACCCTCGGACTATCTACCCTCGGACTGTCTACCCTCGGACTGTCTACCCTCGGACTGTCTACCCTCGAACTATCTACCCTCGGACTATCTACCCTCGGACTATCTACCCTCGGACTGTCTACCCTCGGACTGTCTACCCTCGGACTGTCTACCCTCGGACTGTCTACCCTCGGACTGTCTGCGCTCGGACTATCTATGCTCGGACTATCTACCCTCGGACTGTCTGCGCTCGGACTATCTATGCTCGGACTATCTATGCTCGGACTATCTACGCTCGGACTATCTACGCTCAAAACTAGTGGTAATCTTTCAGTTATATATTGTGTTAGCAGTGCGTTGCTTTTGTACCATTTCATCAGTGATTGTTGTACGGCTTACAAGAAGTTGCGCTCATGCTAATGTTAGCATACGTATCAAATCGCAAATGAAACTAGATTGCTCTGTGGGATGAGAGCGTAGGGGAAATGAGAAGCCTGTGAGCGAGTTGGGGGCGGGGCTAAACATTAAAACCTTGAGAAACGGGTATCGCTCCTGTAAGCTGAGTTCTTTCCTAACAGTGTTTTCCCGCAGGTCACGGTGTCGTCGGGCGGAATGTTGACTCAGAAACTCAACGTGGACGATCTGCAGTTTGAGAAGGGAACGTTCGACGGGACCATGGCTTATGCCCAGAACAAGGTCAGAACAAGGTTTTACTCCAGGCTCATCATTTCAATCAGACACAGATCGAGCTGTTCGTGTTCACAGGACAAATCTAATGCAGCTAATGAAGCTCTAATTGGTATTTATGGAGCACGTATTAGTCTGGATTCTACATCTGACCGACCCTCTCCCTGTGGCTGGGGGTTCACTGTTTACCTTGTAATTGGTGAGGGCTAAACTAACTTGTGACCACATTATAATGCATTTCCTGTTTAAGAACGTAATATCCTTTTTAAACTGAGGTCCACAACAGAGTTCACACCGTGCTGTCTTCATCTTATTAGAAAACACATTATTTTTGGTTTTCTTCTAAGGCATGTTTTAGAAGAAAACCAAAGCAATTTCCCAGTCTGTTCCTGTTACTTAAATGGCAATAAAAATGATTCTGATTCTGGAGAGTGATAATGCTGTTTCAGCTACAGTTGAACCTGATGAAATCTCACACAACAAAGAGACAAAGTTAATCTTTTACTTGTTACATTATACAAGGAGAATGTCTTGACAGAGGCAAGGCACAGTCCCTAGCCTCTCTCAGGACAAGTCTGAAGATTCACAGATGGCAAGCCCCTTTTGGAATAGCAAGACACACCTTCGTATGCAGATTGGAAAGGAAGAAACCAACATAACAAAAGACACTTGAGACATTAGCATCCTCAAAACCTGCTTCCTCCTGGCATCTGCATACAACCCCCAAGTACTCTAAAGTCAACAGTGGATTACAATACAGACAGTATAGAATTCAGCCACAAATGATTTAGCAAAATGATAACTAAGTTACATTCCAATATCATATTCCCTCCTTTTTATCACTTTGATCAAATCAAATCAAACAATCTATGTTTAAACATGGAGAACATGGAGAACTGAAAATGAAAAAACACACATCCAAAATGAAAAAAATGTTCATAGTATAATTTCACATTGTTGTTCCATAAACTATTCCCCCTGTTGAGACATAACATGGCTCAAAACTGAACAATGTATTAACTTGAAATGTATTTACTTTGGTTATCAAATTAGACACCACGCACACGCCCAAAAGCCCGAAAACCCAAAGTCCATTTTCACAGTCCATAGTCAGTCCATTTGACCTCTCGACCCCTCCTCATGTTTGGTTATGACCTGAAATGTCCACTCTGTTCCTGTTTCGAAACTCTTCTCTGTCTGCGTTTCCGACGCAAGACTAGCAGCAAGCCGTTCTCCAACAGCGACACAAAGCTGAACTTTCAAGTCGCAAATGTACCAAGATGTCACCTTCAATTCTCACGTCCATTTAACTTGAACAAACGGCCAGCGCCCTCCGTGGGCCTGCGCGCTTTGATCCTTGCAAATCGGCCCGTGATTATTCGTCAGCAGCTTCCGGTGCGGGGGGGGGTTTGTGTGGAGGGTCGTTTCGTAGGTGTCGATGGCTGTATGGAGATGGCGATGGGGGGTGGGTTTTCTGTCCCACAATGGAAAATAGGTGGATTTTGTTGCTTTGAAGCTTTGGCAGGGATGTGGCATTTTTCTCAAAAACAAGAAGCACATTTGTTAATACATTTCAGAATCAAAACATAAGGTGAAGGGTGATTCTAAACCAAGAAAACTTTGACAAAGGAAAACGAAGAGGACTCACAGAACAAAGAAGGACACAGACAGACAAAGAAACACATGGCCAGGGGACAAAGGACCACATGGCCACCCAAAATGGCCGCCCTACACAATGCTTGCAAATTAACTATTTTTAGGTCTTTTTACAATGTCCAATTCCAAATTTTGAGTAATTTAAAGGTCTTTAAACATCCAATTTCAATTTAGCTTATTTAGATGTCTATAAATGTCCAATTTCAGTTTAGAAGTAATGTAGAAGTTCAGTCTGAAGTAATTCAATTCTAACACATTCATCATACAGGCGTAACTTCTTTAATTCAAAATGAACCCCGTTCACTTTTAACTGCAGTAAAAAGTAGTCCCCGACGTACTCTTAATAATAACCCCGTTATTATACGGTCTATGATAGTCCCCGACTATCTAAATATAAACCCCGTTATCCCGGCCTCGACTGTCTGCAATATAGTCCCCGACTATTTAAAAAGGATAATCCCCGTTATCCCAGGCCTTTTTTAATTTGAATCCCCGACTCAAAAAGTAAAATACCCTTTTGAATGAAACCCCGTTCATTCGCGCTCTGTAAAAGTCCTTGACTAAAGGCATAACTCTGCGTTATCCTAAATGAACGTGTTCATGTGAACTTCACACTACTTCCTGGATTACTTTTGGACATAATTTAGTGTTTAGAAACTTGCCTTTGTTGCAATTTCATCAGGAAAAAACTGTAGTTCTCCCGTTGACTCCAACCCAGGGCTGTCCTGCCTCAAACCTGGAGTTCCAATGCAGTTCCGAATGCAGAAGGCCTTGTAGTTGCTCCTGGAAGTCCATGTTTGAGACAAGCTTAGCTCCTGTAAGAAGTGTTGGGATCCGGCTCGAAGGACCAAGTGATAATGCTGTTTCATCTACAGTTGAACCTGATGAAATCTCACACAACAAAGAGACAAAGTTAATCTTTTACTTGTTACATTGTACAAGGAGAATGTCTTGACAGAGGCAAGGCACAGTCCCTAGCCTCTCTCAGGACAAGTCTGAAGATTCACAGATGGCAAGCCCCTTTTGGAATAGCAAGACACACCTTCGTATGCAGATTGGAAAGGAAGAAACCAACACAACAAAAGACACTTGAGACATTAGCATCCTCAAAACCTGCTTCCTCCTGGCATCTGCATACAACCCCCAAGCACTCTAAAGTCAACAGTGGATTAAAATACAGACAGTATAGAATTCAGCCACAAATGATTTAGCAAAATGATTTAGGGTGGAATGAGGAGCGGTCAATGGCTTAGGAGTAATAATAATAATTAATGATGATGATGATGATGATAATGCATTCTTATGGACCCGCCACCTGCAGAGGATCAGAATAAAAATAAATGAATGATAATTTGGTTTTATTCAGCGCTTTTCTGGACACTCAGTCTCTTCAGATGTCATTATTCATTCACTCCAAACACAGTGCTGATAAACTACTATAGCTACAGCTGCCCTGGGGCACGCTGACAGAAATAAGGCAACCAGTCTGTGCCATGACCACCAACCACCTCGTGTGATCGATGTGCTGTGTGTTTGCTCAGAGGCAGCAGGTGATCTTCACAGAGAGACTGGCCGCGCAGCACAAAGAGATCCACTTCTCCACCATGCACCCGGGATGGGCCGACACGCCAGGTACTCTCTCTTCTGGACCGTAATGCAGCTTATAAAGAGAGCCAGCTTATAGAGCGGTGTGGCTTATAGAGCGGTGTGGCTTATAGAGCGGTGTGGCTTATAGAGCGGTGTGGCTTATAGAGCGGTGTGGCTTATAGAGCGGTGTGGCTTATAGAGCGGTGTGGCTTATAGAGCGGTTTGGCTTATAGAGCGGTGTGGCTTATAGAGCGCTGCGGCTTATAGAGCGGTGTGGCTTATAGAGCGGTGTGGCTTATAGAGCGGTTTGGCTTATAGAGCGGTGTGGCTTATAGAGCGCTGCGGCTTATAGAGCGGTGTGGCTTATAGAGCGGTGTGGCTTATAGAGCGGTGCGGCTTATAGCGCCATTAGCCTTATAGAGCGTTGCGGCAAATGTGAGTATCTGACTCTGGTGGAGTTAGAGGCTGTGGTCAGGGCCCGAAGCTGCGTAACACCTCTTCATTAAATCACATGTTCAGTTTAAACAGTCGTCTCTGCTTCATTACAACATGAAAACCTGCGGCTTATATTCATGTGCGGCCTATATGTGGACAGCATTGATTTTCTTTCACATTCTGCTGGTGCGGTTTATAGTCCAGAAAGTAGGATACATGTGATTGGTCGTTCCCTGATGGTCCTTCTCGTCCTGCAGCGGTCCAGACCTCCATGCCCTCGTTCCACGCCAAGATGCAGTCTCGTCTGAGAACTGAGGCCATGGGAGCAGACACCGCTGTGTGGCTCTCTGTGTCTGAGGCTGCCTCCAAACAACCCAGCGGACTCTTCTTCCAAGGTCAGAGAGAGAGACCAGAGAGAGAGAGAGACCAGAGAGAGAGAGACCAGAGAGAGAGAGAGAGACCAGAGAGAGAAAGAGACCAGAGAGAGAAAGAGACCAGAGAGAGAGACCAGAGAGAGAGAGACCTGAGCAATCGAGAGGGAGGCCAGAGAGAGAGAGACCAGAGAGAGAGAGAGAGAGAGAGAGAGAGAGGCCAGAGAGAGAGAGAGGCCAGAGAGAGAGAGAGACCAGAGAGAGAGAGAGAGAGACCAGAGAGACCAGAGAGAGAGAGACCAGAGAGAGAGAGAGAGACCAGAGAGAGAGAGAGAGACCAGAGAGAGAGAGAGAGAGACCAGAGAGACCAGAGAGAGAGAGACCAGAGAGAGATAGAGAGAGAGACCAGAGAGAGAGAGAGACCAGAGAGAGAGACCAGAGAGAGAGAGAGAGACCAGAGAGAGAGAGAGAGACCAGAGAGAGAAAGAGACCAGAGAGAGAGACCAGAGAGAGAGAGAGAGAAAGAGACCAGAGAGAGAGAGAGAGAGAGAGAGAGAGAGACCAGAGAGAGAGAGAGACCAGAGAGAGAGAGAGACCAGAGAGAGAGAGAGACCAGAGAGAGAGAGAGACCAGAGAGAGAGAGAGAGAGACCAGAGAGAGAGAGAGACCAGAGAGAGAGAGACCAGAGAGAGAGAGAGACCAGAGAGAGAGACCAGAGAGAGAGAGAGAGACCAGAGAGAGAGAGAGAGACCAGAGAGAGATAGAGAGAGAGACCAGAGAGAGATAGAGAGAGAGACCAGAGAGAGAGACCAGAGAGAGACCAGAGAGAGAGAGAGAGAGAGAGAGAGACCAGAGAGAGATAGAGAGAGAGACCAGAGAGAGAGACCAGAGAGAGAGACCAGAGAGAGAGACCAGAGAGAGAGACCAGAGAGAGGGAGAGACCAGAGAGAGAGAGAGAGAGACCAGAGAGAGAGGGGAGAGAGAGAGAGAGAGAGAGAGAAGAGAGTCCACCCATTTCCTCAGGTCTCCAGGTTCAGGCTGGACTCACTTGAGGAAATGGGTGGATTCTGGTAAAGAAGAAATAACTATTAATTTTGTCATCAGTGCAAGTCAAGGTTCAGTCTTTGTTTTAGTTCAGTTTTCTCCCCTCCTCTTCTCTTCCCCTCCTCTTCCTCCTCTCCTCCCCTCTCCTCCCCCCCTGCCCTCTCTCCCCTGTAACTCCTCTCTTTCCTTCTCCTCAGACCGTGTTCCCGTGTCGACACATTTGCCTCTGGCCGCTTCCAAATCCACTCCACAGGAAGAAGAAAAACTCATGAGCGTCTTGGAAGAGTTCGCCCTCAAATTTAAACCATAATTTCTGTTAAAAATATACAGATTTTTCCCAAAGTCACTTGAACAAACCAGCACTGCTTATTCAAATGTTTACAGTTGTGTGTCTGCCTTAGATTTTAATGGTTTGATTTGTGAAGAAAGCTAATAAGCTAATCAAAGTTTAACCTGTTTGATACCATGGTATTCCACACTATATGAAGCACTGTTGGAGTTTGGATGGTTTAAAAACACTGTGCAAAACTAGCATTCCTGTCAAATCTGTTGTCTTTTTTGTAATTGCCCCTGGATTACCGTTATTTCTGCCCCTGGTCACTCCCAAGATGTCTGCCCCTGGTCACTCCCAAGATGTCTGCCCCTGGTCCCTCCCAAGATGTCTGCCCCTGGTCCCTCCCAAGATGTCTGCCCCTGGTCACTCCCAAGATGTCTGCCCCCGGTCACTCCAAGATGTCTGCCCCGATCACTCCCAAGATGTCTGCCCCTGGTCCCTCCCAAGATGTCTGCCCCCGGTCACTCCAAGATGTCTGCCCCTGGTCACTCCAAGATGTCTGCCCCCGGTCACTCCAAGATGTCTGCCCCGATCACTCCAAGATGTCTGCCCATTCAAATCAATGGCTGTATGTTCAAACAATTAATCCTTAGCCTCATTTCCACCAGCCCTAAACCATGAAGCACTCATCACTGTCGTTTACAAGACTTCATGACCAGCTCGGCCTGGATAGAACCTGGAGCAAGAGGGACTCAAACTGGGCTCCTGACTACAGTACATAGGTTTTTACTTTTTACATGTTTGCTAACTTCCCTACCATGATGTCATCAATCACAACCAGGAAGTAAAATGCCCAAGATTTACAGCCAAACTGGGTTCAAATGTGAACATAGTTTGTTTTCAGACTGACATATCTACTACTACTGATGAGATTACTTTATATTGTGATTCAATTAAAATGTTGAATTGTACAACTCCATGTTAATAACAGAATACATGTTTTTGAATATAATTTGTGTTGGGTCATTATTTTTCTTTTTTAAAATCACCACAGCCATTTCTTGTGTCGGAAGCAACCACAAAAGATCGGGACAAGAGCCAGACCTGTTTTTTAGCTCCTGCTCTGGGGTTGGTTCTGTCCTGTGAAACTAGGAACAGAAACTATAAAACACAATGATTTTACTGCAATTCTATGTATTTGTGGATAGCCCTAAATCGCAACAGCAGTCTTCAAAGTTGTTAATTCGCCAACAACAGATCAGAGAATCAAACGGTTCGGACACAGGAAATGCAATAATAAACACAGAACCATGTACACTGTCCTGAGACCCCCGTGCATCGGCAAGAGGGAAGAAAGTGAGTAACCTGGGGGAGGGAACTGCTCCTACATAATCCAGGGCTGAGGCTGTAGGGCCAGAACTGAGGCTGTGGACCCAGGACTGAGGCTGTAGGGTCCAGAACTGAGGCTGTAGGGTCCAGGACTGAGGCTGTGGACCCAGGACTGAGGCTGTAGGGCCAAAACTGAGACTGTGGACCCAGGACTGAGGCTGTAGGGTCCAGGACTGAGGCTGTGGACCCAGGACTGAGGCTGTAGGGTCCAGAACTGAGACTGTAGGTCCAGGACTGGGAGGGGGCAGTAGATTATTTGTATACATTAATCAAGTTTTATTGCACAATATTAAACATGTGTGATGCCCATAAACTGCAGGTGAGATATTTTTAATGAGAATTTTCATAATAAAAAACTATTTTAAAGTTTTTGTTTTAATTTCGATGTCCCCCCCCTCAATAAGAAAGTCCATGATCCCGGCGCCAGATCTCGCCACGTGGAGCTAATCTCACTGGTAAAGTACCATGTGGCGCAGAACTAAAAAATGTCTCGTTATGATTCTCAAATCATTAACGACAAAACAAGGAATAAAACCAGGATTTCTATCTTTGTGAAAAAGGTGTTGGTTATAGATTTGTTGTTGACAAAACTCTTGTCTATTCAGCTGTTATGGTCCCAGCTGGATTCGTCTGCATATCTGGCAACCTGAGTCAGGGAGAGTGGGAGAGGCTGCAGTACCACTTTTGGCCACATTTTCACATACTGCTCCTTTAATAACTCTGTCAAAACAATCTTCATGTAAATAAAATGTGTTTTGTTTCTGACTTTCGTCTAAGAAAACCACATAAATAGTTTCTGCCCCAGAGCAACAGTCACCTTTAATAATCAGCACACACCAAAATGAGTTTGACCTTCTACAGCAGCAGTCTCCAAGTTTTCTGTAGAATGGAACCAACAGCAGTAATAACTTTGACAACAGTGACCTCTGGTGGTGGCAGTCATCATGTGCATTTTCCTTCATACACTTTATTTGTTCTACCAGATCCTAAACTAAGCATCAAGCAAACTTTTGTCAACATTCTTACATTTGCCAAAGCATTGATGAAAACTTTTTGTTGTACTAAACTCTAAAACCTCTTATACACATAAATTAGATAACGCAGAAACAGTCCAAGTGTCACTGCAAGAATACACAGACACTGATCATGATGTATAAAAATAAGTTTATTAAATAATCTTTAAAAGGTTTTAGGAGGCTCAGTCTGCAGCACACGCTGCAGACTGAAGCACTGGATTAAGACACGGTTGTCCTCTGGCTTTTCATTCAGAGGACGTTTTGGCAAAGTCAGAAAACGTGTAAAAAGTCTATTATCTCCATAAATCACGTACTTTCTCTTAAAGTCCTTTGCGATGTATTCACGATGTAACAGAATTGCATTGGAGGTTCTAAAACGAGCACTTTTGTCGTCTAAAAGTGGACCACGGCATCAAATCCACGAGAGGCAAAAGTAGAACAAAATAGGGTTTGATTAGTCCAGGGATTGACATAAACCATTCTGGGAACTTTTTCAAAGGTTCTTCATAATAGTCTTGATATAAATTGGTAAAAAAAAGTGATTAAAAGCATGTTAATATTATCCAGCATCATACATTCATTCTTCAGTTAGTATTTAAAACTACTTTAATTGATTGACTTTCCATTGATTGACTCATTTTATTTACTTTCCATGATTGCCGCGGTGTCAGGCAAATCTCATCTGGTGCCTGGATCTCTGTATTTCTGAAGCAATATTTGGAGAAAATGGGCCTGGATTTCCAATATAATTGTCAGATGGCCTCGTATTGAATTTGGCTGAAAGTTTTTTTTTTGGTAAACGATGGACGATATTCCATTAGACGCCAACCATGGACTTGTAATGCCTCTTGAAGCAACCACATTTACCACATCTTTTGGTTGCACAAGTTGGCAAACCTTTTCTTAGTGTTCGCACTGGAAGAAAAACTTGTTTTCCAAGTTGACCTATGACCTATGCTGTCCGATATATCTTGATTGGATGATTGGGTTGTCAACTTTGTCTTGTTTGTTGGCAAGACTTTCATTGACTTATGTATTAAGTAAAAACACATGATCTGTCATTGACGTGTTCTTTGCAATCTTTTGCAAAAAATATCATCTTTGGCAGTAGAAAATAAATATGCAAAACGTAATTTCAGTTCTCAACATTGTCTTGTTGGTTGGCAAGACTTTTGTTGTCACAGTAAAAAGATATGTTCAAAACATTTAACAATGTCTTGGTTTTAGGCAAGACTAGTGGTATTCATCGGACTGAAAGTAGAATTTGAAATAATATAGTTGGCTTGGTTTGAATGAGAAGGGACAGCACACTTTGAACACTTCACTTTGTTTGTTGGAGAAACTTTAGCTGAAGCCGCCTGGACCTTTCCAGAACATTTACAAGGACACGTTTTGGGTGATCCTGAGGTTGCTTTTTTACTTTGCTGCATAGATAGTAATAGTTTAGTTAGTAAAAGACTGGAAGAAGTGGTAATATTAAATGTAGTTGAATGTGTGGTCGTGGAGGTCTTTGGTGCAATGGTTGTAATTGGGGTCGTCTTGTTGGTAGGCAAGACTTTGGTAGAGTCAGTCTTGAGTGATTGCTCAGACTTTGAAATACGGATTGGTGTCAATCTTGTAAGAAAACTTGATGAATTTCTTGTACTAGAAGTGACAATTCGTTTCGGTGAATGCATGGTAATGGATTTGGCGTTGGAGGAAGTTGCATTGCTTATGCTAGAAACAAACTTTGGTGGGATTTTCTCGTTGGTGGGCAAGACTTGGATGGAGTTATACACATTAACAGTGGTTAAGCGAGTTGATTGCATTGGATCTTTGCTTGTTGTATCATGTGCCTTTTCAAAGGGTAAGATATTAGTAACAGTTCTTGAAAAAGTTGTATTTGTTTTCAAAACGGCAGCACTCATTGTTAGGGAGGCTGTATTTCTGCCATTACCATGCCCTTCAATTGTCAAGGTTGATTTATTATTTTCTATAGACTCGATAGACACAGCTGTAGCAGTAGATGCAGCATTAGAAAAAGTGTTCTTAAATTCATGTAAAGAGGAGACTGAACCTCTTGGAACCTCTGATTTCAAAGTAAAGATGGTTTTGGTTGACTTGATAGTTGCTTGAGCAAACTGTGTTGTACTAGTGGAAGCAGCAGCAGCAGCAGTAGTAGTTGTTGTTGCAGTAGTAGAAGTCTGAACCCGTCGAAGACATTTACATGGGCACATTTTAGTCAGCCTCGCATGAGCTGAAATGGATTGATTTTCACTTTGCTGCATAGTTGGAAGGGGAATAGGTGTGATCTCAGGTAATAATTGTTTCGTTGATATAAGACTTGAAGATGTGGAAATATCTAATTTAGGTGAATGTGTGGCAGTAGATTTTGCTTTAGAGGTAGGCATCGTCTTGTTGGTAGGCAAGACTTTGGCGAACTTTGAACTACTGGTTGGTATCAATCTTGTGAGAAAAATAGTTTCATTTGAAGAGACAGACTCTTTGGCAGCAGCAGCAGCAGCAGCAGCAGCAGCAGCAGTAGTATTAGAGGTGGTTACGGGATCAGCAAAGGACGAAGATGTCATGAAACTCCTTCTCGGAACCTCTGATTGAAAAGTGGACATGGTTTCGGTCAACTTTATAGTTTCT